CCCAGATTAGCAGCTATTGGCTGTTAAAGGGGCAGAAATCTGATATTTGAATTTGTTATTGGCTGATATATGAATATTAATAACGTCATTGTAAGAAATGCGAGTTCTTGTCACTGGAAGATGTTGCAATAATAGATATGCTTTCCATAATCCAGAATACTTTACTAACAACATCCAGTTCCCTAAGTAATTCGAAAAAGTTAGATTTTGTGTATACCACTTCTCCCTCTGTCAGTGTATGTCATAATTCTCAGCATAGTAGAACTGTTTAGAAACTTGTGTTCTAAGAAAATCCAAGGATTAGAGCAAAATCCTTCTGATCTTGGGCATAATAGAGTTGGATTACTAACCGGCTGCCTAAAACCGACTCTTAAATGGCTTTTGCATAATTAAAATGTTTCAGAAAAATTAACAAAGTTGAACTTTGCATATTCACCAAAATCTGCATTATTATGCCAAGAGGGAAAGAGCGGAGACTGGGCATTGATCTTTTTATAATCTCTAGCGTAGGTTTGTCTTGTCACGTACGGCCATCGCACGACAATGCCAGAGAATCTTAGGAGGCAGTCTGCCGGGGCAAATACCTCTAGATCGCGATTTGTTAACTCAGCACCGATGGCAACATTTCATCTGTGTTCAAAATCCTAACCTTATTCGTGGTGACTGAATATTAAAACATTCATGCCAACAACTTTTCAACATCTTCTGGGGCTGGAGAAAGCTAATCACGCATTATCTTTTCTCTTTGGCATTCTCACTATATCAGGAAAGCCCCAAATTTTGTTCTTTCAACCTCCATTAATTATTTTGGATTGTCAAATGCTAAGTACCAGATAAATAGAACCCCCCATAGAGACACGACTTCGAAAGTAGGATTTTTAAGGTTTGTCTCCACGGAACTTCCCCATCGCAACTTTTCGGAAGCAATCTAAACCCTGACCTGACATTTCCCAAAGAAAAATCTTGATTAAAAGATAACTCGCTTTAACAAATAGTCAAAGTGTTGATCCTTGAGGAACAGCATAAGATTTATCCATATATTGCATAAACCTCCGTGCTTGTTCTGTTGTTGTCAAATTGCTTAGGATCTCTTATCTTTATACCGCAAATTAGGTTTCAAATATCTTTGGCAACACAGAAATAGACGAGCAGAGCAAAGAAGTGGAGAATCGCAAAATCTTGATAGTACGCCATTGTACCAGGAAAAAGTTTCCTGGGTCACATGCCTTGACCCTTTACATCAAGAACCCTATAAGCAGAAAAATGTTATCTTTCGGACAAAGTTCTCGTTTAAATTTCTAAAGAATATTGAAAAATCACACTCATTCGACAGCGATTTTTTCATCAAAGAGCTGCGTAACTTCTTCATTAATTATTGACTAAAACATCTCAACCGCTTTACAACGATTCATCAATTCCTGTTCAAGCGAAACCCTGGTTTTTGGCCTAGCCACGTGCTAACATGATTAATCAACTTATGAATCTTTTATGCATAAGAACACCTTCTTTCATGCAGTCAAATTATTTTATAGCGCACTTTCATAAGCCTACCTCCAATCTCATCCAAAAAGCCCTTGCTGCAATATGTCGAGATCGGCGGAAATTTTATGGAGGCTAGTATAAATGGTTTTCAGAAGTCCTTCAAAGTGATGACGTCTAAAAAGTCAATTTCTAGAATATTTCACTCTAGATTAATGATCAAAATCAGTTAAATTTGTCATAGTTAGGTCTGTTAACACAACAATCGTGCAAAATATGATACCAGCATGAAATCTTCACAATTTTTGTAGTGTGAGATGTAGAATATGATGCAAAACTGACCTAAGCTGAAAAAATCCTCTAACAGCTATTTTCAGAACATTTAACTTGGTCCCACTCCTCAAAATAAAAAAAGGCACTTTCGAGCAATATAGCGAATGTATGTCTGCAGAATTTGGTATTCATATACAATCTGAAGTGTAAAATGTCACGCCAAGCAATAAGGTCCATAGATCGCCCAGAATTCTGTTTTTAGAACATTGAACTTAGTCCAAGTCCTCGAAATGAAAAAGTCATTTTCGAGAAATGCAACGAGTGTATGTTTGCAAAATTGGTATACAATCTAAGGTGTGAAATGTCATGCCAAGCAACAAGGTCCATAAATTGCCCCATTCTCTATTTTTAGAACATTTAACTTGGCCCCATGCTGGTATCTTATTTTGCACGATTGTTGTGCCTTCAGACCGGACTATTACAGGTTGGCTTAGATATGGCCGCATAACTGAGACTCTTTCCCAATTTGATCTTATCACTGTAATTTTGTTTTGGTCCCAAAGATTTAGAACAAGGCCAAACAACAGTGATCAAATAGTAATTAACGAGCAAAACCTGGATACAATGTAAAATGTTGCTTTTATTGTAGAATATTTATATTGGAGCAAAGTGTTGCGGCGGTTGCTAGAGGCGGTCGCTAGAGGTTTAGAGGTGTTTAGCGTGGAACTTTTGGAATATTTTATCTCCATTGAGATAGCATTATCCAAATGGAGCCTGAAATGCGACCATCTTTGCCTGATTAGGGGGGCTGCATCCCTCCAATCCTCCATGTCTTCTACGTTTGTGGTTGAAGAACAGCGGAACTTTGGTATCTTTGACAGAAATGCCCGCTGCAAACCTTTAAATAAGGGCGGTAAAAGGAATTCAGAACAGTGAGTTGCGAAGAATAATGTTTCAAAAGAGTTTTCTAAAGAGTCGTTTCGCAAATTATATTATAGGCTATAGCCGATCGTATATGGAAGATCATCGCCGATCACGTTTTACAAAATACCCTTTAACCACCCTCTGTGATCTATAAACTGTTCTTGCTTTAATAAGAGACTTTCATGCTGGCAATTTGTGGTGTTCTAGGTCCTTAAGTTTTCTTTTAAAAAGTGTTGACAAGTGCCATTTATGTTTTTAGGCAAGAGTGGGTAAGGTGAAGTTGATTCTATAAAAAGCAGGCCCACTCCACCCTAGCATTAAAAAGTCATACAAAATTACGAATAGGAAGACATTTTGCTTTTATACATACGAAAAAGGTCATTAAAATCATGAACGCCATCACGAAACAAAAAAAATTTTCATGAATTGCACTTTTATTGCTACTTGCAGAATAAAAATTCTATCAAAGAATTTTAAATGAGGTCACCTAAAAGTCTTGTTGTGCACCTGTTATGTTGGAATTCTTTGTAGCATCGTTCAATCAACAATCATACTCTCTTTACCCAATCGATTCATTCTTTTACAATGAAAATATAAGAATTGCAAGACACGAGGCAATTATTGCTTAAAGACAGCGGTGCTTGTTTAAATAGGAAAAATATAGACATGGATAGATGGGAATCAGGATCTGAAAAGACAATCCAACCTTATTTAGAAGTTGAATGATGAAAATAATCAATAAAATTCAAGAAGCAAGGTTTAACAGAGAAAGGAAAGATTTTTAGGAAAGCTAACGAATTCTATCTTATTAACTTAGCAATCGATGAAAACCATTAAGACAATGCCGCTTGCAGTTGTTTTGGTTTACACCAGTACTGCACACTTTTTTTATAAGAACCAGTAAATTTAGGTTCAGGCTGACTAATCTTAATAATTTCTTGAAAATATGAGGCTGGATCGTTCTTAAATTGTTCTTATATTATTAGGGTCAAGATAGGATGTAAGCAGTGTGATTGCTAGCTTTTTCGCTCTAGGGAGCAGCTCAGGCCTCATTTGCCAGCAAAATGACTGAGACAGTCTCCATTTGCCGACAAGTTTGTATATTCATCTAAAAAGCACCCACACATGGCTAAACATCTTCGTTATTGAGATAAAACTTTGTTCAAATGGCTGTTTACAGTAGCTCAGCCTCAGCTTGTTTTTAATTTGTTCTTAACATTAGACCAATTTTGAGGCTGTCATTCTTTAAAATCGTTCTTATAAAAATTGTTCTAATTCGTGTAACTATCACGTATCGTCGCATTTATTTTTCAATCTAACTTTTCTCTCTCCTTTATCGATATGTTTTCCACCATCTATCAATGATGACACAATGGGAACACATTGTCAAGATTGGGATCATCCCATATAAGGATTTACTAGGGGTGTACAGCTAGAATGGGTATAATTTAGGCCAGAAGGCTGAGAATAGCCGGTAGTTTCAAAAGTGTAATTTTTTATTCTTCATCAGTTCATCATTGCTTCCAAAAAGCGAAAAAACCAATTTTCCTTTTTGTTGATTTGAGTTCTATCTTGATTTGTTTCTTTCGTGACTGTTTCCCTGTTTGCTAAAAAGATTATTGTTTATTGTCTTATATCCTTCTGTCTTTGTTCCGTAAAAATTTGGCACCTTCCCTTTTTCTAAAGCTTTGAAAGGTACGCAAACCCTTATTATTGTGAATGACAGGTTCAAAAAGCGCTCTTGAATTGGATTGGCTGTCGGCTAGTGCATTGATTTGCATCATAAAAGGAAGTGAGTCAAAGTGCTGCTCTTCAATTGGTTGATTCACTCTTTTGTAGTGATAATTCAAAATTAGCTACAATCACGGGGGTAGCCTTACAACACATAGTCAAAAAATTATGAAAAAATGCTTAAAATATCCAGAAATAACTAACTAAACTAGAGTCCAACTTTAGTCAAAATATTCAGAAATATTTGAAGTTTCGTAAAGTTTTCCCATAAGGGCTTAAACGTCGACTTCATTAATTCGCTTAAGAATAACTTCGCCATTCAACTGCTGTCTGGCCCCCGTCCGCCTTGGTCATTGTAGGAAGCCAATCGTGAACAGATCAACAAGGCGACTTTCGCTGCGGGTTATTTCTGGTGACTTGAAACAGCTTTAATCGTTCTTCTGGCCAGGAAAACAAAGAATTTACCAACAAAACAGCAATTTTAGACCTTCGGCAGTATATTGTATGGATTATAGATGTTCTGGTTAATGTATCGACAAAATATCGTTTAGGATTTGCCAGTACAATTGACTGACGAGATCTGTCTCTTCCAGATATTATTGAGGTCAAATCATGCTAAAAGGATGACATTCACAACTTTCATCTTGATCTCAAGCCTCGTTACAGTTGGTAAGTGTATTTTACTTTTATTGATAGATGTAAAAATTTATTTGGTTATGTTTTAGATCATAAAACCCGTTTGTAAAGGCTACGTAAGCCCAAGAATTGTCAATTGCAGTCTTTGTACAATCTTAGAGTCAAATTTCCTTCTGTTACATTCTAATAAAGCAACTGATTTGCCTTTGAGCTAGTTTTTTTGACCCGATTCAGGGAAAACTATGAACATCTTACAATTACGAATGTAATCACGACTCTGACTGTATTCTAAGCCTGCGAGGAAATTCTACACTTGACAACAGCACTCAAGCCGAGCTTGCCTTCCTGGTTTGGTTGCCAGATTTTAAAATCTTCGAATTAATGAAAATTCAGATCCATCTACAATTCTTAGTATATCTAGAAACAGCACCACCTCCTTTACCGCACTAAAGCCCATTTCAGTAATCCTAACCCAATTTTCATGTAATCGATAATATAGATTTCTATTCAAAAATTGAGTTTGAATTACAAAAATGGCCGACAAAGTCGTGATTACACATTGTTTTCCATCCTTGCGTACGGCAGATTATTTATAATACAATTATAAGCTAACTCTTCGGCAATATCGGCAATTTTTTTGTCTGATTGGTTGCTTAACCTCCCGAATTTCTTGTCTAATTTGATTCACAGTTTAACCGTAAACCACTAGTGATGAAAGTCATCTTTCTTTTGCCAGTTTATGGCCTGATTGAGATCCCATTTGATCTGCAGACAATGAAAGATTTCTGTAAAAAATTATTTTATGCAATTGTATCATAAAATTGAAGGAAGTCTGTAAATTTTGATGTTTTCAAACATGATAGTTTTTGAACCGTAGATATAAGGATCAAATTAATCTATATTTAAGATGAGGCTATATTTAAAAATTTTAGACCTTTTATTCCTTTTGTGACGATTTTAAAGCTAAATTCGGTAGCGTTCATTAACGATTAAGCCTTTATTGATGCCTTAATAAATAATTATACTGAAAAAAGGAGATAGATTTCTTAAATTTCACAATTAAGGTAATGAGCGGTTGCTTTCATTTTGTAAATGGTAAGCAGTTTTTTGATCGATTTTCTATACATTCAAATATTCTAATTCAAAATAAATTGAAGATACTGATTCCTGAACAAGATTCGTGTGTTGTGAAACGGCTGCATAAAAAAGAACCTATGTGAACAATCAGTTTCCTCTGAAAAAAATATTGATCAACCTTAAAACAACATGGTTTGTAGTTTCAATTCACCACACAGACTTAGCCGGAATCTAATAAAAAGCTTAAAAAATTTGTTGAAAGAAAAAAAATGTTGTTGAAAAGTCAAAAGAGAAGCAGTTTGGTAAATGCTTAGTAAATTTATGGTATAGCAGGTAGCTTGCTTGCTGTATGCTGGTTAATAAAACATGCACATGTAAACAATGAATCATTGAGTTTGGTGATAAGGTTTATTTACATGTCTTTAAATCTAAATCATAAACATGGAATCAGCTATCATGAGAACTGTGGAAAAGGAATCCGCTGGCTTTTCAAAAGTTCTTTTAGAGGTTTTTCATTTAAGATTTTTAAATTTTTTTTGCCTTTTCTAACATTCAGCTGCTTATTGCTTTTTCCACCCTGTATTTCTGATATATGTATAAAAGCTTATATTCAATAGTTTTTGTTTACTTATAAACAGATAGAATGATATTTGGTAAATTGAGAAAAGGCTTTTTTGTTATCTTGAATTTTATAAAAAGTCGGCAAGCAGATGCAACCTGTAACTGCCAGTTATATAGTATAGGGTACTGGAATAGTATAGGGTCCTCTTTATGAAAATTTTTTGTTTGACTTGCAATTTTGGGAAAATTGTTTACAGTTGCCTTTGTGGTTATTTTTGCCAGTTTTTTTTTCAATAAACACAAGCCTGTTAAAAGCATATGAGCACAGTTTTGAATAGGACTCTTTTGGCCTCTAATAGGATTTTTTGAGTTAGATTCCAAGGCAAACAACATGAATTAAGATCTTTCAAATTGATGAGATGAAAGCAACTCCAATGCTATCATACTTTTATCTATGATTGCTTATAACTACCTTTTTTTGAAATTATTTTCTTAATGTTTTTTGTTTTTTATTTCAGTTTCTGCAATCTCAAGTGACAAAAGAGCCACTCCAACAGGGCAAATAGTAACAGCCACTGTAAGGTCCACAGTAACTTTGATATGTGACGTTGGTGAGACTGTCTTTGATTTGGTTGAGTGGAGGAGGAATGATACAAGTGATGATATTTTTATTCAATATCAAAATTTCCGTCCAAGTGTACATGTGTCATATATAAATCGTGTGACACTGAAAGATGGAAAGAATCTGCAGATAGCAAATTTGAACCTTGGAGATGAAGACACTTATTTCTGCAAAGTTGTTAGTCTAAAATCAGGAACTACCTCACAAAGTTCTCCAATCAAACTTTTGGTCCATGGTATGTTTTTTTATATATATATTTAGACAAGTTATATGAAAAGAATTTTGACTACTAATTTTCGTGTGTTGGTTTGAAAAATGGGCAGCAAATGAGGGGTCTATTTTTGATAAAAACATGTTTTAATCAAATCATTTTTATGCAAAATTAAAAAGAATCAATTTTGATGTATAATATTGGCTAGCATTTATTAAGATTTGTTGAAGGGACTCTCCTAAATCTGGGCTGGAAATAGAAACACAAGTTGCTTGTGTGATCTGTTTCAGAACTAAAGAGTAAATAAATATTATGTGGTTGTTAATAAGAGCTACTATGCTCTGTCTGTAGCATGTTTATGATCGAGAAAGATGTTGGGAATTAGTCTTATGTTGCTGATTGGATCTGTAACAATAGGTCCTTTCTATATTCCAACAAATGGTAAAATAAAATGGCCATCAAAATGTGGTGGGGCATAGTGCCTTTACGACAAACAAGTTTTGAAATGTCTCAAATAAGCACCCGGGTGCTTATTTAATTTTTGAGGCTCCAGGGTGGGCGCTTATTCGAGGGAGGTGCTTAATTGAGGGGGGTGCTTATTTAAAAAGTAGATTTGGGTGCAAATTGTGTTCATTAATCTTTCTTGTTGAATTGCCTTCCAATTTATGTTTTTGTTGAAAATTTGAATAAGCGCCCATTTCTGAAGGTTGAAGGATGGGTGCTTAATCAAGGGGTGGGCGCTTATTTGAAGGGGGCTCTTATTTGAGGGGAGGGCGCTTATTCAAACTTCACTTCTAGGGTTGGTGCTTATTTGAGGGGGGCACTTGTTTGAGGCATTACGGTAACCAAAATACTGATCTTAGGCCCACACATTGAAGCTGTCAAGGCCTTAAAGAACAGTTCTTTGAGAGGCTTGGCCAAGTTTACTTTTTTCTTTCAAGGCCAATTTTTTGAAATGAATTGCCAAAAACCCAAGGAAATTTCTTCAATCTCATCCAATATTTTTGAAAGCATCACATATAATGGTAGCACATTTTGTCAGGCTGCTTTTGTGTTTGGAATTATTGTTATATTAGTGAGCATTTTACTTTCTGCTTTTTTTATCTCTTTTGAACTTAAATCCTGAGTCTTCAGACTTTCCCTTTTGAATGCAAAAGTAAGAATCTGATGTCATTTTATTTGCCACCTTTTTGCCTCTAGGGTAATGGGTGTTTTACTTAATTAAAGTTGCCCAAGTTGTTGAAAGCTTCCCACTTTGTACAATTTGAAAGAGCTTTTTGCAATTTTTGGTACTGTATGTATATTGCAATGTGTTCAAACACTGAAGATGGGACAAAGAAAAGAAATTTTATGACACATATGCATGGTTTGTCACCAATTTTCTTTGATGTTCCTGAATCGAAATATCAGAAGACAGATATTTGGCACAGATCTGGTTTGGGAAGTTTGCACCAGAAGCTGCTGTAAGCATTTGTCCCATATTAAACATAGCTTAATGATTTTTGCAGCTACAATTCAAAAGTCAATTCTTCTCTAAAAAATTATCATCATATTAAATATCAATAAAATTTATGGTGGTTTTTAAGATGATTTGTCCTTTTGGTTTTGTTTATCAGTTACTAACAATATTCAAGTTTTTTGTTCACCTTATGCACAAATTCAGGGAGATGATACTAATGAGCAGCACAATAAATGTAATTTAATCTTAGTTAGAATATCCATTAGATGTCATGTAGCCCTAAAAATAAACCCTAATTCTTAAACTTAAAAAGGTTATTTGAAATTTATTCTTAAAAAATGTACAAATACTCTAAAAATTTGCAATTTTAGATAAATCTCAAAGTAAAGAACCTAAGAAGGAGGTTATGGGTAAGTAACTGTAAATTATGTAATAATTTTTTTCTATGCCTGTTTGTCTAAAGTGAAGCACATAAAAGTTGTCTCTATTCACTTCTAGAAGACAATAATGGCGTAAGACTAAATTTATAACCAATTGGTAAGATTTAAATAAAACTGAAAATTAAGATTATAAATTGACATAAACTATTTGCACTGCTCTGTTCTTCAATTTCTGGGACATTGTGGAAATCTTATAGTGATCAGCTAAGACAGTGAAATTCTTATGAAATTTTGTTGCAATAAAAATGCTAATCAGCTTAATGCCGATTCTAGGCATTTTCAGGGAATTAGTTTTCTGCATTGTTGTAGGATGAGCCTCACAAAAGAGAATTAAGTTTACTTTAGACTGGATACAGCAAAAATGAAAATTTAGCATTTGTCTTAACAAATCTATTATTTCTTATTAAAAAAGATAGTGATTTCGGAGTTATAATTTGTTCAAGTTAATTCCTATGCCAGTCTTGATTTTTGAAAGAATAATAATAAATGAAAAAGAGACAATAAAGTTTTATCATTTAGGCGGAGCTGCTACTTTTTTCAGTATTTGTGCGAGATTCATCTTTGTTGTTGCTTGGGTTCCTCAAATTAATGTCTGTTACAGTTGTCCATTTTATGCTAGGGTATCGTTATATTTTCCCACAAGAACTGTTATCTAAAAAGCACTATTCTTTATACAGTAAAGAAAAGGCCACCCGCAGAAATTCTTGAAAGATTTACTGCAATAGGCCCATGGAAATTGCATTTTATCAGTTTGATTTGATTTCTTTGGTCTGGGAATGAACGAATGCAAATATTATGATTGATAACAATGACAAGTTCCTCTGTTAAATTTCACATATCGTTTGATTCTGAATAAAACTATCAGGTGATTTCTGTGACTGAATAGAGCTCCGTTGTGCCATGTAAATTCGATATAATTTTTAATTGTTTACTATGTTTTTAGTCGACTTTGTTTTGGATTTGTGGAATCTAAGCACGTTTTGGGGTTTTGAAAAGTGGCGTCATAAAATAACTGTTTTTAAAAGTTACTATAACAATCAAAAAAAGGTTGATAATTCTGTAGCACCTATTATTCACACAATGCCAGTTCCATGTGTGTTATTGTCAAGTAAGTTTTGTAAGCTATGATTTGCAAGATTTCATCAAATGGTCCTTGAATCCTCCAAAGAATTTCTTCACATAACCTTAAAATTTTCTTCGACTGAAGGGTACAGCATCGTTTAAAGGAAGACGATCTGTCATTACAATTGTAATGTCGACATGCGATTCTTTATCTAGTTCTCCACCGCAACATTCTTGATTTCAGCAGCGTCTTCGTTAGTCATTCGTTTCATTGTAGCGTTGCCTTTTCTTGGGCATATACTACCACACACGTCAACGATTATGTTAGAATAACGTTCTTAACGGTTTTAGAAACAACTGATTTCTTTGTGTGGGTTGCTAGACCCGTCAGCTCCGAAACAGCTCAATTAAAGATATCAATACATCAATTACACGCTCTTTTTTCTGTGAAAAGGCGAGCGATAGCTTAGTAGGAAAATCTGCTAGAATCCAGTTTTGAGAACTGCACGTGATTGTGCCAAAATTGTAAATCTTTGAAAATATGACTAATCTTTTGTTTCATACTTCACACATTCATATCTTGCAGTATGGTTAATTAGGATAGTGGATGGCCCAGTTAAATTAAAATTGATAAATCATGCATTTCCTCAATCACGATATCGATGTCAACCTAACATTTGAGAACAAAGAAAAGATTTAGATTGTGTCGTTCATCCCATAGCATCTTGTATAGAATCTAATCCAAGATATTTTTGTATTACATCGCTTAAAAGCTCTTGCGCAACCGGCATGCTTTGCGATTAGAATTCCCAAACCGGCCTAATATCGTACTGCATGAAAATTGAAAGCACAGTAAATTTCTCAAGATAGCCTTTAAGTGTTTGATTATTCATAATTACACCATACCCTTTTTTGTTTGATAATTTTGGGGCAGTTGCATTCAACTATTTAGACTTCCATGATTATAACTCCTTGATATTCCTAGATCCAGATTCCTTATGATTCCGGTAAGATCTTCTGTCTGTCTCACTCAGTGCAAAGCTTTTTCTCAGTGCATTTCGACCATTCCCTGTTAAAGAATGTTTAGCTTGTCTGTGCAAAATAAAGTCCATCGGCGGACAAGCGAAAAGAGGAAAACCCAACAAGAAATTGATAATTTCAGTCTTTTAGGAATCCTGAAGAGCATACAAACATTTTCATGCTAAAAGCTGCAAATCGTTTGTCAGATCAGTGTACTGCACTTTATAGACTTCTGTTTCGGCATATTAGTTTCGTATAGATTGGAATCGAAACGCTAGAATGAAAGTTTGTTTTTCGGCCCAAGGAACAACAGTATATGTCATTACGTTGCGTTGCTATAGAAATGGTTGTCTGTCCCAAGAATTCGTTGCAAGCGCTAGGCCGAATTCAATTAGACAGAACCGAAATGTCACTACCCAGTAACAAGCCTTTACAATGAAAAATTATCAGTTATCTGTAAAGTTGTGGCAGAAGTGTATTTCCAGGCCAAAACGTCAACTTGTTAAGAAAGAGATAAACTAAAGAGTTTGTCTTCTGGCCAGGAGGTTAGTTAGGAGGTTGATACTGATTTGAATAGAATCAGGACTAAAGCAAAGATCGCCCAGATAAAGTATTATGGGGGATTTTGTGTAAGCAGTTTGTAAGGAGATTTTTTCGCTATATTGGGATACATTTGGGATTTGAATCCAATTATTGGAAAGCCATCAGTTACATAGCATTTTGTCACAGTTACAAAGATATCAACATCACATTTTGTCATCTTGAGAATAAAGCCATTGACTCTGGCCCTAAAATAACTTAATCTTTTAATGTACTTGGTATGATTCTTACTGTCTTACTCATGACAATCTTCATTTCAATTTTTATAGAGGCACCAACTTGTGATGGTCCAAAGGAGAAATTTATCGCCAAAGTTTTAGGAAGCACAGTTCTTCTGACATGTTATGTGCGTGGCAACCCTCCTCCGAAGATCGAATGGACGAAAGACGGTGGGCCTTTACCTAAAGGTCGCCATACGGTGACAACAAAAGGCCTAACTATCAAGTCTCTTCATCGAGAGGACAGTGGGAGTTACCAGGTTACGCTCACAAGTTCTGCTGGGCAATATGCTCATGTGATAGAGGTGATTGTGAAAAGTAAGTGTTCATTGTATGTGTAAATTAACAGAAGTATTGCAACGTATGTGTTCATTTTTTATGTTTTGCCTACTTTTCGATATCTGTAATCAGTTTTTTGTCACCCATGCCTGTCTTCCTTCACTAACTATAGAAAATATAAAATACATGTGAGTTGCTCCTTCCAGGTGGTAGCTTACGATCGCAATCGCCAGTTTATGACAGTGGATTGCGATTGCGACCGTCTTTACTAAAACTGTCCCTTCATCCACTGTGTTTTGCATGAATGAATTTAGAATTTTAGTATCTGTAATTTTTTAATCCCATCTGATTCAATCGAGATTTAACCCTTCTCCTTCTAGCGTCTGCTTCTGTTTTGCCTGGTCACTATATAAATGCTGTTGAGAACCAAATGCAGACGATCCCTTGCGGCAGGACACGTGTTGATTCAAGTTCGACAGTTAGTTGGACGGGGCGAAATGGTGCAAGGGCTACAAATAACCCTAGGTTCACGCTGGACACAGCAACTGGTGGCCTTATTATTAATCGCGCGGACCGAAACGACTCTGGGTCCTACAATTGTTCCATCATGAAGATAGAAGGCAGGGAATTTAAAATCACCACATATGAGATGTTTTTCAATGTGCAATGTGAGTTTTCAAACTGCTAATTTTTTTAATTATGATGTGGCTTTAGATTTCTATTATTAAGGTATTATTCAGATATGGTACTTTAATGTTGGGAATAAACGGATGTTTTCAAAAAACGCGCCGATCTTCAAAATAAATGAAAAACTTTATATTTTTATTTACACTAACAGTAGGAAAATTGTTCAAAAATAGAAAAAATCAATGGTTAGTTAACAAGGGAGAAGGTCCGTTCTCTTCTCTACAGCAGAGCTTGGCTTTATTTTCTTTGACTGAAAAATCTCCTTCTCCCCTGGCGATCTTTTTCTAGGACCGCCCCTGTGTATTCCCTCGAACGTGATTCGAAAGACCTTATAGAAAACTCTATTATACTATGTAGCTGGTTAAGACAATCCTACAATTACTTTTATCCCGTAATAAGCTTTATCTGAATGAATCTGACCCCACATTAGTCAGATTAGACACGAAGAGAGAGGATTCCTTACAGGTGACCTCGAGCTCGTGACAAATCTTCCGTCCATTGAGCCGCCGCTTGTACCACATGGTAAGAGTCTTAGAAACATTGCCATCACATTCACCTGCTGCTTGGGTAATATACCACATGCCTCTTTGTACCAAAGTTCTGAGAAACATTGGCCCTTTGCGATTTCGTAGACGATCTACTTCCAAAAGAAGACTTTGCTGCAGAAATATTTCATTACTCTTTACTTGGAACACATTTTGCCTTGTTTTAGCTTTAGATACAAACTTTTTTTGCTTTGAAAAGTCAAAAAGGAACCCCTGTTCCAACTTTTCGCATGATAGTAGGCATTGAATACTGCAATTTGTATTGAATACTGCAATTTGTAAGCTTAGTATATTTATGGACGTTCCCTGTGTGCAAAAACAAGACGAATAGAGAAAGATAAGGGTCTTGGAGTTCAGTTTCAAGAAATTCCATTTTTGATTTTACGCCCTTTAAGTTCTCAGGGATTACGGAAAATATGTGCATTTATATCAACAATGAAATTTTTAAATCAAATTTTTAGATAAATTTGTCTGTTAAGTCACAATCGTTTGATTTTTTTCAACTGCTTTTAATGGAATGGGCAAACCCAGCCTGGATGGCCTATGTCATTACGGACGGATTGGAATGGACTTTGAAACGTCTTGAACAGTAAACAATCTGTTTTCAAAGTTGTTTACTTCTCACAAGAACTATACCTAGTGTTTAAATTGCTAGCCAACACCGGAACTGCAGAAAACATCTATTGAAAGCATAGTCAATGTAGAACGTTTTTGTTGTGCAAAACAATCAAGAATTAAAGACAAACATTTAAAAGAGCTAGGTTCCCTTTTTTGCCCATCAAGTTTCTTGTTTAAAACACTAGAATACAGGTCTCTTATAAAAGGCTTTTTTCGCAGTCATTTTTTAAATGTGAATAAGATAATTTCACTATAGCGCCCTGTAAATGCACGTAGAATCTGCAAGGGTGAGGTCAGAGTGCTTGTAACTGAAGAGCTTTTGAAAGTTGAAAATATAGTTATTTTTCATATGAAAGCAATGTTTCACCATGAACTATAACAAATTTGAAAAGGCTTTGAAGACTAAGCTTATTTTAATTGTTGCTCATGGTAACAATCAGTTTATTATATTTAGATATCATTTTTCGTGTTCAGGTGTCGGAATTTGCAAAACAACCTCGAGTTATTCGGTATGCCATTGCCCAAAATCTCACGACCTCGCATACCTTTGTCATCTTTGTTCTGGTACGACAATTTACAACTGTCGTTTGACACGGTACTCTTTATTAAGTTTGCTGTTGGAAAGCCAACGGCACAATGCACACAATTTTTACAATTGCTTGTCGGCGTCTCTCCTAATTTAATCCAATTACAAGACCTTTTTTATGCGTTAAGAGTTTGTGATTTGTCGATATAAATGCGGTCAAAACTACATAAATCTTCACTAACATGGCTTCAAAACATATTTATTAAGATTTATCTTTGAAAATTTTGGCAAGTTAGGAACCTTGTTCCGTGAGGTCTATCTTTAGAAGCGATTCCTTAGGGTGATTCTTTTCATTAAACACATGAACAAATATGCTGCCCACCAACTGTGATAGAGTTGAAACATAACATGTACCTGGTTTAGTTTTCTTTCTTTATGCAGTCGTCAGCACCCTACCTGCTAGAATTGCTTATCGTATTCGCTATAGAATAATGGTCTTCATAACAATCGAACCCTTTTTCATGAATTCCTTTTTTCTTATCGACTCCAAAAATAACTACAAAAGAAAGATCTGTTTCCATACATATCTAACTACCCTTTGGATAGTCAAATCGACCCCCATGGCCGATATCAACCCCTTTGTAGACCCCTTTTATAGGGGCTGATCATAAGTGACTGTCCGCTTCAATATTTAAGTCGATTATTTGAATCTGTCCTTTACATTAAAAAAGAATGGTATGAACTGAATGCTTGTTGTTGCTCATTAGGGTCGGACATGGTATCAAGGAAGAACTCGCTCCAGGGAAAGATCAGACTATTTATCAGACAATGATTTTCAGTTTGTTGGCTTGTTGGCTGAAGTTGGAATTTCTCAAGGGTTCCTCGTTTCTCAAATGTTTTCCCAATGATATTTGCATAATGTCAGCTTAAAGACTTTGTTTTTAAAAAGGTTCCTCTAATTAGCCAAGACTCAAAACTTATCAACAATTTTGTTAAAATGCTACTGAAAGATGTTTTCCTAAAAATATCTTGCTCTTTTTTGTTTGCAAAACGAAACAGCCAGCGGGCATACGAGAATCAAGACAAGCTTTCACACTCCCCTCAGCAGTCAGTGGAAACCTGCTTTTACAAGAAAATAAAACTCCTTGTTTTCTTTGGCTTTTAGACATTACTTTTTTTCTATACTGAATTTATTCTCAGTTTTAAGATTTATATAGAACCAGTGATATTTGTTTTAATGCACATTTATTGTAAAGCCTTCCAGGTTTCAATTCTTTTCACTTTTGAAGATTCAATTTTCAACTTGAGCCTTCATAAGTAACCCCGATGTTCTATGTTTCAGATCATCCAGAAATTATTTACTTCTATCCGGAAGTTACAGCTCTCGTGGGGGATTCGACATATTTTCCGTGTGTTGCCATTGGAAACCCAGCTGCAAACATTTCTTGGCAACACAAGGGGCAGCCGTTATCGAAGAGCCCAAGGTTTACAATCAATAGCAATGGGTCTCTGATAATAGAGGACATACGGCGCGAGGACGAAGGGATATACACGTGCACACCCATCAATAAATGGACTGGAAAGAAGAAACATGCTACGCTGCAAGTTTTAGGTATTTATCTTGCTTATAATTGACATGCGTTCGTTTAGTTTTTTTAACCCCGTAGGCCTATTTATTATTTTATGCAAATCGAAAAGTAAATTTGAAAATGAACCAAAATGTATGCCTTATGCAGAATTACTGTTAAAAGGTTGGTCAGACTTAACCCAGAAAAACTCAAGCCTTTAAAGCGCTACATCAATATGTTTGTCACCCAGCTTAATGGCCGTGAGAGAAGAACCGATGCCAGTAACGTCACATCACAGTTCTTCTTGTTTATGATGAGTTGACAATTTTATAGCGAAATAAAGGTCAAGAATTTCATATTTGTTCTACAATTTGTTCTTATCATTTTTAGTCAATGGTATTTAAAACAATAATGTTCAAATAAAAGACTTTATTATTGTAGCGATTTGTTATAGCGATAGAGTTAAAATTGTTTGCTGACCGTGAGAATATTCTAAAGAGATGCATTTAAACATGTTTGGCACTTTTAGCTTTTTTTTATAACAAATCAGTTCGCACTTTCTCACACTAAATACAAATCGTCCTCACTGATTAGACTTAGACTAAAAACAATATGAGAAATATTAGGAAGTTGTTATTGACACTAGTTTTTCAAGAGAACAGAATACCTTGATCCCTAATAAGCAAGTTAACAACAAGCCCTTTTCTTTGCACTCAAAGCACCCTTCATAAGCACTAAGAACAGGACACAATTTGAAGTTTCCGGCACTGTGCCTGTTTCTAAGATTATTGCCGAACGAATCCAATCTACACTTGGTGTGTTTCTTCGTTAGCGAAAAGTATTGATGGCGTACCCTTTAATATATTTTTTAGTGCTAATTGCTCAATATATTTGCCATGTTAATTACAGTTCCTCCTGAATTCATCAACTCGCCGTCGTTTGCACAAAATGTCGAAATTGGAGCGAATGTTACGTTCGACTGCATGGCCCGAGGGTTTCCAAAGCCAAATATCACGTGGTATACAATCGAGTCATCAGGGGCTTTTGAACACGTTTTTACATCAAAAGATGGAGTACTAACTATCAGAAATGTGAGGCTTTCTGATCATGCGAGATATCGATGCTACGCAACGTCTGTTGCTGGGACTGCCTCACGGGATTTCATGCTGTTTCTTAAAAGTAAGTGCGAGCTGAATATACTTGATAGATAGATGCACAGTAATTCATTATATGCTCCTTTTTCAGTAGACTGTGCATGGTGTCAAAGTGATACTGTCTTATGTTTTTGTATATCTTATTTTTTAGGACCCCCCAATCTTGTTTCAAGATGATCTGATAATGAATTTCGAAAGAATGCAATAATATACGTGATATATATTTATCGCTGACGTTAAAGGAAGCTATGCATTACATTGCATCTTTGGTTAACCGCTTCTCTCATCCAGACTCATTTTGTCTTTTAGAAACATCCTTGACAAGAAATAGATCTTTTCACCTTTGTAAACATCGCTAAAGCCTTCTTTTTTTCTTTTCAGCAACGCCATATAAACCAGTAAATATCACCACAGAATCTTTCTATAACATCACAACATTATCTTGGGCCTCACATGCTAATGGTGTAATTGTCGAAGAATTCGAATTGTGGTATCGCCCTTTGAATAGTACCGAGTATGAGTGGCAGATTTATTTATTCAAGCAGTTTGGCAGCGAGACTGCCAATATCACGGGGGTCTTGAGTGGCAATGATGTCATCTTCAGAATGCGAGGGAAAAACCCGCAGGGTTTAGGCCCATTTAGTGATGCATATATTGTGTTTAAGAATGGAACCGGCATTGAGGCAGTGAAAGATGAAAGAAAAGGTGAATGGATTTTTATTTACACCCCGTTTAAACTGCATGTGTTACGGATTCATGCCTAGGGGAAGTTTAGTTCAATACGAGGCTTTTTTGCTTCCCGTTCTTTACTAAGGCTACTCAATTGTTGAAGCTTTTGATCTTATTTTTGAATAAATTCAAATGAATAGTTTGAATTGTGAGTTGTGGAATTGATTGTTAGTAGCAGCAGAATTGTTCTACAGGCTTCAAAGATTCAGAGAAAATTGGCCAGCAAATTTTCTTGATGGAATCAGCCATTCATTGTTGACAGCAACATATCTTCGCTAGGGCCTAATTGTCTTGATTTAGGAACTTTACAGCATGAAGGGACTTCAGACAATGACTGATGTCTTCCTAAGTCTCTTTCAACTAATATTCTTGCCATGGTTTACGCATTATCGTTTGATAACTTACTAAAATCAACCATGTACAACTCACTTTATGTAGCATGACTGTTGTTGTTTTCAACATCCTCAAGTACTCTATGATTTCATGGCTGGGCTTTCGTAAAACCCACGTAACAAACCCTGCCAAAAGTTGATTTTTCAGTATATATGTTTTCTCGAATTCACTACAATTTATAACCATTTCATTTTTCGTGCATTTTCTTTTTACAGAGGCAACGCCCATGGCTCCGTATGGGCTACAAGTGAATGAAACCAGTAAGGGTTTTCTTTTCACTTGGAAGAACGTCTTCGCACCCGGTCGTCCGTCACCGGACTACTTTGTAATCGAAAGACGTGACGGAAATCGCTCGTGGACTGCAATTAAAGTGAATGGAAATGTTGATAAATACTTTCTTCCAAGTGAAAAAGCGAGCAATCGTGGTTTTACTTTCAAGATGTATGCAGTTGGTGTATGGAGAAGTGACTATGTGGAACCAACAGTATTCAAGGAGGAGAAAAGTAAGGATTGTTCAGAAGTAAACGCAGTCTGTTTAGGAATTCGATTATTGGTGCCACGAGGATGATTATTTTAAGCCCTGTGAGCCCTGTGAGCATAAACAAGGCTGGTTTCTTCTTAATTAAAATGGCAGTATCCGGCAGAATGATGATTTTAGTTCATAATTTTATTAGTTGCGAGGCATTACACTTATCTTCAAATTGTAATTTATAAATTTGTACACTACTATAAGGCCATTCTCTACATTCGTAATTGAATTTGAAGATACAGGTTTTGTTACTGGAATTCTCTAGATATTGCCAAAGACGATACGGCCACATTTTTTATGCGTTTCAAACTACAAAAATAAACTGTTCTTTACTCATAAACAGCTTTGATTCAAACGCTTTTCTTTGCTCATCCGCAGTAACAGAGAAGAAACGCATCCCACCCATCGTTGCTGCAAAATCAAAAGGAAAAAAGGACGACCCTTGGCCTGCGATCATTCTTGGAGTTATTTTCTCTGTTTTTGTTCTGATTTTAATTATCAGTCTGTTGTGTTTCTTGCGTGCAACTGGCAGACTTGGTGGCTCTCGAGCTCGTAGAAATTGTGGAGGTTTGTTCAATTTACCTTCATTTTTTAAGTCATGGCTTCTTTCCTGGCTGTATTTAAAGGGCACTACCAAAGCGATCTATCTATTAGGGTCTATCTATCTATTTCACTCTAATGCTACATCTGCTGTATGTGGCTCTCAATAGCATTAGCAATAGCAAGCAGATACCCCAAGAACCTAGAAAGAAACAATATCTCATTGAATTGAAGGGGAAAATTCTTAAACATGCAGTATTGGAGTTTCATATCGAGCCATAGAAGGTCTTTATGATTTGTTTCTAATTACAAAGCAAGTTCTTGTTGAAAATTCAAAGGAGCTATAGCCTAAAACTGGTGAAGTTGTGAGTCAAAATTTCCCATAATTCCCCTACTTTTATTGTTTAAAATGAAATTATCTTGAACTTTTACAGAGGTCAGGTTTTGAAGTGGTATTTATCTTGAAGTGGTATTTCTCTTATTTTAAAACTTGAAATACTCACCATCCTTATTGATTTGCATTCGCCTGCTTCAAGTATCTCATCTTTTCTTTATGAGTGTTTGACTATTTCTGAACTAAACGATTATTTTTTTGAACTAAATAATAATAGCACTTGCTTTTCTAGCTTCTAACAGCTTCTTGGGGTTTTTAGATTCCCAGTGACTGACTGTGATTTTTTGTTCGTTACTGTGCCAATTTTGTCAATTTTGTTCAGTCAGTGATGTATGTATTATGATTTTTCCGTAGAAGAGTTGTTAGATGAAAAGAATGAAAACGACGGAACACTTAGGTAAGAATTATTGTTCGGAAGCAATAATTTCTGATCTCTCAATTCTTTGCAACTATGGAATTTGGTTTTAATGCGTATTTAAAGAAGTCTTTCTCAGTGATAAGTATGTTAATAGGCGAAGCATCAAACGTATATCTTACACAAAGTTATATGCATGTCATGTATTTAAATGGCGTATTAAACGACGAACTGCACGTAAACAGAGTCCAGATAAATGTTTATTTTTCCTGTGGACAATGTCTTTAAGCTATGGGAAACTTCCTCTGAAAAAGAAAGAAAAATAGGCGGGGTTCGGGTGTGGCATTCCAATTTTTTCCATTGAGCCTCCTTGTATTTGTTGACCATATGATCGTCATGTTGTCTTGGCTCTGCACGCAGAACGAAATTGTTGATCTAGTCTAAACTAGCGAACTCTTGATTTACAGGCATATCTTGGATAGTTGATTGCCAGATTGCAAGCTTTAGGTTAGTTTTCTGTTTTTTGTCTTGCTAGGAATGGCAACGATAGCAAGGCTTCCAATGGCCTAAAGGTAGTTGGAGATAAAGCATTCTATAAAAAGAATTCAAAGAAAGCAAAACCGTTTCATTTTGACAACTGCCCGATCAAACTCATTAGTGATTATGATGGCACAGAATACGAAAAACTGCTTCTTGAATCGAGCGCGCATGTAATATTTTCGGAGAGTCCCGAGAAATGCGAGTGTGAGTATCGAAGATGTATGACATTGCCAAGGAAGCCTGGTACAAGGCCTATGAAGGCACCAAAGGCGAGTCTCTATAAGTGCGCGTCACTTCCAAATGGGATGACAAGTGGAAATGGTATGGATAGAACGACAGAAACGATGGTTGAAGACGAGGATTATGACACTGAGGATGAAGATTTCGTTGATTCAAAGTTTCCGACAATCGATCGAAAATTCTCAAAGATGAAAAAGTCGAAAATGATCGATTCGTATGACCAGTTCTGCCGATCAGCGAGTGATTTTGGATCAAAAGATATCGTTTCAACACCGAAAACAAAGAAATCGGATGTTGATTTCTATGTATCTCCGCACGAGGATGAAGCCAAGGTCAGATTGATAAGTCCTACAGAAGCGGATCAATGCAATCTTGAGGCATCTAATAGTCCAACTGAATCCAGCCGAGGCAAAATTCACGATGAACTTGTTAAGAATAAGGATGCTAACAGTGATTCTGGATCACCACCACAGGGCTCAAAGGAGAACGTATTTGAAGACCCAAATGACGCGTCTTCAGAGAATTCAACTGCAGAAAGTGATCGTCGGCCGTTCTCAGCCGGCCCAGCATCAAGATTACGTCACCCATCGGCAAAGCCAGGCTACGCTGTTCGTTCTCCCTTCCCAGATGATATTGGCAATGAGAAGCTATTGACAGTAGATCGCGCTTTGACGGCAATCAAGGAATCGCCGAGAGCCAGCAACGACTCGGTTGAAAAGCATTCGCTGCGGTCCTACGAAATTCGCTCCAGTGGTTTTGAGTCTGAGGGCAAACCACCATCAACCTCAGACACAGAATCAGTCCTCAACTCAATGCCGCCACTTACGTCTGGTTTCAGATTTAAAGATTATGACGTCATGAGTGATATTTCAACGCGTAGTTCTCCCGGACCGCTTCGCCGTGCCATGCCCTCCGGTTCTTACGACGAGCATTATGAATGGGATATACCAAAACGGAGAACTTACGGGCGTCCAATATACAACTCACTAAGGAAAGACCGGTATCAAAATCATAGACTTTCAATGGATAACGAGGATCTTTTCCAATCGATCATGAAAATGCAGAAACAGCTGGGGGTTGAAATAGATGACTCCTGGGAGAATCTGTCTGAGGACACGAACCTTAGTCTTGTGGGTAACACGCAAACACCGTTTTATCGTGACGGTTACACTTCAGATGTTCCATCATCTTTTACAGATAAAGTTAGTTCATATACAGAGCGCGAGAAAACGCGGAGATGCGCAGAATTGCTCGAGGAATTAAAACGGAATAAAGGCAGTACTTCTTCACTACCAAGGACTAGCAATCTGAAGCGCAGCCAGAGTGCTGTTAGTGACTATTTGAGAAGTAAGCCGGTTTTGCCTCCGATTCAAAGAAGCAACAGTGTCTGCGAAGAGGAAACAACTGTATATCACGAATGGCTTGTATGAAGATTTGTGTGTGATTTTTAAAATCACATTGGTTTTCATAGATAGTGATTTCACTAAGCTATCAAGCCGGATATAGATGTGTAATTTGAAAATAAACCAAGATAAAAGTTAGAGATCGGGGTGGCTTGATGCCTGTACTCTTCACCGCGGTGGCTTGATGTACAGAAAATTTGAGAATTTTGTACGAAGAAGATATGTTTACAATTGTCAATGTAGCGCTATTAATACACAGACCTTGCTAAGCAGGAGGTTCGCACGTGTCACATTGCGCACCCCACATAGCGCACGCCCGCATCGAATGAGACATTCGCAGCATTTTAAAGTCTCCACACCTCTTATGAATTAAACCTTGGAGAGTCCACGGGTATGAAAATCGACTTGTTTTTCTGAAATGCAACTGTTAATTTTTGTTGTTTTGATCAACTGTAGAAATACTTGTTTTGATCGAGTTTCACTTTCGTAGATATTTGCATAGAAAATAGATTCGTGTATGTTTTTACTGAGGGAGTTTTCATTGCATTTGCTAAGAGGGTTCAATGAATTTTAAAACTAACACTAACATTTTGCAAGGGCCTCTGTAGTGTATGACGTAGTTTTGAGAGATAATTATCCACCTTTATTGTGACTCTCTTAGTTTTTTAAGATCCTTATAGGCATGCTTCAACCGTCAAAGTGGCACTGTTTCTAAAAGATCTCCTTTGAAGGATTTTTCCATCGCTAGCATAACAATTTATTGTCAACTTTTGTAAATTCAAACCCCTCCCTTTCCCTTCCAAGTTCTAAGAATCTTGTGTAAGCTTTTTACCTACTGATAATGTAATAAGACACTCAATGGTGTGAAAAATGTTTTTGCAAAAATATATCTTATCTAAGTAGAAAACATGTTATTGTAAATGTTTAAAACTATCCCGAAGAAGAAGAACTACAGAAAACTAGAAGAAAAACTCGTTTTTGAATCATTTAAATAAACATAAAGTATCTTGAAAAATTTTCTTTGAAAGTATCAACAGTGGGAATTTCTTTCCACATCATCATTTCCACAAAATATTTTATGATTTAGTACTTCAGTACCCCAGAATCAGTAGGGCAGGATAAGCTATTCCCCCACATTTTACCAAGATCTTTATGGAACATTTGGTGATTACCTAGAGATATCTTGAAATACTTTAATTAAGAACCCGTTCATGTTGTTCCCCTTCTTGAACGAAATATTTTGCACATTGCTATTTCTGTTGATATTTTTATTTACTGTTTATATCTAGATTGTAAGTTTATCTATTTTATGATTTAAGTTGATTTTAATTCTTTTAGAATGAGAATGATTTTAATATATTGCTTTTATATTATAAATTTAAGCTAACTCGTATTTGTTTCAGTTGCTTCTGATTGTGGCCCTCAACCCAGAAATACCGATCTCTTTGAAGCTTGTTTCTTTGATAGTAGTGTTTAGATGTAAGGAAATTTTGGTAGAGCTTTCGCAATAAGCTAAACCCTTTAAATCCTGCCTTGTTGTACATGCAGCCCTTTTTGCACAATCTATTGCTCCCTCGAAAAAAATGAGGTATTTTCCCAATACCCGTCCAAATTCGACGATTGCAGTTTTATTCCATGATTCCAAAGTTAATAGAATTATATATCTTTAGCTATGTTTACGAAGTTTCCCCAGGTCCACATTTTTCGATTTTAAAGTAAATTATTTAGTTAGTTCGTGTAACACAACCTTAATCATGCTCTTTTATATATGAAGGTCATTTTGTTTTCGCGTCAGACTGCAAAATGAATGCTAGTAGCGTACGGTGCAAGTTTTAATTATTCATAGCCTATTTTGCAGTGAAATAGGGTAGGTTTAAATGCCTAAAAGACTGACCTGCCACTTTGATCTACATTATTCATAACTAAATCGCTAGGAGCTGTTTGCTAGGGCGTAAAGCCTACCGTAATCCCACCATAATTAAAAAAAGCCGTTCGTTTTTCATCAAGACATGTTCTATAACTATCATCTAGCCAAAACTGCTTCTGTTCGAATGAAAAATTAACCTCGTTGCCCGAGACAGGGATGTAAATGGCGGTGCGCTGGATTAGAAAACTAGCTTTGTGTAAGATAACATGATATTGTCCGCGTAAGGGTCTAGGAACTACTGACCTTAGGTTATTTACTCGTTTGAACACCCATTACTCAAAGACAAGGGGCTTTGTGACAAACGAGGGAATTTAATTTCTGATTTTTTATTCAGACTGTTGTTAGGGTTGTAGTTTACCTCATTGTTGAAAAGTTTGTTCGTATGAGATTTCTAATTATATCTAAGGTTATTACATCGGCAGTCATTTCATACAGAAAGTCGCATCTCTGTTTTCCTGTCTCTGAATACTTTGTGATTTGAATTCCGTCTTCTCTTTATCGAGCACATTTTAAAGCAGTCTCTTTTCACTTGGAAAGAAGGCTGGGGGCCCCAACTTTTTTTCAAAACAATAAAATTTTTAAAAAATCTTTGGTTTTAATTGTTAAAAGCTCTCTTGGCCATCTCCCCCCCCCCCCACTACTTTCCAACCTTCGTCGGAGCCCATCCAAGCGTTTGCTGGATTGTTCCAATTCGTGCCAGATTAGCAGTGCAGAAGTGCGAGGATAAGAAAGTCATTATCTGAAAAAGTGTAGAGATAGTTGATAAAGACTGCACTGGGGTTACAAAAGTATGGAAACGTTGCTAAAAATAGCGGCTCACAGGAGCAAAGGGCCTAAGCCGACAGATTTTTAAAACAGAAGTTCACCGCCAAGGGGTTTTTGTAACGAACGCTTTCGCCACGAAATTTTTTGCGTAATTCCAATGGCTTTTGAATCAAAATAAATTTGAAAGATTACCTTACTGTTTTGCGGGTGAAAAGTCAGGGAAACATTGGACCGGTGCTTCAGAAAATTTCTGGAAAATGTTTTCGAAGGATTAATAATAAAATGCCTCAAAGTGCAGACAATACCTGATAAGTATAAGATAGTTTAATCAAACTTGAAACTGAATACGTGCATTTTGTTCTGACTTCAAATGTATTACCGAGAAGATTATTTTGGCTGAGATACCAGGCTTTAGGTTGTTAAAAGTGATATCAGGTAAACAATTTCTAAAACTGTCATTTTGTGATCAAAATAGTTTGCTTGCTAACATCGACGCTTTGGGTGTAGATGGTTCTTTTCATTAATTTCAAGAGCATAATTAACGCTGAAGATTTTGGTTCAATATTTTGATTGTTGTGTTGTCGAATGAAAATCGAGTCGTTTGGCCATCTTGTAGAGTGAGTCGAGTGAGCGCGTGCGCAATTGTCATATCTTATGCTTAGTTATTTTTAAAAGAATTAATCTATTCTAGAGCGGGGTGGTCAAAAGGGGGTAGGGAAGCATACTACCAGGGGACCTCTTAAAATGACGAGTTCCATGTTAGGAATGGAATTAATCAAATGAAACAAAAGTATGCCTGAATATTTAAAAAATCGAATCGTTTGGCCAAGGCTTTAGGCCCTCGATGTAAGCCGCCATCTTGACCTAGCTACCTTTTCCATACTTTTGCGAACCCAGTGTATTAGAAAAATACATTTAAAGCTGTCTTTAAAAAGTTTCAATGGACCTTTTATGTCATTTTCATTGTTTCCAGAACCGTAACAATTACGTCAAAGGTAGAAGTCGTTTGTGCTGAAGGAGTCCCTCTGCTACGGATTTCCTCTTTGTCACAGCCCCCGATTCTTTGTTCTGTTTTGCTGTATTCTTCTGATCGATATTCTGGGAAAATATTGATCTTGTTGCAGAGCAACACGGGTATCACGTGGTCAGCCGTCAAAAAGATTGAAGTTGGACATTGAGGGTTTCAGGGAAGCAAGTCAGTCTTCTGAAGCAAATAAATCTTGACAAGTATTTTGACATAAGATCCCAACAAATTTGCTCTTAATATGCGAAAAAAACAGCAAAAAGTCGTCAAAACAAGTCGACCAAAAACCTTCCTCAGCGTGGGCTAGAGGAGGAACAACAAAACACAGAGTTTCCAAGGAAACCACGTTTTTAGCATCGAAGCTATTGTCAATTCCGCGGATTGCCCGCGGATAATCCCCGGGGACTACTCTCGACTCAGTCTGAATGTGATTTTCAAAATGGACGACGCTGCTCTCTGCAAATATGCAGATTAATATCGAATTTTATTGTCACGTACCAAAAGTGCAGAACAGGAGTGAAAGAACCAGTAAATAATTTAAAGGCGACTTGTCCTTTCTGCAAAAGCTCCGGGATTAAGCGTTGATCGTTTTTTTCTCATGGATGTAAAGAACGGAGTCTGAACTTTGATTGTGCAACAAAGCGGGAAATAGTTAGTTTACGAAAAGACATTTCAAAATAGTGGATATTATCTTGCTCATGAAAGAATTAAAGTATGCAGAAACTATGGAAAGAGTTTATGATTTCTGGAGCGTTTATCCTTATGTTATACTTTCTGCATGCTGATGGTGAGAAAAATGTTGTTTTGTTTATTAACGGAATGGTGTCTTGATTGAGAAATTTGAGTGCATTTAGAACCATTTATTTTCTTTTCAACGCTTTAAGAATCGCAAGCTACAGTTATTTGCTTAGATTACTTCTAATATAAACTAGCATTAATTATTAACATTTCAGAGATGTAAAATCCCGTGGGTGTGGAGTTGAAGTAGTGTAAAATAACTATCGCCATGCGTCCTCCAAAACTTTGAAAATGCTTTTACACATTTTCGATACATCGATACATTCCCATTTTCTAAGGGGGGACTAGTTTCCTCCACTTTTTCAGAAAGTTGGATCTTGAGATTCTTGCAAACCTGAAGAGGAAACTTCAGGGGGAGGGGGGGGGGGTATGTACGTTATCTAGATCGTCACATTTAAAAGACATTTCTTGGGAGACAGAGACACTTTTAAAACTAAAAGAGAACCTCCTTGCACATCAGAGGTCTCTTTGAAAAAGACATTTCTTTCAAACAGAAGGTTTGTTTTGTATTTGTCATTGTAATTTTATTTTCTTTTAGCTGCAAGCAGCTGTTCACCAGGGAAATTCTACCACACCAGTAATGGAACTTGGGCATGCTATGATTGTCCACCTGGACACTAGTAAGAAACATTTTAGATTATAGTACAAAGCTATTTCTGTTCATGTTGAGGTTGATAAACTATTCATGATCTCCATAATTGCAAAAATATCAGTAACTATTAAAGATGCCCACAAGGTATGCTTCTTTTAGCTAATGGTTTATGAAAAATGCAATTGCCTTAATTACTTAGAGCTTGAGAAGGTATGCTGCAGCAATTTGGAATTCTTAGCAATCGACAGTACCCTTTTATTGTGCTTTGGACTTGAAAAGCATCTCTACCTATATATACCTGATGATCACATTAAGCGCTTTCAGTTGCAAAACCTGCTCTATACAGCAATTTCTTCTAAAGTTTAACATTTCATTGTCACAAAATTATGCTCAATTTAATGACATCAGATTTTAAACTCTTTAAAACTTCACTCCAATGAGGAGGAAAGGTTTTCTTTCTATCAAGCTCTTTGAGATGCCTCTTTGAGACTTGCGATAGATGAAATATGTAGCTTGGTCAATATATAGAGCTTTTAACAGAAAAATAATGTCACAACTTTCATGATGATTTAATTATAGATTTTCATTTTCAAACTGAAAAATGTTTAAAAAGGAAAATCAGTTGGTAATGTTAGGGAATAGCTCAGGAGCCTATTAGCTATGCCGTTACAAGGGAAAGGAGGAGAGATTTGGAAGAGAGGGAGGAAAGATTTAGCTTTATTTTTGTTTGAAAATCATCAAAAATTCAAGCTCCATCAATAAAGTGATTAAAGAAATAAGTCAAAAATAGTTCTTCTGCACACTCTGGAAAGCCTCCTTGTGCAGTAAGCTTTAAGACAAAAGTTCACCTCCTATGATAAAAGTATAAAATGTAGGAAGGAGGTTGAGATATAATCTTAAAAACACCTTTCTTTGTGTCACATGATTGATTGTATTGTTTCCATTGTGAACGAAAAGTGGTAACAACTGTCAAGGGATCTTTTATTATTCCTAGAGGGATTAGTAATGGTGTTAATAATACTTCTAAATGTGTTGACTTTCATTATTTCTTGATAATTAACTACAATGCAAATTGTCAGGATGTTTCCAGTTTTTCTTTTATATTTTATGGGTTATTGATTAGGCTGCTCTGAACCCTTTTATTCATATCAGCTCTTTTAAATTTATAGAGTTTTTGGTTTAGAAAATACTTTTAACAACTCTTTGCAGGTCAAATCCATAAAAGAATTAGTATTCCATGAAAAAACATTGTTTGTTTGACATGGTGATGTGTGACAGTTGAACAGATTCACTGTCTTTGTCACTTTAAGCACTTATGTATGTCAAGATATGTTATTGAAAATAATGTCACTCTATGTTTCCTTAAACACCCACCATAGACTTCAGTTTTGTCAAAAGTTTATTTTGGGTCTTTTGAAGTTTCATTAATCATTTAACATGAATGTTCTTTTATTAAGAGCCTGTTCTATTTTGTGTGGAGAACATCTGTCCCTGTATGGTCTCCAGCTTAAGATATTGTACAGCATTTAAGTTTTTGTCGGTCCGTAGTTTTCTTAAGCTTTTAGGTCTCTAAACAAAGTTTCTTGAAGTTGTAATTTTTAAGCATTGTTTATACATATATTTATTTTTAGCTGTCCAGGTGACAAAAACACCTCTGTCCCATGTCCCCTTGGCTACTATAACAACCTGACTAACCAAGCAGATTTGGCAGCATGCAAGGTACCTTTTTGATACTTCAAATCATCAAGTTGTTTCATAAAATATGTTTGCTTTGAAGATCTATTAATTTGTGAATAAATACTGTTTATCGCTATTTTTTTATCTGGTATTGTTGCTTCTCATTAATATATCACATTAAAAATAGGTATCATAGAACTTTGAAGATTTCAATGCCAAACCTGGTAATTTGCCAAACCATGCCAAACCTCTTTTCCACATTTGTTAACATCTTGAATATTAGTTACAATAAAAAATAATAAACAATTTATTTAAAGTTTGCGGAGACAACAGTGATAAGTTATTTAAGGTCAACTATGGAAAATGTATTTAAAGTTGGATTATAAAAGACCTAAATTTTGAAATAAAAAGTTTTACACAGTTTACAGCTGCAGCCAAAAGTTTTGATGGACTCTTTGATTTTCCTTGGCAGAATCTGCCAATTCTGTATCACGAAGCCTCTAACTTTGTGTGACGGTCACTTTGTGTGACAGTTAACTTAAATCCATCTTCAAATTTTTTTTCTTATTTTAGCCATGCCCTGCGGGATTTTATTGTCCAAACAGAGGGGAGCTTCCAAAACAGTGTCCTCTTGGTTTTTATTCAAACATCACTGGTAGCACTACCTGTTTTATATGCCCTGAAGGATTCAGTTGTGAAATAGCATCATCAAAGCCAGCTGCCTGCCCCACTGGCTATTATAGTGCAGCTGGTAACATTACTTGTACTCCATGCCCTGCTGGTCATAAATGTGTCAATGGTGCCTCACCATCTCAATGTGCCATAGGTAAGTGCCAATATTTCAAGAAAATGGAAAACTTAAGGATTCCTGCAAAAGTTTGCTTTAACAATTTCCTTCTCTGTGAAAAAGCTTGAGTGTAACTGCATGTCTTTAAGTTCAGCTTTTATAGTAACCTAGTTGATCTTTATTTGTTTACATGGGCTGTTTAACAGAATGTACCACAGAATGCTATGTCATTATGTCACAGTTAAGCAACTGGTCAGGTTGCAGGATAACTTTGAAGTGACCTTTGTGTTGTAATATAACTGATTACACAAAAGTTCCCCTGGAACAACAGAATATCTTAGCCTTGAAATGAGTGAGGATTCCTTGGCCTATACAAATTTCTAGGCCCTGTTTCTAATACTCATACAATTAATAAAGTTAACAAAAGCACTGTTTCTACAATCAATACAGTTTATAAATTAAGTTGAAAAGGCACAATCCACTATGTTTTTGGTTTTTTTTACAAAACAGTGATACATCCCTGTTGAATGTCTGTGTTGTATTGTTTTAAGTGATGATGAAAGGTATATTGATTTTAAAGGCCAAATGCTTTAAAGGCTTCTTCATGTTTTAGGCGAATATGCTACTTTTGCAAGTGGGGTTTGTGCAGAGTGCCCTTTAGGGCATAAATGCCCAACTCTTGGGAATGTATCCCCAGAACCCTGTCCAGATGGATATTATGCAAGTGCGACACGCCAAAGTAGCTGTGCTATTTGTGAAGCAGGAAGATCATGTGCCACCAAAACTAACAGCACCGAATGCCCAAGAGGGTATTATAGCCCTCAAGGAGCAATGATTTGTTCAATGTGTGGGGCAGGAAATTACAGGTATGAAACATATATTCAGATTTCATGCATGTTTCTTAACCTGTTAAATTTTTTATTTCAAGTAAGAATGTAGAGTTAAACTTTACAAAGGCTCTCTATTCACAGAAAGTAGTTAACATGACTTTTAGTCACTTTAGCCAAAGGCAACTTGATTGTGATAAGCAGTGGGTGATAGTGGCTAAGTGGTGAACTCTCTGTTATTTGTATCATCTATTTATTTTATTTCCCAAACTTGATAGTATCAAAACTCTCTCTTGATTGCTGGCTTGTTCTGTAAGCTATGTATCTCAATGGAGCTATTAGCAAAATGTTAAAGCTCATTTATCTATGGTCCTACTATAAAATTGAAATGCTTTCACATTTGCTCTGTATCTTTTCTTTTGTTTTTATGCACTTTTGGTGGAACTTTGCACAATACCCAGGATTAATACCCAGCACAAATCTCTGATATTTTTCTTACAGTTTGGCAGGGGCAGCAGTATGCCTACCATGTCCAAATGGTATGTCCTGTCACGATCCTGCCCAAGATCCAGTTCCATGCACAAAAGGATATTACTCTTCAAGTGGCATAGCAACATGTCAAATATGCAGCACCGGGCTTCATGGATTTGACAATGGGACAGGATGTGAGCCATGTGCAGCAGGGTATTATTGCCCTAGCCCAAGGTTTGTTTCCTTGTTTGATTGTTTTGCTTGATTCAGCAAAGGTGAATGGAACCAATCAACTAGTAAATGTATCTGCTTATGAAATTATATATCAGAGTTTTATATCCTAGAGCGAAATCGAAGCATTATAAAAGGAAGAGCCATGTAATTTTGTTAATTGGAGTTTTATTTCAAATGTTGTAAGTGCTTAATAAAGAGGGCTTGCAAAGAGGAGCGAATACTACTACTGATAATGTTCTTAAATATGATACTCGTAACCTTCGAATAGTGGTTTGTTTCATACAGTTTTATAATCTATCATAAAAATGTTATCTTATATTGTTTATTGTTATATGTAGGACTGAAATTATGCATATATATTTTTATACTAAACGTGTTTGCAGGATGGATTGTTTTTCGGTTCTATAAAGTATTAATCTTTCTGAAGTGTATTTCCATCTCATTTGCTACATTGAAATTTCCACTAATAGTTGATACCCTTGTCGTAATATGTTTCACACGCAGAAGCGATCTTGATACTGCTTCAAGATAAATATTGCAAATCATGCACCTTTTATTTACCTCACAGCCTTCCAATGATCAAGTGCCCTCTTGGAACGTATTCTCTTGGTGGATTTGTAACAAATTGCACAGCATGTCCTGCTGGTTATTCCTGCCCACAACCAACGTCTCCTCCTGCAAAATGCAGTGGAGGTATGTAGGCACAGTTTCTATCAATTTATATTTTTAAGATATTCTCATTGAAAAACTTTATTCTGTTTTCTTAAGGGAGCTGTAAAGATTATCTGAATTTTCAAAATAAGTTACTTTTCACTTCATCCACTGTATTTTTAGTTGTCCACAGATGTGATCATTGTATGAATATTTTTTATTGGATGGGTATTGTTGGTTTGCGTTAGGCAGTAAATGATGAACATCTACTTATATTAGTATAAAATGCAAAATTACCAACCACAATGACATTTCAATTGCGCCATGCATAACTGTTCTGCTTCCGGTTAAAACTTTTGAAGAAAAATGATTAAAATGCCTTGATCTTTTTTCCTCATTATCATAGACATAACTTATCCTTTGGGTCCTGACCTAACGTAAAAAATTCGAAGAATTTCATCCCTTTCCCTTTAAACCTGCAATTGTAGAAAGATAGCTTGTTAACCCTGCAAATATGACTGCTTAACCTTGTCCTGTAGGCAGACCGTAGATTGATATCACCCTTAGTTCAAGGCTGTTAAGAGCAAGGGTGCCTGGTGGATCTTGTTGACTTTTAGCTTTTTTCTTCTCTTCAGATATCTCTTCAGATTTTTCTTCAGAATATTACCAATATTTTGGTAACTTTAACTTATTCCACCTTTTTAGCGACGTATGCTCCGGAATACAGCACCGAATGTCTCAAATGTCCAGCTGGGTTCAGCTGCTTGAACAATACGATGAAAGAGCCATGCCCATACAGCGTAGCTTCTGGATTTTATTACAGCACAGATGCAAGTAAGTTATAACGATGGAATGTCCAATATCTGCTTCCTCTTGCAATTCTAAGAAAAATATAAAATAGATTGTTTACTTCAACTGGGGTTCGCATCATCCTTTTCAATTTAGATTACTCGATACTTTTAATGATTTTTGCCCCTTTATTTTTGTGTTGAGGTAAATTTAGTGACTTTTGTTAGGATATATTTGATGTTTGTATTTGCGGATATTGTTCTACGAAGACACACCAATGCAACAACTATGAGTATAATGCTTCGTCGATCAGTAGAACTATAAGACGTTTCTGGCATGACTCTTCATCAGTGACCATGTCCCAAATTTGCTTTTAAGATAAAAGAGTGAAAACCGTAATCTTTAATCAAAGTTTATCTAATTAGGTGAAAATCATCGACATCCATGTAAAAATGACTGCTAAACAATCAATTTTGAATATCAGTATTTGATATGGTCTTTGATTCGGCCTATGTAATAATGGTACTTTCTTAAGAGCTTAATTTATCAGAAAGCTAGCATATCCCTGACAGCGATGAAAGGACTTGTTAAAAGTTTTAGTTATTGATAAATTTGTAACATTTAAAGGTAAGTCTAATTTTTGTAGATCCATATTTATCGAGAATAGTTTAGTTAACAAAAGAAGCAAAACAGAAATTTGGATTCAGTCCAATTTGAATGAACTGATTATTGCTTAACTTTCAATGTTATGATGTATATATAACTAATTTGTTTCATTTTACAGTGCAAACATGTTCGGTGTGCCCAGAAAAAAGATCAGGCCAGGTCTGTGAATCCAGCTCAAAACCGCCCATTACCTGTCAGACCGGACAAATCCCAAGCTCCAACGGAACCGGTTGCCTGCTATGCCGTGCCGGGTACTATTGTTCATCACCGACAGCGGATGAATTGGCATGCAGTCCTGGACAATACTCAAAACCTGGAGCTACAGCATGTATTCCTTGTCCTGTCGGAAACAAATGCCCAACAACCTCCAGCTATCCACAAGCATGTCCTGCTGGACAGTATCAAAATACCGGATCGCAATTGACTTGTCTTACATGCCCGGGTGGTTATAAATGTCCGGATCCTACTGCGGCACCGCAGCCATGCGCAGCAGGTATGTATTGTTCCCCATAGTTTTCTTTTTGAGATCGGCGATGACCTGTTGCAAGAAAACTCTTTTTTCTGAAGAATCTTTATCTTATCTTGTGATTGCGTTTTATCATAAGAAAGAAGTTTAAATCGTATTATCGCCTTTTCTAGGGGAAATCAGTGGACCAGGAGTAACCAAATGCATTCAATGTCCAGCCGGGTTTGCGTGTCCGAATATTTCAAATCCGGCTCAGAATATTGCCTGTCAAAATGGAACATACTCTATTGCCGGTAATATGATTTGCACCCCATGTGTGGCTGGAAAATATTGCCCATATACAACGTAGGTGTTTTCAAACGATAGTTTGATTGTTTTGTTCTTTCTTTCTTTCTACAAGTAGGTCTTTATCCAAGCAACTTTACATTATCAATGAACATGCACCTAAAAGCTGGCACCTAAAAGTATCGTCCATATCTTCCTAGGAACTGGAAATTTGTTTAGTTTTTCCTATTTTAATTTCTTCTTTCTTTTTTTATCGATTCTTGCATGCATCAAAAATAGATCACATTAATTAAAAGTTAGCAACGTCGAGGAATTAGCAAAACATTTAACTTCCAATTTACAGTTTGTACGGTGTGTTTGAATTGAATTTCTCAATTTAACGAATTTTTCATTGATTTTTGGAGAATGAGTACTTTCACGATCAATCAGATAAAAAAGAAATATATTTTCAACTTGACGTATAAGCACAAAATTCTGCTTTCTTTTCTTCATGATTATTTGTGAAGTATTTATTTCCCATCTCAATATGTTCATTTATCTATTTTTGTTAGGTTCCTTATCCCATTTTTCGCATTATAATTTCCTTTCCGTCTCTTTATTCATCAGTATTGATATCGAGATTGACTGTCCTCCGGGTACATACTCCTCCGCATCAGCCAGTAGCTGTACGAGCTGCCCCGCAGGAAAAGAGTGTACATCTGCCACTGCAACTCCAGTGAACTGTCCGCCAGGAGAATTCAGCACCGGGGGTCAAGCCCAGTGCACGATTTGTTCGAAAGGCAACGCCTGTCCGAATACAACCACAGATGAAATGATAAAATGTGACCCCGGGTTCTATGCAACACAAGGTCGAACACAATGTACAGCGTGCAGGGCTGGATTGTGAGTATTTTATATGTTACGAGAATGGCTAAAGTTTGATTAAAGATATTTTTTAAGATAAACATTATTGAATCGATAAAGAAAAGAGGACTTTCGCCACAGGCCGTCTGTTAGCTTCTGTTTAATCCTAATAAATTTACTTTTTTAATTTTTGAAATTAAAGGTACTCTTTAAAGTTTTTTTCATTTCATCAAGTTCATCGATAAGTCATCCATATTATGGATTATATAGAATATGGATTATTTTTAGGAATGGTAGTACCCTAAAAGTGTAGGCATCGTTTTTTACCCGTTTCGAGGTAGCATTTTATTTTAAGTTTGAATATGATATACTGTTTATGTAGCTAGCTGCGTTGTATGTAGTTGATATGCTATGGTCTGCGGGCTTGTTAAGTAGGCTACTTTCCTATTTTACTGTGAATGGTTTTAATTTCCTTGTGAAATCGTCTAGATTCTTATAGGCTTAATCTATGTGCGAAAACAGCTCCTATTGGCCTGATAGATTCATTTAATGATTTAAGGTAGAGGTGTAATGTTTCAGCGTAGTATCAAAATTGGCAGTATTGGATGATAATTAATTTTCGTTTTTCAGTTATTGCCCAAAAACTGATGCGCTTGAGGAGTTTGCCTGTTCAGAGGGGACTTTCTCGTTGGCAAATTCAACAAAATGTACTCCTTGTCCCCCTGGATATGAATGCCCTGACAAGAATACAGATACAATGTAAGTACCTATTCTTATGTCATGTCTAAGCATTATATTCCAAACATTTGTCATGTGATCAATTTTATTCTCTTTATTTTTCAACAAGAATTTTATGGGCAATGAACCCGAAATGTTAAATCTTAACATAACGCTTTCACATATTTACTCAACTTGCATTCTTTTTATTTTAATATAACTTAAACCTCGACGTTTCACTTCCACTGACCAGTAAGGTTGTTCTACGTTACTCCCATTATCTATTCTTAGGACTGCATGCAAGAATGGCACATATTCTCTCGGCAGTCAGATAAAATGCACAGAGTGTCAGCCTGGATTTAGGTGCCCATTGACAACAAGTGGACCAATTCAATGCCATCCTGGTCAATTTTCAGTCATAAACTCCGTGACCTGTCAGACATGCAAGGCAGGTTTTCAGTGTAGCAACCCCGCAGGTATGTTGGCTCCAACGTTGTTATTCTGGTAGTAGAAGGCAGTAACAGTTTGAAAAATTATAATTTTTCTAAGCGATCTTAGTGCTTGTTTGCAGGATATTTAGTTGATAGAAAACGAACACAGTTGCTTTCAGTCGAATGACGTTTTGTGAAAGACCGGGAAAGAGCACGTCTTTGGCGGAGAGAGATATTTGATGGACGTTCATTAAAAGCATTTCATCCTGAAAAGATGTAATATGAAGTGGAAGAAAACATGCTTTTGTCAAAAATTGTGATCAATTTTCTTTGAGATCGTCGGTCAATATTTTTGTTTTTTCTGATCAACATCAGCCATTTGGAAAAGAGATTTGTTACAAAGTGACTAATTAATAAGGGGAATTCTTGACGTTAAAAATAAATTTGTCTATATGGGCCTAAAATGTGAAAAGCTATTTTAAGCATTGTATTGATATGGATTTTTACTTAGCAGGAAAGGAAATGTTTACTGAGAAAAGGGCTTTATAGTGGACTTCATAATTTACGTTACCTAAAGTTTACGGATGGTAGAAGGAATTGGTTATAAAAGGAGGATAAAGAGTTAAGATAATATTTTTGCAAAAACATTCATATGTTTTGATAATTCATGTATCCATTAAAAAGTATGATATTTCTGCCTGTAAAGTTTGTATGGAAAACTAGTACATCCCTTTTTTCCTATCGCTCTTGAATTTTTAGAAATGAGTATCTTGTTACTTGCAGTTGTTTGCTGAAAATAAATTTTGTAGTAAATAGACATGTTTACTTGTTTCAGATCCTGTGGAATGTATGGCTGGATACTACTCGCAACCTGGTTGGGCTGCTTGCAAACTTTGTGACACCGGGTACACTTGCGCTGCCGGATCAAACTCTTCGACGCCTTCATCAGGTTTGTGCTAGCCATTGCCATGCTCACCAATCACATAATCTGAATCATCAGCATTGCTATTGCCTTGCCATCAATATGATTGATCTAAATCACTGTCGTTTTCATTGTGATCATTGGTCGCCATAACGACACGTCCGTTATCATCGCTACTGTATTAAATCATTCTCTGCGTTTTACGTTTTTAGCACAACCGTATAAAATTGTCATCAATATATCAGACATAAGTTTTTAATATAAAGAACTGCCATCCATATCAAAAGCACCATCTTCCGTCGTGACTTTAAAACTTGAATGTTAAGACTGGGCAGCTTCTTCCACTATGACCTATAAAAGCACTCTTAGTACTAAGTCTTACGTCATTCTTATTTTTCAGGGCAATGCAAAGCTGGTGGATGGTGTGATGGTAAACTGTTTTATCCTTGCCCGGCCGGAACATACAACTTATTCACAGGATCAAAAGCACCGTCAGATTGCGTCAAATGCCCATCCGGTTACTATTGCACTGGCCCTGGTGTAATCAACTACAATACATCTATATGCCCGGCAGGTCATTATTGTCCCGAGGCAACAAAATTTGCTCGCGAATTTCCCTGTCCCGCAGGAAAATACGGCCCGAACACAACGGAAACATCTGAGTCTGACGCATGTGTAGTGTGTGCACCCGGCTACTACTGCCCCCAAGGCACTGCTGGTCTTACTAACCTCTGCCCGCCCGGCTACTTTTGTCCGGTTGGAACTGGCGCAGGTACTAGATTTGCCTGTCCGCTGGGTACCTATTCCAGTCTAAGTGGACTCGTGAATGCTTCACAATGTATTGATTGCCCTGTCGGCCACTACTGTCCGGATGGTACAAATGGACAAGCATCTGTAGCTCCGTTACCCTGTCCACCTGGTTCCTATAATCCATATACTAAAGGCGGACATGTCCTCAATTGCAGACCTTGCTCGGCCGGTTTCTCTTGCCCACGAGCTGGTCAAAATGCTTCCACTGATCCTTGCATGGAAGGCTATTACTGTCCTAATGGTACAATAACAAATACTCAATTTCCCTGCCCTCCTGGATCATATACCAATAGTACAAGCTTAACAAGACCGGAGGAATGTACACCATGCCCACCTGGATTTTCGTGTGGCTGGGCAACCGGGTTTCCCACAAGCCCGTGGCAACCATGTCAGCAAGGTCATTTTTGTCCGGAAAGTACACCATCACCAACTAAATTTCCATGTCCTCCTGGCACATTCACTAATAGCTCAAGTCTCTACATGGAGAGCCAATGTACAGACTGCTATCAGACGTACTATTGCCCCGGGGGTGAAGCAGCGCCTAGAGATTTATGTCCACCAGGATTCTACTGCCCAACAAAGACCCGGTTAGCAACTGAGTTTCCATGCCCGAACAGGACATATAATCCTGACTGGGGTCTTTTCAACCAGTCACAATGCAAGACATGTACTCAAGGACATTTCTGTGAAAAAGGAACCGTCACACCATACGAGTGCCCCATAGGTATGATGTATTCAGAATTAATAATGACTTTTTAGCTGTGTTTCCACCTTGCCATGCTGATAATTTCATTTTTTGTCACTGTAGTATTTTTCAGCTTGTTATGTTAAGTATGTATTGTTTGCAAAACTAAAAAGAAATTTAATTTTTTTTCTTAAAAATTGGCGCGAAGAGCACCTTCAAATTTATATTCTACAAACAAAGCAAAAAAGTTGTTAATAACTATCATTTAACTGATTTACCAAAACTAATGATTACCTGTTCAGGCACATACATGCCATATGGGTACAACAGCACGTCTGGCTCAAGTGTTGGCACAGCTGCAGGGTACCAGGCAGATTGTTTGTCATGCACAGCTGGGTTTTATTGTCTCAATGCTACAGTAACCCCTTTCAAATGCGGCAAAGGATTCTACACGAAGGCTGGCCAGTCAGTTTGTCAGGTATCTTTTTTGAGTATTTTAGTGGCTAAATACTCCTTTTTCTGCTGGATGAGAAGTATGTCTCTTCGGACAAAGTATCTCTTCTTTTCCCTAGTACAGCCTTTCAAAACTATGGAAGGGATTTTACCTGGCTGTTTATTTCAAAAGAGGGGTGTTGTGTAGATTTCATGTTACAAACACTCTCATTAAAAAATCTTCCTATAAACGAGTAGATTTTTAGGCTAGCTGTAGGATTCAAATCTATGATTAAATCTTGAGTATAAATATACGTTATTATAAGTTTGGGTCAGAAGATTTCAGGAATAAAGGATTTTGAAAACAGTTTGAAGAAAGTGGAAGTAATTGGTTTTGCGAAGGATAATATGTATTCCCTACGTGTTCATATTTAAATGAGTCCAAGAGTACTAATTCTAGATTTCATTCCTCTAGCGTTGCCCGCCCGGATATTATTGTGACAATGAAACAACTGCAGACTTTGATATGTACGCGAACAAGAAATGCACTGCAGGGAAGTATTGTGGAGGAGGATTGAAAGATCTAGGCGAAGCGACCAATTGCAGCACTGCTCACTATTGTCCGGCAGGTGAGCATCATGTGAAACCGGATGGTTGTAAACTGCATTGATTGCTTAGTACCATTCATACGTTTCCAGACGAAAAATTAAGACCGTATTAACCGAGTATTTGTTACCCATCTAACTGCATCCTTGTGCAAGGGTTATTGATTTCTGGAACTTTAATTGATACCCTAAATGTCTTATCTCATACACTTAATTTTATTTAAATAAAGCGTAGTGATTTTATTTTGCTTTAAATATTCGCTATGCTGTTGGGCAGGGGCTATTTCTAAAAAATTTAACAAGGGAGCTCCAGGGCGAATTCATGACCATGCTATTGTTTTCATAAATGCAATTGTAATAATTAATGCAATGCTTAAGCATGCTACTACGACTTCTTCGTTTTTTGTTGTCAAAGCAAAACAGCATTATTTAGGAGATACGATTTATCGGGGTTTAACTACGTGGAAGGGGTCTAGGGCCAGAGAATTAATTACGAGGGTCTACTCTACGTCAAGATCTTTACAAATTAAGCATTTATAGACCTTTTAAGGAAAAGGGAGTTCAATGCAGAATTGTTGGAGGAGGGCAGAGCCCCCCAAAATGCAGAAAGATTCTCTACCCCCTGCACTCTCCCTATAAATCATCACTGGGTTGGAATTGTTTGTTTAAACCTAAACGAAAACCTGTATGCTATTATATTTACTACAAACCGAGTGAGTAACAAATCTAGTAAGTATTATATTTACTACAAATCCTTCTTTATCAAACACGATGCAGTTTTCCATTGCTTTTGGAGCATTGTCTAGAGGACATGATACCAGCCTGAGAGTTTATTTCCTTTTTAGCAACCCCTGTTGAGATACCTTGCCCAGTGGGTACATACAATTCGGATGAAAATGGGCCAAGTATTGCTGCCTGTAAGCCATGCACGGCTGGCTACTACTGCTTGGAAAAGACCGTCACTCCAACCCTACAGTGTGACAAAGGCTATTATTGTCCCACCAACATAACGGATGGTGTCTCTGCATTAATTATCGGCTCATACGGGCCTCAGCAAATGCCCTGCCCAAAAACAACATACACTGATGTCTATGGTACGCAAAATGTTGGCTCCTGTAAAACATGCACCATTGGAAATTACTGCAGAGAGGGAACTGCCACGCCCACTGTTTGTCCACGAGGCTACTACTGCCCAGCAAATATTTCGGATCCACAGCCTTGTCCGATCGGAACATATGGCCACGAAACTGGATTGCATTACAGAGAGAATTGTACACAATGTGATAAGGGATGGTGAGTTACTGCTTCATCTTTTTTTCAAATTTTAAAGCCTTTAGAGGGGCTTCAAAATTGCTTCATTTGTCACTTTTTATTCATCCGTATCAAAAATCACAGATGTTCTACAAGAGGCTTGCGCTTCCACAGTTTGTAAATCGTCTCTATGGGAAAATTGGAGTATCAAATGCGTATATATAAATTCAAGTGTATCCACTATTTACCCCAGCCTTTGAATGGCAACTGGATCTGAGAGGCCTACTGTTTAAAACATTTGATTTTCAAAGACTTGAAATTTTTCTGAACGCATTTCCATATCCATCTTAACATAACACAAAAAGCATCGAAAGTTTCACTGAATGAAATAAATTTCGCTCTGTAGGTACTGTGATGCTCAAGGGCTTCCCAACCCAAGAGCTCAATGTGACCCGGGCTACGTTTGTACCGGAGGTGCCTACACGAGCACCCCTACCGACGGGACAACCGGAAACATTTGCCCAGCTGGAGGATATTGTACAACGGGAAGCTGGGTATCGAAACCATGTCCCCCTGGAACATACAGCAATACGTCTGGTGCCACCAACGATAAGGACTGTCGCACATGTGATCCGGGCTACTACTGTATGAAAGCTAGTGGCCCTAGTCCGGAAGGTCCTTGCTGGGCAGGTTTTTATTGCAGTTCAGGATCAGACCGACCGAACCAAACTGAAGCCGACGCTGGATTTTATGCACCGGTTGGATCATCATCGCAACGTCCTTGCCAGGTCGGAACATATCAGCCATTTAAACGTGGTGGGAGCTGTCTCCCATGTAGACCTGGACATTATTGTGACACAACACAGTTAACCACAACTAAGACCTGTCGTGCTGGATATTATTGTCCTGAAGGAAGTGAAGTGGAGATAGCTTGCCCGGTCGGAACATACAATAACTTCACTGTGCAGAATTTGTCATCTGCTTGTCTTCCATGTCCAAAAGGAAAGTTCTGTAGTCCCTCAGCCCAAACATACCCAACAGGTACTTTGATTCATTCCTTCATTTTGTAACCGAGCATTCAGAGTTTCTCATATTCCTTTACGTGAAAACAAGTCTGATGTCTATCAGGTAGGCAGCTGATGATAGGTAGTGATGTTTTCTTTCATTTTTATGACTCTTACTCCGAACCTTTTCTAGATTAACACTTTCGATTATGACGTTTTGGCTCGATATGTCTTAAATTGTTTGATTGCTTCAAAGCAATTTATAAATTTTTCACTACCAAGAAAAATTGACTGTGAATTTTGTAGGCCAAGGACTAAATCTTCCCTGTTCTATACCTGACATTTACTTTATTTCATCAACGCTCGCACAAAGCCAGGTCGGGTTTTCTATGCTTGATTTTCACTTTGCAATGACAAGAGGTAGCATTCAGTCCATGCATTCAGAGGTAGCTTCGACTATGTTTCGACCAGTAGCGCATCTATTTTAAAATGGTTGTAATCTTCCAATCTCTCGTAGGTAATTGTGACGCTGGTCACATCTGCTTTGGCTCTGCAACGTATGCCACCCCAACAGACGGTGTTTCCTGGGGGAGACTTTGTTTACCAGGCTATTATTGTCCTGCTGGAACTACGTACGAAAGACCATGTCCAGAGGGTACCTATCTGTAAGTATGATGCAGCAAATCTGAAAGTGTTTCTTTTGTATCTGAGGTGATCCCATTTGGCCGCCCTACTTTTACAACCAGCCGAGTTTCTTGCTATTTGTTGTCACATCACGACTTTTTTGACGATTTTTAATTTTGTTTCAGGGGGACATCTGGGGGTAAAGCCGAAGCTGACTGTCATCTTTGTGACGAAGGGAAGTATTGCTCTGGCACCAATAACACTGCACCTACCGCCGACTGTTCTGCAGGGTATTATTGCAAGAGAGGTAACCGAATGCCAAATCCGAATAATGCAACAGTTGGTGGACCATGTTACAAGGGCCATCGCTGTCCACAGAGGACTACTAATCCGATTCCCTGCGACATTGGTATGCATTTTTATATACGAATGCTTATCTCTTTGTTTCAAAAAACAATCTCTTCTTTGCTTCTTGAAAAGCGTAAAAAGCTCTCTTTTTCTATACCTTGCTCGTAAGCCTGCAAGCTCTCATAAATCTCAGGTGTCTTTCTAATTACTTTTAAAATGTGCTTTTAATGGACACGTTCATGCCTAAAGCAACGATTCAAACAATGATAAAAACTGTTTTGAGATAGTCAATTGTAGTTTAACTAAATATAATAGCTCCGGAGTAGTCACAGCCTTTTGCTCCGGGGGTATCGTTCTCTGTAATGTTTTATAGTAGTTTTTGTTAGTATTGTAGTCTGTAGTATGTATTGTAACGTTTTAGCGGAATGTATAAAAAATACTAAAAGTATTTTCTGCTAGGTTTTCACAGCTGCTTTGTTTCGTCATAGGTTATTACACAAATGAAACTGGAAAGTCGACTTGTGACATCTGTCCTGCTGGCTTTGAGTGTGCATCCGGGTCGGTTACCCCAATGCCTTGCACGCAAGGGTATTTTTGTCACATAGGCAATGATGCAAAGTCTCTGGGGTTGAAGCAGCCATGTCCTGTAGGAACATTTGGTGCAACACCAGGCTTGTCCCTAGAGTCGCAGTGCAGTAAATGCTCCGGGGGTAAATACTGTGACGGTATTACCAAAAATAGTGTTACTGGACCATGCGATGCCGGATACTTTTGCAGGGAAAGTGCAATTAGCATTCGTCCAGCTGAAGATACTCAGAATCCTAAACGATTTGGTGCTTGTCCGTCTGGTGGCTACTACTGCGTCCAAGGCTCCGTGAGCCCAACGCCATGTCCGCCAGGCACCTATGCACCTGGTGGAAAGTTCAAGCTAACTAAAGAAGGTGATTGCGATCTATGCTTAGCCGGGTCCTACTGTGCTGCTGGCAACCAAACAGTCGTGTCCGGTCCTTGTTCTGCAGGCTACTATTGTAACAAAGGCTCCCCAGACAAGGCTCCTACCAACATAACATATGGTGGAATTTGTCCGCCGGGAACACACTGTCCGCTAGGATCCAGCTGGCCAATACCATGTGCAGCTGGTACTTACAATAACATTTCAGGCCAGGCAAGTTGCTCTACCTGTCCAAAAGGATTTTACTGTCCTGCTAATTCTACATATCCTATTGATTGTCCATCCGGCTACTGGTGTGAGCAAGGTGCCACTGTTGCTGATACGAACCCGTGTCCAGCCGGCTACTTCAACAACCTTACTCGAAGATGGCATAGAAGTCACTGCCAAGGATGTACTCCAGGATATTACTGTGAACTGCAAGGTATGGACCCAAGTTGAATAATACAATCGGGATGTTTCTTAGTGTCTAGTTTTACGACAAATCTTGAATGCACAAGTGAAAATTTATCGTATTATAAAAAGGCGCGTGTGCTGAGGATTTTAAGCTGTTAATTATCGACCAAAATATTATTTCATATTTTTATAATCATGTTGCGTTTCAATCCATTATTTAAGCAACGTTTACATGAAGGCTTTGAGTGTTCAATTTCAACATCAATTTCATTCATTTAAAAAACAAGAAATATAATTCAATAACACATCAATTTTCCCAAAATTTCAGTTACACTCTCCAGTCAAGACACCCTTTAAATATGAATATAGTGCTTTTGTTTTACATAAGGTCTTTTCCACTATTGTTAAGGTAACTACACCGAAAGATTCTTGCTAGAATAAAGGATAGTTTTTAAAACAAGTCAAATTGTTTCATTACGGTATCATTGTTATTTTAGGTTTAAGTGCAGTCACTGGAATGTGTGACCCTGGCTACTTTTGTTCAAATGCATCAATCGCTGCCCGACCAGGATCCCTCAGCCAAGGTGGTGGTCATTGTCCACTTGGATCTTATTGTCCCCAGGGCAGTCCACAACCTTTGATTTGCAAACCAGGACAGTACTGTCCAAACCAAGGTCTCGCTTTACCACTTGCAAATTGTTCCGAGGGCTATTATTGTCTTGCTGGTGCGTCATCGCCGAATCCCACAGATGGTGTCACCGGTAACATATGCCCGGCTGGTACCTACTGCCCGGCTGGAAGTCACAATTACACCTTATGTCCTCCAGGAACATTCTCAAATAGAACCGGAAACACTAATCTTACTAACTGCCTGAGTTGCACAGAAGGATCTTACTGCATGGGCTGGGGCAATACTGTACCCACAGCTAAATGTAGCGCTGGATTTTATTGTCCGTACGGACAGAGCCGTCCAGATCCACCATCATTTGACTGTTGGAAAGCATACTATTGTGAATCAGGGGCTACAAGCCCACAACCATGTCCATCTGGGACGTACCAGAATGAGGTCCAGAAATCAACTTGCAAGGTAGGGTTTGATCCTCGTTTTCGGATTTTAACATGCATTTGATTACTACTTATTCTTGTATAGTTTCTTACTTATGCTATTTTGTGGAGAAGCTTGGGATGTTCCCTAGTAAAGGGGATATGCAATTTTTAAGGGAGATGTTGGGGTTTTCCTTAAGATATTTTAAGTAACACTTTTAGGAACCTGACTTTTACGTACAGGTCTCAAAACATTCCGCGGCGAGTTTGGTTTTTCTAAAGCTAGTGCACTTGTTAAATTAGGGTGTTAGAGACCATGAGGTATCTGATAAATAGACCGGAAAATCGAATTTTATATATAGAAGCAATAAATCCATGCTTTCAGCTTTCCAATGCTCGATAGATTCTTTCAATTTATTCAAATCTAGTTGATTGTTGCATCTTATATGTTTTTTGTAGACGTGCCCCCCTGGCTATTACTGCGATGCATCTGTCTCTCCACTGGTCTCATACAACGCCTCTGTCTGCCCGAGTGGTCACTTTTGTCCTGCGGGTACCAAGTTTGCAAACGAGTTCAAATGCCCGCGAGGAACATTTAACAACGTGACTGGAATATCCCTTGCCACTCAGTGTACACCTTGCCCTGGGAAGTATTATTGTGATTATGAGGGACAAATATGGTACACTAAGCTGTGCAGTCCAGGTACGTTTGCCATAGAGTGCAAAGCTGGAAATTCGAGCATGTGATTTTATTCCAATTCCATTCATAATTGCTACCATTGTTATATGGAGAAACCATATTCACGGCAGTCTTCCAACCAAAAACCTTCAATTATCTCCGACTCATACCAAACAGAAATAGTCCTCCGATTGCTTGGACCCAATTGGCCATAACTAGAAAGCTTAGAAACGGGTTGTTATTTCACAAGGCCCCTTTTGGTACCTTAAGTAGTTCTCGAATATACTTTTTGTGGTAGATTCGGAAGAGACAGAAACTCTTCTCTATTATTGTTATTAAAGCATTAATCTGTCATATCTCAACTTGTTTCCAATAGTGTTTTGTATTATGGATACTTGTAGGACAGCTTTAGACGACTTGTTATTTTAGAGCCCTCAAATTTTGAAAACTGACGCTTGAATCTATCGAATCGAATCTATGTTTTGAATTTATATTATTTTTGCTTACCCTTTTTGATGTGCATGGTTATTCTCATAGGCAACAGTTTTTAATAATATATAATGATTACGCTATATATACTATACACTATGAAATGATAACACTTAAATAATGATTACACTGCTCTTCGAGTTTTTACCCAAGATTATTTTTTACTAAATTCTCTAACTTATTTCTCATCAACCAAGGCTACTACTGTCGAAGCGGGGCTTTTGTATCAACCCCAGAGATGATAACACCCGTTGGAGTTGACCACTTCAGGAATATGACAAATTGCACATGTCCAACATGCGAGTGTCCTGCTGGCTCTTTCAATTTTACAAATGGAGGACCATGTCCCAAAGGATTCTACTGCCCACTAGGGACAGACGAGCCAATCCCGTGCCCACGTGGCACTTACAGTGACAAGTTGAAACTACAGTCCGAGAGCCAGTGCTACAATTGCACCGCAGGACAATTTTGTGGGGAAATGAACCTGACAAAGCCAAGTGGTCCATGCTGGGCCGGATATTACTGTCCTACTGGAGCTGCTAGAGGTGACTGGATGTCTTGCCCGGAGGGTCAATATTGTGATGTTGGAACCATTTTGCCTGTAAACTGTCCGAATGGGACTTACAGAAATACAACCAATGGAAAGAATCTCACTGATTGCTGGTCCTGCCCTGGTGGAAAATACTGTGCCACACCCGGTCTTAGTACCCCCACAGGGGATTGTGCTCCAGGGTAAGTTTACATCCTATTTTCAGACTTGCTGGATCGCACCGCTTTTTGCTTAGTTTCGACAGGCTCTTTGAAACCGTAGAGCTGTTAGTTGAAAATGCCATTGAGTTATTTCCGATTACGTGCCTAGAGTTTTAATTAGCTATAAATTAGCTACAATTTGTTAGCCATAAGCCAGATTTATATTGGGAAAGTGTTAGTAAGCTTGCTTATTTGCAGTTGGCTCAGATTTCCAGTAGCTGATAACATCCCAAAAAGTATCAGTTTCATATTCTATTACTAATTAAAAGCTAAAAGCAATCACTTTTACAGTTGCAAATTTAAGTGAACTAGGCACGGTAATCCTAGCATGGTCTTGCAATTATCTGTCTTAATTTGTAGATTTTGTTAATTTTTGCATCTGGCTATTCACTTTTATCTTTGTTAGACGAATTGGCATGAAATTTTTACTTCCTTAGATACTACTGTCCAGTGGGTAGCTCCATGCGAGAGCCCCCTGCGAATATTTGCCCTGTTGGACACTACTGTCCTGGCGGTACCGCTGCTGCAAAACCCTGCCCAAGTAACATGATGGCCAATTACACAGGGGCACACCAATGTCAACCATGTCCTGCTGGATTCTACTGTTTGGTTTCTGGCGTGCCACTGCCGTGTACGAAAGGTTTTTACTGTCCCGCAGGCACCGGACATGATTTGCGTGCTTGCCCTCGTGGAACTATTGGGGTCCAGAAACAGTATAGCAAGTTACAAGACTGCCAACCCTGCCCCGCGGGAAAGTATTGCTCATTAGAACATGCTACTAATTACACTGGGCCGTGTAACGCAGGGCATTGGTGTTTGTATGGAATAGACAGAGCGAATCCCATTGGTGTTAACATTACTGCTTGCAATGCTACTTACAACGAAACATGTCCATTTTATTACGATGGAAGAGAAACAGGAAAAGGTGGCAAGTGTCCGGTTGGTCATTTTTGCCCTGTTGGAACCACTTTACCAAAGGGTTGTGCACCAGGGACATATTCTCCAATCGAAGGTTTATCGGTTTGTTACCCTTGTATGGAAGGTTATTATTGCCCATATGAGAACATGACGGACTACCACAGCTATCCTTGTCCTCAAGGACACTACTGCCCCAATGGAACCAAAACAGCCACAGAATTTCCATGTTTGAAAGGAACATACAACGATCAAAACAAAAGAATTAGCATTAGTGACTGCATCAGCTGCCAACCAGGCAAATATTGTCCGTCAACAGGTGAAAAATATTTTCTGTCAATTATTTTTACTACTTTGTATTGCTTTAAACAGCTTTTTTGGACATGGGGTTATGGAAGCATTAGTGTTTTAGTTTATCTGTCAAGATTTCCTTTCGTTTAATAGTAACAGGAAGATATTTGTATCTATTTTGCCTGATTATCCCTTCTGGAACACCTGCCTCTAGATTTTCACATGTTACTTTTGTATTAGGAAGTATTGTTTGTGCTGCTTCCCTTTACTGTTTCGATACAGCGATGTACATGACGCACTCTTGATTGTTTGCGAATTTCTACTAATGAGTATTTCTGTCGTCTTTTCAGGATTACCAAGCGCTAATAAGACCTGTGCTGCACGGTACTTCTGTCGAAGAAATGCCACATCGGGAACTCCCAACCAAGGCACTGATGCAAATATTTGTCCGCAAGGTCATTACTGCCCGGAAGGTACCGGCGAACCTGAGAATTGTCCGGCTGGAACATTTAGCAATCAAACAGGTTGGTATTTTTATTCTTGGTTAATAATAATATAATCAGATCGTTTGCAAATTGAACCTATTGTTTTCATCTGTAAATGCAAATGAATTGGTATAATATTTGTATGCACTTTCTGATTTATTTATTATTAATGGTGACTAACGGGTCTCCAGTGTCTTACTGTCTTTACGTATTTCTGCTGGCGAAGACTGGCAACACACATTGTCGTTTATTTGCATCTATGGTTTTCTTTTCTTTGTCTTTCTAGGCCTAATGTTAGTTTCGGAATGCGTTAACTGCACTGCTGGAGAATACTGTGGATCAGCCGGTTTAAACAGGACGAGTGGACCGTGTGAAATTGGCCATTACTGCCCAGAAGGATCATCAAGTTCCCGTCAAATACCTTGTGGCCCTGGAACCTTTTGCCCTGCTGGGTCTCGCGAAGAAACCCTATGTGAACCAGGCACATTTCAGCCCAATTCCACAAGATGGCTTAAATCTCAGTGCCAGACGTGTACCCCAGGTAAATTCCATTTTTGAGACCCTTTTTCTATTACAATGCAATTAGTTAAATAAGGAATATTCCACCATTCAATTAAGGTCAAGCTAAGGTCGAATGCAAAAAATCATTGGTATTAAAACGGTCTCAGATGCTTGTTTAATTATGCATTTTTGTTTTATTTAACAATTTGATGTTATAAAAAGCCAAAATTTAATAATGTAGTTGCGAAACAATCCTTTTGAACAATCTTTTTCTACCTCTTTCGTTACCGTATTTTTCATAACTTACTGTATATTAATCTTCATTGCTTGCAAGTCCATGATTTGTATTATTCCTTTTTATTTTCCAAGGATTTTACTGTGAAACATCAGGACTTGGTCAAGTTACCAATCCGTGTCAAAATGGCTCTTACTGTCCTGCTGGTTCAAAGGTACCCGCACCAATCACTTGTCCCAAAGGTTTCCATTGTCCAACTGGAAGTGCTATACCTCAACCTTGTCAAAATGGATATTATACAAACTTCACTGGTGCCTCTTCGTGTCTCATCTGCCCAAACAGCTTCTACTGCCTCCCTCTGAATTTCACTGGTGGCAATGTCACAGTTGTGGGTTATCACGATTGTCCGCGTGGCTATTACTGTCCGGCTGGTACAGGATCTGACTGGAAAAAATGTCCACCTGGCACATACAGTAATGAAACGAGACTTCATGATGTCAGTCAATGCAAGAGCTGCGACCCTGGACAGTATTGTGATGGCATTATACTTGTTCAACCGAATGGTCCATGCTCAGCCGGATACTACTGTAAAATAGGTATGTCATCGACTTCATGAAGAACTATTTGATTTATAATTTGCCTTTAAAGACTCGAGCCTTTAAAGGCATCGTATTTGTATAATGAACATCTGCAGTATTTTTGCTAGTTTTAGCAATATTCTCCTAAGATGAACAATTTCACAATTGAAGCATGTAAGATTATTCCTAGTTCATACACAATTGCCTCACCCAGCTTGAATACATGTGAGATGAGAATAATAGAATTAAGCCTTTGGACCCAGTTTCTTTCCACCGTATCCCTAGATTATTTTCTCAAAGATGTGTTTTTAACATTATCTAAATATTATTAGACGTAGAAGAAATCCTTATTGGGTCATTCCGCATCAAATCAACGCAAATTGATATCACTTTTTACCTCATGTTCTCAGATATCAATGAAACTTAGTGGTCCAATTTAGATCAATGCAAATAGAAAATCCAGAAAATTTCATTTAGTTATCTTATTCCATTCCAGGGTTGTGGGCACTTAAAATTTTGAGGACAACGCCCCTTTCAGCAAGTCCCGAAAGACCAAAATTGCCATTATTTTCGGTTCTAATCTTCCTATAATGTTGGGTGATGGCTTTTTTTAAAGGACACAATGAGCTCTATTCAAGAATGATTCCGCAATGTCCATAAATCTTCTAAAAGATTAGAATCTGCAAAAACCCTCCCTCCCTTTTAACCCCCCCCCCTGGAACATTTTCATGTGTCTGGATAGGCATTTTTACTTAACATGAAAATGGTTTTTTGCAGGGGTATCATTGTCGCAGCCCTACGTTTCAAGTTACAATCTTACGAATGACACTTGTCCATATGGATCCCTTCTTGGTCAGACGTTCAAAGGCATTGGGGATATTTGCCCGTCAGGACATTATTGCCCGGAAGGTTCTTCGAGTCCGATACCATGTCAGCCTGGATCTTACAACAATAAGACCGGTCAAAGTATATGCGTGACGTGCCCAGCTGGCTACTACTGCCCAGAAACAACAGTCGGCTTTTTACCCAACGTCTGTCCAAGTGGTTATTACTGTCCAGCTAACACAACACAGCCGAACCAGTACCCTTGTCCACCAGGCACCTACAATAGTCAAAATGGACAGAAGAATGCAAGTTCATGCAGGGCCTGCCCTCAAGGACAGTACTGTGAAAACTATGGTTTGTCTTGGCCGAGTGGATATTGCAGCTCCGGCTGGTACTGCAATGGCAGTGCGACGACCAACAAGACACTTACTCACGGCGGCAGATGCTTGGCTGGCTACTATTGTCCAACTGGCTCGGCACAACCATTACCTTGTCCACGTGGGCAGTACTGTGCTTCAAATGAGCTGGCCAGTCCGACCGGAAATTGTTCGGCAGGTTATTATTGCAATCTTCGCTCACAAGTACCAAACCCGGTGGGAATAAGTGAAGGAGACGAATGCCCAAGAGGGTATTACTGTCCAGAGGGCACTGTTTCTGCTATCCCTTGCAATCCTGGTTACTTCTTGGACAGCAAACTTGCCAAAAATGTATCGTTTTGCAAGATCTGCACCCCAGGGAAGTATTGCAATGGCAGTGGTTTGCCGACGCCATCAGGCAACTGCAGTCCTGGCTATTACTGTCCGGCTGGTCAAGTATCTCAAACTGCTGTTGCTTGCCCTGTAGGGCACTATTGTGTTGGGGGAAAGGGTCATCCTGAAGCATGTCCTTCTGGCGCCTATCAAAACCAATTGGCACAGTCCGGTTGTAAAACATGTCCGGAACAATACTACTGCAATGCTACGTTTGGGCCGGTGGTCAACTACACGCATTACATCTGCCCCTCAGGGTATTTCTGCCCAGCTGGAACGAAGTTTAGCACAGAAAACCCATGTGACCTTGGAACTTTCAATAATGTAACAGGAATTGCGAATCAATCAGAATGTGCAAGCTGTCTCGGTGGCTATTACTGCGGACAAAAAGGACTTTCCTACCCAAATACCCTTTGTGATGCTGGCTATTTTTGCAAATCAGGTGAATTTTAATTTTTCCAATCATCTTTGTGTCTTTTATAGTATCTGAAAAAGAGAATCGACAATTCTCGGAACAAGAGAATCGACTGTTAATAGAAGATGAGACAATTTTGTTTGAAGCTGAGTAAAAACCATCCGCAGTTGTCAGATTCCTTTAAGCTGTTTGTTTATAAGTTAACTGTAAAGAAACCACGCTAAGATCATTACTGATAAACCTTAGTATTATTTCCTAAGTTTATAAATGTGACCCTTATTCTAATTAAAACGGAAAATCCCTATACTGATGATCAAGTTTTTGATCAATAACAAGCGTATAATGATGATCAAACTTTTTTCTTCTGGTTGGCCTTATCTTAATAGCGATTCCATTTTATCGGCCTTACCTTGATACGGCTTTTGATTTCTGGTCTTTTAAAATTACAAACTCAGGGTAAAATTAATTTCATATCACAGGGGCAAAAACATCGACGCCCATGGAAGGGGCAAATGCATACGTATGTCCACTTGGTCACTATTGTCTGGTTGGAACTGCTGAACCAAAGAAGTGTCCGATAGGTAGCCTTGGGTTATCAACCGGACTCACAATGGAAAGTCAATGCACCTTGTGCTTTGGTGGAAGGTATTGTGACATACCAGGCAAGTACAATGACTCTGGACCGTGCCAACAAGGTTTCTACTGCCCGAATGGTTCCAAGAGTGCCCAGGAAATTGTATGCCCTGCTGGAAGATACTGTCCCCAAGGAAGTGCAACACCTATGCTGTGCCCAAGGGGTACATTCAGCAACAATACTCAGTTGTGGAGAGAAGATCAATGTGTTAACTGTACAACTGGATCTTACTGTGCTGAAAATGGTTTGACTGAGCCAAGTGGTCCATGTCGCCAGGGTTATTATTGCCCGATTGGATCAAAAGTCGATAATCCGGTCGATTGCCCTGTTGGCCTGCATTGCCCTACTGGTCAGTTTTCTATCAAATCTTTTTTGTAGATTTTCTATCACTCTGTACTTTGTTAAAATTTTGATATTTAGATTTTCGTATTAAGCAGTTAGTGTTTTTCTAATTTTATATTACCATTTGTTTTGGAAAAGTGTATAAGAATGACGATTTACTCCAATTTGCAGGAAGCAAAACCCCCAAGCAATGCTCGCCGGGTTACTTCACAAACACCACAAGGAACTTTGTATGCAGCCCTTGTCCAGCTGGATTCTACTGTGTTCCAATCAACACAAGTGTAACACCCTACCCAGGTATTGCTGCGTGCCCAAGAGGATACTACTGCCCTGAAATGACCGGACTGAACTGGCTACCCTGTCCAAGGGGAACTTACAGCAACAACACCGGGTTATCAACATCAAACCAGTGCTTGGACTGTCCTGGAGGTAAATTCTGTGCGGCTCTGAATGCCCTAGAGGCAAGTGGCTATTGTGATGGCGGCTATTATTGTGAGTCTGGGGTTGATCGAAGGGATCCTATTTACTCAAACGGATCCGTGACTGTCAATAATTGCACAAGAGGAGTCCATACAGGTAGGCACAGTTGGCAATCATTTTTTCCTATGAAAACTACATCTGTTGTTTTAGTTATCAAAAAGCATTGTGACAATTACAGAAGCTCTCAGAAATGAAAATCAAAACTAGGCGTAGTCTGGGTGTGGCTACTTCCACGCTACCTCACGACCTCTATTACTAAATAAAATCCTCCCATTTCTTTATTATGTATAAATTTAGAAATTTTTGAGTTAAATGAATTTTGGAATGAATCTAGATAAAACGCCAAGATAAATGCACTATGTTTCAGGCTTTGGCGGCGTGTGTCCTCCTGGCAGATATTGCCCTGTCGGCTCTGTAAGGCCTTTGGGCTGCCCACCGGGAAGCTACCAAGACGAGACAGGCAAAACCTACTGCAAAGCATGCCCTGCTGGTTACTACTGCTACGAAAACACCACACTGTACAGCCCATATAGATGTCCACAAGGCCATTACTGCCCGCTGAACACAACAGATCCCTACCAGTACAAATGCTGGCCTGGCACATATAACCCATACACAACTCAGACAAATTCATCAGCATGTTTACCTTGTGATCCCGGAAAATACTGCGATGGCTATGGTTTAGCGAGCGTCACTGCAGACTGCTATGGGGGATATTACTGTCCGAGCGGTGCTAGAAATGCTACCATGATAAAGTGTTCCATTGGTCATTTCTGTCCAAATGGCTCTTCTAGTCAACAGCCATGCCCAGGGGGGAAGTACTGTGCTCACGATGGGCAATCTTCTCCAACCTACGAGTGTGCAGGCGGTTACTACTGCACTTTGAGATCCAGCTCTGCCACACCCACTGATGGTACCACTGGAAACATTTGCCCCCGTGGAAAGTACTGCCCATTAGGAACTGAAGTGCCCAAGAGCTGTCCGCTCGGGACTTTCCTCAATTCAACAGGCAATGTGTAAGTGTGATTTATGCATTTAGTCAGCTCTGCACCTGAAAAAATTGCTTTTTATTTTGTCTATTCAAATAAACTTAACAAATTTTTAGAGTAAAATGCCTGCCAAGTATCTTTCAAACCTGACCTTTCTGAGAAACATAGCTTATAAATTACTAATATACCCATGTAAAAACTGTAAAGAAGAAGCCATAAACTGAAGGGGAATTCATTAGCGAATTGCACGTTGCATGTATACTGACTTGAACAGAAGCCATAATAGTTGCCCCTTTCTCGGCAGTTCATTCTGGTTCAAAAATACTCGCACACAATGCACAACTGAAAGAAACCTTAATTTCGGTTTCTTTTCGGGCAGACATGACTTCAAAATGTCTTAGATGGCATAAAATCAGACGCGACCGATATGAAATATGTTAACACGAAATGAAGGAAATATTTTAATAATGTGAATACGAAATGGAGACAATGTGGGGAACACCAAAAGATAGAAACAGTTCTGTAATGTCCAAGAATGTTTATGTTCAAAGACGTTTTGGAAGACTTGTAGAAAATAGCGAATGAAAAGCAACTATTTTGGCCAGCTACCAGCACTTATGGTGTAGTTATTTATGGAATATTTTGACTTGTTGTCTTGTAACATTTTCTTATCTTTATGCTCATTAGAAATATTTCCGATTGTCAACCATGCACTCCTGGCTGGTTCTGCGGAGGAATGGGTCTTCCTGTCCCTACAAACAAATGCAACCAAGGCTATTACTGCATTTCAAAAGCTAACAATGCCACCCAATACCAATGTCCCCCTGGATACCACTGCCCCGCTGGCAGTGCTGATAAGCAACCATGTCCGTCTGGTACCTACCAAAACGAATGGGCCAAGTGGACCTGCAAGACGTGCCCCACTGGTTATTATTGCAACGCTACCTTTGGTCCAGTGTCTCTTTTTGGTTCATATGAATGTCCTATGGGCTTTTACTGCCCGCCTGGTACTAAATTTTCAACTGAGTACCCATGTGGCTTGGGCACTTTCCTAAATAGAACGAAAGGCGAATCAGATGCAGACTGTATTCCTTGCATCGGCCAGTTTGTGTGTGACAGCACAGGTCTGGCCAGCCCATGGAGATTGTGTAGCAGTGGATATTACTGTCGCCGGGGAGTCAATTCAACGACTCCGAGGGCTGGAACCGATGGGGACCGTTGTCCACCTGGTCATTACTGCCCCCAAGGTACGTAGTATAATGTGTGTTTTGATTCCAAAACCTTTTTCTTATCTTTAGGGTTAATTTTAGGAAATGACTGCTCAAGGAGAAAGCAAAATGTTACAAGAAGGAAATATGTGCTCACTCGGCAATGTGCAAAGAACTTTACCGAGAATGACACTCGGTGATTTATAAAGCCCCAAATATTGAAGAATGGCTCTTTCTTTTCTTGTTAATTGGGGGATATGGTAAAACAGTATGTTCCTTCCAACATTAGAAACATATCTCTTCCCCTGAGACCACAGCCTCGACGGTCTTGCAGATCTAAAACAACAACCAAAACTAAAAACCAGATTGTCCCAAAAATTATAAGGGCGACAGGTTTCGGATAACGTTGAGAACCCGATTGATGTTTGATCTAGCAGTTTTAGAATCATTGTACATAAAAATGAAAAAAATCACTATCTTGTAGACAGAATGATTTTTTACCCATGCACTCTTTTGGTAATATTCCTAACTTAAAGTTCACGGCCAATAATCTGACGTTTGATTCTCGGTAGAGTTTCAGACGAAAAGCTTCAGTGTGTTTTCTTAATGCCATTCTTATTTTATCTGTTTGAGCGCTGTTACCCAATAATTCAAATGCTTTTTTCATTAGCTTTTTCCTTTTGTCAATAGGAACTGATGAACCAATCGAGTGTCCTGTTGGCACATTCAGACCAGGCTATCTTGGCAAAAGAGTTGAAGACTGCCACAATTGCACAGGTGGAAAATTTTGTAACATTACTGGCCTTGTTCAACCGGCCGGTGATTGTGATGCAGGCTATTACTGCCCGATAGGCGCCTCCTCCCGGACTCAGATCATCTGTCCACCCGGACATTTTTGTGTACAAGGCTCTGAATATCCACAAGAGTGTCCGAATGGTACCGCCTCAAATGGAACCGGCCTTGCTGCTTCGAACGATTGTCCCAAGTGTCAAAAAGGGTATTATTGCGCTACAACTAAACTAACGACGCCAACCGGTCCGTGCGCAGCTGGTTATTATTGTCCAACCGGCAGCAGTAGCGACAAGGCCGTTGTCTGCCCCTCTGCTATGCACTGTCCTCTGGGTAGCGCCGAACCACAAAACTGCCCTGATGGAAACTACACAGGCTGGCCGATGGCGAGTTCTTGCGCAACTTGCCCAGCTGGCTACTACTGTATCTCGAAACATGTCATTCCAGGTACGAATTACTTTAATTAGTTGTATTAACAAGAACTAAATTATTCAAATGGTTTTTTAAGAAGTAAAAATGCGCTTTGGTATGTAGAACAAGAAGGTTCTGCGTTGTCGTTATACCAAAAGGTGTAAAATTTCGTCTTTACAGCTTCGAGCTGTTATTAACGGATGGGTAATCAGTAACTGTTATGAATGAAAGTTTATTGAACTATTAGCTTATTCCAAACCGCATCAGTTGTCTGGTTCTACAATCCTTAGCAGGCAAGACAGTTTCAATTTTTTCCCAGCTTATCTTCTTATTTTTGTCATATATGTAGCTGAAATTAGGATAGTTAATTTATAGGCCTTCTACTTTTGCTCTAGCATTTTTTTATTACTTTCAACGTTTTTTAACAATATTGGAATTTCGTATCCAATTTCAATTCGTGTGTTATTGTATGTTTAAGTTTTGACTTATTTACTATTCTTTACTTATCTTTCAGGCCAAAACGAATCCGGTATCTTCCCGTGTCCTAAAGGATTCTACTGCCCGGCTGGTACTGGAAACAACTGGAGACCGTGTCCATTGGGAACATACAGCAACAACCTGAATTTGAAGGAGGAACGTGAATGTACGCCATGTGATCCAGGAAAGTTCTGTGCCAGTTGGAATATGACGACCGTAAGTGGAGACTGTGATCCGGGCTATTATTGTGTGTCCGGATCGCATACAGCTACCCCACAGCTGACCAACCTTACGCACTGTCCAGCCACGTTTAGTCATTTGAGTATTGGAGGAAAATGTCCATCAGGGAACTACTGTCCGATCGGAAGTAAATCATATCATGGTGAGGAAGTTTTTGTTGATGGTCCCTTACAAATGACGCATATACTAGAAATTCATGAAAAAGGAATTGATAACTCAAACCTGTTTTTCAAGGTCTTGTGAATCTTCACGGTCTGAAGTTTATTGATCAATCTTCACTGTTTTTGGAGTCCAAAGATAGAAAAGTTTCAAGATTGTTTTGCCCTGCTACTTTCGTTGTGTTGTCTCAAGAATGTGTTGCTTGAGAAATTTCTTTTGCACAGTGAAAGGTTTGGGAAATATTGCTGACTTCACTCATTGTATTTATACGTCAGTGTTTTATAATATGATAGTAATGCTTATGTCGATTAAATATGATTAATGGCAACTGTTTGGTTTTGCCATGGATGGTCTGCTTAACATCTTAGCCTTCTGCAACAAATTAAAAGTATGGATGTAAAAGGTATTCTTTGTTGCGAATGTATTGAATCATTATGATCAAACGTTCTTTTGCAGCTTGCCTTCATGGAACTTATGCCGATGTGGAAGGCCTAAGTGCATGCCTTACCTGCCCACCTGGTTATTTCTGCCTCAACGAAACATCAAACTACCTTGTTAATAGCTGCCCGAAAGGACACTACTGTCCTGCTGGAACGAAAGAGCCATACCAATTCAAATGTGCTCCTGGAACTTTTAATGATAAGGTTGGAATGCAGAATGACAGTGCTTGTCTCCCTTGCGAAGGTGGAAAGTATTGCGAAGGATTTGGGAATTCCAGGCCCACAAACAGTTGTGATCCTGGGTGGTACTGCCCTTCAAAAGCAGACAATGCCCGGTTTAGGCAATGTCAGCCCCGGTTCTATTGTCCCACAGGATCAGCTCAGATGCAGCCATGTTTGTCTGGCATGTTTTGTGACACTCCTGAGTTAGCATACCCCAGAGACCAATGTGATGCAGGCTACTACTGCCCTAATGGCTCGATATCTAGGACTGAAGTAGATTGTCCACGTGGCTATTTTTGTGGCAAAGGCACGTCGGCGCCAAAAGCATGCCAACCCGGCACGTATCAGCCAATTTTGCGTGCACATAATGCTAGTCAATGTGTGAACTGCACGGCCGGTTTCTACTGTAATAACACTGCATTATCAAGCCCAGATGGGCAATGTGGGAATGGCTATTACTGTCCTTCCAGACAGAGTCTTCAATATCCTCCAGCATTTATCTGCCCAAAAGGTCATTATTGTCAAATTGGCTACAGTCTACCAAGGAGATGTGAAAATGGAACGTATCAAGATAACACTGGAATGACGTCATGCAAGGCATGTTTAGCTGGGTACTATTGCGATAATACTGTCACTGCAGTGACCACACTGACCGGTAGGGAATGCCCACCCGGATCTTACTGTCCAACTAGAACGCGGTATGCGAGAGAGTTTGGATGCCAACCTGGTACTTGGTCCAACCGGACTGGATTAGTCAATCCATCACAATGCGATGCTTGTCCACCAAGGTAATGTACAATACAGAGGCTAGACGAGCTTTCGTAACTATTGCATCATCTGTTATTTCTGGTTCATCTTTTCATTCTATTCAGACGCTGGAAAGTATACAACAATTTCGTTATGTGTGATTCAATGGGTCTGTTATCGAGCATTGAGCGATATCTCCTGTTTCAACTGGATAGCTTTCTTTAGGCTATTTTTCTAAAATGTTTGTTCTTTAAAACTTTATATTAATGTTTCACAATTGTAATTATTTGTTATTATTCTTTGCACACATACTTCCAATTGCTGTTGTTGCGTAATATTAAGAACCTGGTGGCCTATTTCAGTTTCTGAACATTTCCCTCGGCAGTATGCATTTCATCGAGTTCTATTTTCTTTTCACTTAAGGTATTTTTGCCAGCAACGAGGCCTAAGCAATCCAGAAGGCCTTTGCTTGCCAGGTTTCTTCTGCAACGGCTCGGCAAGCAGGCCCGACCCACCGGCGAATCGTTGTCCCCTTGGTCACTACTGCGTAGAAGGAACCTACCTGCCGCAGCCGTGCCCACGTGGCTACTTTGCAAATCGAACTGGTTCTGCAAATCTTTCTGACTGCACACCTTGCAGTCCTGGTAAATGGTGTGACCCCAACGCAGGAGCTGGGGTGACTGAACAAACATGTGATCCAGGATTCATCTGTGTTCTTGGTACGTCAATAATTATAGAACGGGGACACGGGTTAATGAGAATGATTATAGTTTCATATGCATTTCTAAAGGAAACTTATGACTATGAAATCATTAGTGCTTCTTGAAAAGATTAAAACTTTGTTTACAGTTTAAGCCGGGATAGTTGAAATGGATGTCGATGAGATCCATTTCAAGGTTGAAAACTTTTGTCAGAGTAATGCCAATACCATATTATCTCAAATAGAAGTTGTGACTTCTATCTTTTTTTGTCTGTTTAAGGGCGGCAAATTGACGTTTTAACTAGATGCTAACCAGAATTTTGACCGGGAAACAAATAACTGCATTGATCTTGGTTTTGTCGTTTGTTTTAAAGGGTACCTAAAAGTAAAGAATATTCGGTGTATGAATTGTGTTTATCTCTTTTGCTTTTCCTTTTTGACGACAAATTTTATTGTGGTAATTGAAAAGCACAACGAATTGCTGAAAAAAATTGCCGAAAATATGACCAAATTAGCCGAATTTTTTGTTCGGCGGAGAATATTGTTTGCTAAGGTCGTGCCAAATCTTTTCCGTCAAATGTTTGCCCTTTGCTGTACATGTGTTTTCATGAATTTTACATTTTCTCCAGGTGCAACTACTCCAAAACCAACCAATCTGACTGGAGGTGGCTATGTTTGTCCCGTCGGGCATTACTGTACTGCCGGAGCTTTGAGAGAAAAACCATGTGATCCAGGAACGTATAGTCCTACACCTGGTTTAGGCTCCTGTCTTGCATGCAGAGAGGGCTTCGCATGTCCTGGCTTTGCGACTGTTTATCCTAAGACTTGCCCTGTTGGTCATTATTGTGGCAATGGAACATCGACTACATCAGGAACTGCTTGCCCCAAGGGTACCTTTCAGCCGAAGCTCAATAGATCTAGACTATCTGATTGTCTTCTATGCCCTCCGGGTAAGTTTTGCAATGATACTGGGCTTGCCGCGCCTGCAGGGGAATGTCATGCTGGTTTCTTATGCTCGCTAGGCCAGACTGTACCAAATCCAGCTTCAGGACAATGTCCAACCGGTCACTACTGCGAAATAGGTTCTTTGAATGCCACCTTGTGTCCTGCTGGTACAGTTAGAAAGACCGTTGGGGGTGCGTCAAGAAATGATTGTGCACCTTGTGATCCAGGCCACTTTTGTGAAACACCGGGACTCAAACAACCATCTGGAAAATGCTTCCAAGGATTTTACTGCCCCGAGTCTATCGAGATCAAATTTGCAAATCCAACAAGCTACCCGTGTCCTAGAGGTTTTTACTGTGGAAGCGGCACTTCTGTGCCCAAAGGGTGTCCTCCAGGGACATACCAACCCTCAGAGGGATCTTGGGAATGTCTCGATTGCCCATCTGGTAAGTTTTGCAGAGGTAACACCTCAATGCCAGAGCCTTGTCCACCACATACTTTCTGCCTTAATAAGACAATTGTTCCAGAGTTTTGTCCAAATGGAACGTTCACATATGCTAATGAAACCGGACTCTACTCACCAGCACAGTGTAGATCTTGCATACCTGGTCATTACTGCCAACGCGGAATAATCGCAGGTCTTTGCAGCGGTGGTTATATCTGCAGACGCGGCAGTCCCGACCCTTGGCCTACTGATCCAAAAATTGGTGAAATTTGCCCCATTGGATTCTACTGTCCTCCAGGGGCTATAGACAAAATCAAATGCCCTAGGGGCCTTGTCATAACTACAAAGGGTAGAGCTAATATATCTGATTGCCAACGATGTGCGCCTGGTTTTATATGTACGGATGATAATACGGTTCCTATGCCATGTGGACGCGGCTTCTATTGCCCATATAACATGGACAGAATGCCATGTCGAATTGGAACATACAACAATTATTCTTTTGCTGAAGATGAGTCGTTCTGTAAAACATGTCCTGCTGGATACTGGTGCAGACTAAATGGTAAGCTGTTAGCTTAAAAACATTACTGCATATGAATAACATGTTAAAGGCTAGATTGCAAGATAATTCTAAAATCCTTATTTGTTAGTGTTTCGATATCTCGTCTAGATTTATTACATCAAAAAATAATTTCTTTTTATTCGAGTTACAGGTTATAATTTTTTATCAAAAAGTACTGAGATGCTTTAAAAATCTTTGATTAAAAATTCATTTCGTCTATCTATCCAATTTATTTCAAAAACTTCTGTTTATTTCCAAACCTCAGTAATATTTTTCAAGAATGTCCGCCCTCATACTAGAATGATAACCTAATGAAAACTTTATTAAGCAGTCGCAAATTTCTAGCTTCAAAACTAGAAACAAATTAGGTCTCCTAGCACTACTTAGCACAAAGCTTTGCTTTATCGAAAAAGCTTATCATATACCCGTGCCATGGTCTAGAACTACATTCCTTTAAACATCAGAGCACTTGAAATGTTAACTTATTTCAAGTTATTTAGCTGAAAAGTTATTTTCAGAGCTAGAAAAGTCTCCAACTCCTAAAAGAGCTGTTAAATTCTCTTATTGTTGACTATTACGCCTTATACAATTGTATATTTATATGTGATTATAACGTGTTTCAAATTTAAAAACGGATAAGGTTTCGTGTATTACAACTTTTTTAATATGATTAAATAAATCAAAAGTGTTTTTGACATGATTGTTCTATATTGGTTTCCAGGAACTGCTGACTATTCCCAGAACCATTGCCCTGTTGGTCACTACTGCGAGGAAGGTGTCTTGGTTCCTGAACCATGCCCAGCAGGCACCTACCGCAATGAAACACAAGGCCGTAACATAAACGATTGCTTTACCTGCCCACCTGGAAACTACTGCCCCTTGAACGGTTCTACTTTCTACATCCCTTGTTCAAATGGCTCCTTCTGCTTTAATGGCACTGCACAACCAAGACCATGTGCTGCTGGATTCTATTGTCCAGAGGCTAAATTACAGCTCCCCTGTGCGCCAGGTTTTTACTGTCCGGAAAGATCAGAAAAGGCAATACCTTGTCCGAAAGGTCATTATTGTGAAGGAGGAAATACCTGCAACGTCACCCGGGCCGGCACAGTTTTACCAAAGATTTGTCCAGCAGGTATATTGTTAGCAGTAGTATGTTAAGACTACACACGACTACGTATTTCTGCAAGATTACGTACGTGCCGTCCCATTTCTCATTTAGTTTATTTTTCTTGAAGAAGTAGGAGAGCTCGGTATCAGATATTCAAGATTACGTTAAAAGATTTCCCCAATCTAACAGTCTGCGATACTTTAATGTAATTAGTCCATAATTTTTTTGTTTTTTCTTGTTTAACAAGGATACAGAGAAAAAGATGGAGCTCTGCGGCATACGTTTTCAGACACATGTGAGGTCTGCAAACCGGGATTTTTTGGTAATATGTCAGATAGAGCAGAATGTCAAAGATGCAGAGCTGGCGTTATTTGTCTCCAAGGTTTGTTTTGATAGATTTTTACGAAAATTTGTAAGCCATATTTGTCAGCCATTATTGTCAGCCATATTAAGACCCCAGATAACACCTAGGCCAATTTTGGAACAGAAAGGTGCCTGTGCCTAACTGTACGATAGTCGTGTCATGTTTTTATAGAAAGAACGAATGGGGAAAGTTATAACTTGGATCTATAATTCCTCAGCTCATTAGAGACACTGCGAAATATTGTTGCCTCTATAATAATTATTAAACAATTCGTTTTCATCTTCTTTTTATAGGAGCAACCACTGATTATCCGTTAGCTAACGATACGGTGCATGGAGTTAAAAGAACCAAATCGTACCCATGTCCACCTGGGTACTACTGTCCATCCGGCACTGTTTTACCGACGCCATGTCCCAACGGCACATATAGCAGCGAAAAGTATGCTGGTGATCTTTCTAAATGCTTGCCATGTGCAGTGAACCATTATAATCATCTGACGGGACAGGTTGCATGTTTCCATTGCGGAGGACAAGCTAAACAGCCCTATAGAGGTCAACAAAAGTGTCGCTGTAATGGGCTGCATCGAGTTTTTATGGTAAGAAGGTTTTCAGACATGTAATAAACCAATTATTTATTAAACATACGGCAAAGCCCCATTTTATTCTTATGTTCTTTTAAGCTTTTTTCTTTAGATTTCAGTAACTTTGCTTTTTTTATGCTGCTAATATTTTATTTCTCACACAATTCCCGCTTTTTTTGTTTGCAGCCAAGTGATAAGACATGCGAGTGCGAAAAAGGCTACCAGGTATTATCCGGCAGGAAACAGGATTGTGTCCGGAAGTTTTATCCACTTTGTCCGGAAAGAACCAGTAGAACACAAGATGGCCAGTGTTTCACGGAGCAACAATGGGAGCAACATTGCAAAGCAAAGGTGAATTCTTTCTGCAATTATCTAGCTTATTATTTGTAATACTTTATAAAAGAACAATAGAGTTGTTAATATTCAAACTATACAGATTTTAAGATTTGAAAACATTCCGTGTCAACTTTAAATAGCAACCAGGTGTTGTACCGATGTAGCCAATGTTTGTTTTCGGTTTATTGTCATGCACATAAATTGAAATCGATTCGCAAAGTATCTAACTATGTAAGATAGTCTAACTGTGCAAACTCTCTGTAAAATAGATTCCTTTTATTAAATCTTTAATTTCTGCATGCATTTTCTGAATTTGATATACCCAAGGCTCGTAAACCCTAATGTGCTGAATACTGCTACAGTCTTTTGCAATGCAATGTTGTCTTAGGTTCACTGTAGGAAAGTACTTTGCTGTTTTCTTATAAGCGTTACTTCATGTTGATAGGTTTGCAAAACGTCGGAGTATCTTGGATATGATCGTCAGCTTGGCATGTGCAAATGCGTGGTATGTAGATACTCATAAGAAAGACTTGTGAGCGAAGAATTTCGAATCTGACTCGGGACTACTTTATTTAGTACGATTTTTAGCAATAAGAGGGATATTATGAAAAGAAACAGCGTCATCTATGCTCATTCTGTTTGAGCGCTGATTTTTGATTAGAATAAATGTTTCACAAATGTTTAGTTAGAATGAATGAATAATTAGAACAAATATTTAATGTTGGGGAGTAAATGCCATCTATTTCGATATCGACTTGACAGAACTGAATATACAGCATAAAGAATTTGAATGCTTTATGACGTCACATGCTCTAGCTCCAGCTGCCTTTTGCGGCTTTTAACTGTTACATGTTTCGTTGACGTTATTGATAAATGATCAGACTTTTGTAGTTCTGGTAAAGCTGCTAAGAAATTTAAAGTATAGAATAATTGAAAAATTTGCGTAAATAGCTTGTTATTAACAAATCTTCCTTCTTTTTGTATAGTCGGAATTAACTTCAGTTTTACTCTCAATTTCAGGTGGAGGACCTCGACCAAGTTTGCGGGAAAAGTTGTCGTGTGAATAACAAGAAACGTCTCCAGTATGTATGCTCATCTCCTCCAAAGCTACGAATCACTGGCGCTGGAAATTCAATTGTAAGTTAATGTCTCTTCAATGATACGTATTCACATTAGTTTCAGTTTAACTTTCAATTTGCTTCGAATTTAGTCGATTTCTAGGAGACCGTACGGTCGTTTTCCTTTTGGCTTCACGTTGATTGTTATTCTTATTAACCATCGATCATGACCTTTGCAGAAGTGATAGCCAATTTACCTTAAAGTTTTAATTCTTATTTTCGAAATGGTCGATTACTGGGTGAGTGATCAGAGTGATTTATTGATTTCTTGCTATTTATGATTTGATTATAAAACCTGTCATCTTAATTCGATTGGCAGATAATTTTGTTTGCTCTGTTGTAGATCAAGGAATACACCTATAGCCAAATTTCAGCTGTTCCTAGTTTGAAGGATAGTTTCAGCGTTGATAAATGCGAAAAGATTGACGACAAGGCTTACCCGTGCTACTTCGTTCAGTTGACTGGTAAGTGGATACAAGATACCATCTAATAACCATCTAATAATTATCTTCCCTCTGGAAATCAAAGTGATGGTCAACTGTCCTTTGAGCGACATGATGATACACCAGACCATGCAATTTTGTTCCCTGCTTATATTACGTGGCTTATAGTCAAAGCCTGTTTTAACATGCTGCTAAACGTATTAAAACCTTTCCAACTTTTTTACAGTCACATCACTTTTCCGTCTCTTACGTGCATTCTGTTTCCACTTACTTTATGTTTCGTTTTTTGCCTGTATGCTTTCTCCTTCCTTTTAGTTCTTACCTTTCTCAACCTAGAAAGTGTCGCAAGCTACAAACTTTGTAGTGATCATCCCCATTTGATCATTTTTAAAACTTGTGTCATACGCACATGTAAAAAACCTGCCAGGGTACTTTGGCGCTCAAGAAATAAGTTAACCACAAGTTGGTTAAAGTTATTTTTGTTCCTCCATTTTTTATTCTAATGCAATCCCTACAACAACTTGCTGATATTTTGTTATCGATGTTTCTTTACAGCTAACGGATTCGAAGGTGTGTACGATCCTCCAGCAGCCATTTTGGAAGCCCTGTTAAACTTCAATGCGGAAGCACCACAAACAACCGCTCCATCGCGTCGACGAAGGGCAATTTCCACCACAGTTGCACCTGCCAGCACGAATTTAACTGGTGTGACCAATCCGACTGTCTGTCTTCTGCATGGTGAACCTATGCTGTTTGGTGTTAACAACAATTATTTCCCAGAGTACGATGAGGGTAATCTGTACAATACTAACCCGAACTTTGATTTTGGAGCCTTTAAGGACATGGCCGAGAAACATCGACTCATGAAGACCAATTCGACTCTGTTCTCCTTCAAATTCAGTGAAGCTGGAGTTTATGTTTTCATGCTTAGCTCAAATTCCGACAGCAAAATGGTACGTACCTACACTATTTAAATTTCCGACAAATTATATATATTAGATATAATCAAAATTGTATTGGCATTGGTTTTCAAGAGATTAAGAGGCTTTCTTTGTGTTTGGGCTCAATGTGAGTGAGGAAGAACCTCATTTCAGTTCTGCTGCTCATTTGTATAATTGAATTTGTGTATCTTAATGGCAGAAAGAATAAATGATTAACGTAGCTAGCTAGAGTCGGGTGATTGTCACAGTTGAAGTAGACATTACACAACTTTCATTTCCAATGGTTTATCGTATAACTGTTTTCTTTGAACAACTTTTCCGCTAGTTTCATTGTTTAAGCCAATGCTTTGATTTGCGGTTCTGTCACGATCTTGTCATCCATGATTGTGTAGAATGCAAGATGTCTTCTACGAATGCAAGATGGTTGTATTCTACGAAAAACAACTGGCTTTTATAGAATAGAACCATCCTTTTTGATTCCTCAAAGGTTATTCCAAATTCTGACAACAATCTTTCTCTATTAACATACAAATAAGCAGTCTTTGTAACAAATTTTCACCGTAATATGTGGCTTCCATTCTAGTTCATTCGCGTGATGGCGAAGGGAGCCCAGTGCGCCGAAGACGGTCCGTTCTTTCCGACCACTCCACGACTCATCATCCAAAACGGGATTGCCATCGACAGCAACATCCTTATCACACCTGATTGGCTTTACATCGGACTAATGCTTGGCAGTTTCTTCCTTCTTGTGATTGTACTTGCAATTGCATTGGTGAGGATGCTTTTGTTTCAGTTTCAAACCTACTAATTCTTATTTCAGATCGTGTTATCGTTATACAGCTAAACCCCAATAGCGATATTTTACGCAGCTTCAAAATGTTAGTTATTTTGAGTTCAGATTTTTAAGTTTAGAATCTTTTCAATAGTTGATGTGGCTATTTTTTTATTTCTTTCCAAGTTTCGATCCCCTTTCTCTAACTGTCAGAAATGTATCTTAGATGGCCTACAAAATCCAACCAGCCAAAAAACTTTTATTCATCTTGTGTCAATTTATACAAATAATATTTTGCAGCTTAAAGTATTGTTTGCTTGATTTTTTCAAATTGAGAAGCTTCAAAGAAAAGAAAGAATCTATGGTTGTGTTGAAACGATCGGTTTGGTATTAGGACCCAATGTGTACATAAAACCCTTAATGATCAATTTCTTTTTGTTATATTTAAGATGATATTCCGCAAGCATGGCTGGAGGAAAATCATGTACTTGAACCCTCGCTACCGGTCGAAAGCTGCAGCCTACGATTTCGATAAATACTCCTCAAAAGGCTCTGCAGTTCACCCCGTCAAAAAGATGAATATTCACAATCAAATCCTGGGAGCTTACGAGCAGGCACCCCCGGCTATCACTAGTGCTGCAGAAGGTAATTTATTATTGAAAATAACACTACCGTATACCGTCAATATAGCTAGTAATTGCGGGGCCTGGGTTTCTTTTACATTGCAGGGGGTATGTCCTTCCTCTGTGAGATAAAGCTGTATAGAGAGGAAGAAATTTCGCGGTTAAATTATTGCAGTACGTTTGTTGTTTTGGAGATGTTAGTTATTGGGATTTTTATGCAACTCAAATTTTTATTTTGATAGTCGTTATGTTTCTCGGTATGCACAATAAGTTTTTTATATCATGTTAATTATGTTCAACTAGTGTTCAACCTGGATTTAGAAACCAAGATACGATTAGAAAACAAAGTGTTTAGTTGTGCCAGAGTCGATCATTTTCAATAGCCAGAAAAATGAATTATATTTCCCTGTTGGAATAAAATTGCCTTTGTAGAGGGGAAATATTTGAATGCTATTTTGAATGAATGAATAGAAGTTCGATATCAGTTATTGCTTTTTTGCTCTAGATAGTGAGGGGAGCTGGTGCAAAAAAACTTTCTTTGTGCAAAGTTTCATGACTTTACCCCTAAATAGCACAAGATTTGCACCGAGTGACTCCACTAAGAGCCGTTTTCAAGCCAAGAAGATCTTAGATAACAATATTTCCAGTTGGTTTAAGGTTACCTTTGTACAGCAATGGAAATCTGAAAGGACTCTATGTACATTCTTTATATAGCCTTTGTATATTTATTTTAATTAATTGGTCAATAATCCTTTGTCATAAAATAATTCAAGGAACTTCAGCTGGCCAAGTTGTTGCCGTGGATGATGTCCAAATAAAAGGTGACGAATTCTGGGATTACAACCAACAAGTTGATTTAGAAGCTTTCAGCACAAAAGATTTCTACTCAACTCTTTCCAAACAGTCAAGTGACGTTACATCAGCTCTGGCCAAGCAAAAAGACCAGGTAAGCCCAAGCTGTATTTCTCAATTCGCACTTTAAACTCTGTATCAAAAATCGTTTTACTCGTTTCAGTTCTATGGCTTTTTACTTTGCAACCTTGCAAGTTATATTGATAAAAGTCAATCAAAACTTAATTAATTGCGCGAAATTTTAACGCGAAATTTAAAAATCGTTTAGCTAATTCAACCCTTTTTTATATCATATGTTGACTTATATCGATATCATATATCAATACGTATTGAATATTCCATCATTAAAGCTGCTTGTGATTTGAAAGATGAATGCATCATCAACATACAATCCTTGACCTCCCCCGATCCATTTCCTTGAATTCTTAATACTTCTAATGTAATATTTCATTCATACTCTTTCAAATACCTTTTCTCAATTGCTCAGAAATTATTCCATCTTCAATCGAGATGATAAACCATTTCTTTTGCATTTTATTTAGGTCAAGCAGCTTTACCAAAAGATTCAGAGCCAAGCCGAATCCCTTAAGGGATTATGGGTAGCAAAGCTGAACTTGAAAGGAAGGTCTGCCTTAGCAACACAAGAGGATTTGCAGGAGTTTGAGCGAAAACGGGAAGAGGTGATTTTCATTTTTTCATTTTCATTTTTTCATTCAATTAAAATTTAGACCGCATTTCGGTCTCAATACTTTGATTCGAAAGTGATTTGATGTTTTGTGAAAATTTTGTACAATAGTAATTTATGTTTCCTGACTTTTTAAGTTTTGTTTTCCAGCTTGAAAGAGAATTAGAACGCCGAAAAGAAGTTGGTTCCTCATTCCTTGAAATGTTGGATAAGCAAGGAGACGTTTTTGATAAAGATAACAAAGCTCGTGAAGCTCACCAAGTGGCATTTATGTCACAGCTGAGAGAGGCTGTCAGAATTCTAAAAGATTACGCACATAGCAGAGGAAAAGCAGATGAACTGGATCCAGAACACGAATTCGATGAAAACCTCCAGCATAGGTAGGGGCTTTGTGATTTTATTCAGGGAGTAAAAGCCATTCTGTTAAACACGGCTCGCAAAGTCATTTCCACTCTTGCTTTTCGAACACTACAATAGACAGTGAAAAGATGATGGGTTCTGCCCGAAATGTCTGATCACAGTATTCAAAGCTAAAGTGTTATATTTAAAGTCATCATCTTTGTGTGTAAAGTCTCGTGAACTTTGAATTGATTTTGTGCATTTGTCTCAGGGTCGGTGCGAGAGTGCAAGCTTTGATTGAAAGATTGTCTGTCGAGCTAACAAGTGAAGCCAGAAGACGTGGATGCTGGGGCCTACTTGGTCAGTGTACCGGCGCCATGATTGTTGATCAAAACGAGGAGCCTGTACTGCGAGAGAGGCTCTTCAACGCTGATGGTAGTGTAAAAGACGAGAACCTTGTATTCCTTGACCCTAAAACAGGATTGATAATGCCCAACTCGTTGGAATTATTCCTCTGGCTGCCTGACGCTAAAAGAGGCGGTGATACATGCAAAGTTGAGATACCTCCTGGTTTCTTCATTCATCCAGTTACAGCAAGAGCAATGCCAATTGAAGGTAGGTTCGCATACTTTCAGGCAAGGAACGCGTGTTTGCTATAGGCTAGCCGATTTTTTGGGAGTTTAAAAACGTATATTCCCCTTCTATCTATGCCAAGAAAATATTTAATTAAAGTCTCACAATGTCTTAGGATAATCTTTCTATTCTTGCAAAACAAAATTTTTATTGAATATTCAGTATTCTTAGATTCAGTTCCATTTTTACTGTTTGTAAACCCGTCCAAATTACAGATTCTATACCCTATAATTTTTCTACCCGCCCCGCTCTATTTAACATCTAATTTGGTTCTGTATGTTGTTCCCCAACTGTTTGCTTTAATAACCTTTCTTTTTCTAGGAAACGTTGCTTACGATCCAGTGTCATCGCGCCTCATACTCACCACCGACAGTGCCAATGGCGAGGCTACGAACTCTTCAGAGCCACTTATACCGTACGTACCATACCCTATCAACCCCCATACGGGGCAACCTGTTGAATGCCATCTGTCTCCGCTTGACAAAAGAGGCGATATGCGACTAAATGGCTCAATGTCAGATCCGACTAAAGGACTGCCAGTGCCAATACTTGGAATGACGATACACCCTGTCACAGGTAAGGCAAAAAGCTTTGTATTCCAGTCGAATGCCAGTTTTAAAGGGTACATGTATATAAGGTTATGTGATCCTCTGTATCGCCAGATTTATTTCCACGGGGGAGAGCTCTTATCTCTAATACAGTTAAATAGGTAACGGACAGTTGGGAAAGAATAAGGAAATTTCCCTTTATTGTTTTACGGGATCCCCTCTTCTTCGTTTATCGCTTTTTACTGACACAGAGTACTGAATAAACATTTCTTTTTAAACTAAGACGTCTTCTGACTTTTTTAAAAGTTTTCGATGGAAAGACAGATGTTTTGTTTCAACATGACAAGATCCATAACTTTTCTTGATCCATAACTTGTCTGTTTTTAAGGTAATGCATTCCCTGTTGGTGGCTGCCACGAGGACCCTGTCACTGGCCTGCCTGTTGCCATTGAACTTGGCTCTATGATGCTTGACAAAATTACTGAAAAGCCTGTACCCATCATTGCCGTCACAATAGATCCGTTCTTGGGAACAGTGATCCCTGTAGGTGGAACAGTGCTGGAAGACCAAGAGTCTCCAATAGCCATACCCGTGTTGCTTTATGACAGCTTTGTTGAAGCTTCCTCTGAGCAAGAGCTCAAAGTTACTAGTGCAAGATTCATTGATGTTGAAGAAGGATGTGTAGAAAGGTTTGCTGGAGGATTCAGAGCACTGACAGACGTGAATGAGTTGTTTCATGAGTCAAAGGTACTTGATGCTCTGCGTGACTTGAATGATGGCCTGACAGGAACAGAGCATACTTCTGGAAGGCACGAAGAGAATGTTCTTGAAACCTGCTCGAAAGACCTTGGCAAGGCAAGGAACCGCATGAAAACGCTGCAAATAAGAGATCGTCTTGATCTAGCAAGAAGGCAGGAAAGAGCAACTGTTCTTGAAGAAAATGGGGGATCCCCTGGAATGTATGAATATGTCACAACGGGACAGTTGCTGCCAATTCTCGTTGGAACCTCAATGAAAGATCCTTTCGGATCTGGGCTTGATGTGCCAATTCTGGGAGTAGAGAAAGACAAAAGTGGAGAAGGCATAATACCGCTTGGCGGGTCAGTTGAGGATCCTTATGGTGAAGGGTTGGTTGCTATCCAGCTTGGTGAGAAAATTGTTGATCCAGTTATGGGCAAGTTGTCGACCGTTGTTGCTGCAAGATACAACCATGAGTTAGGGGCTACGGAGCCAGTGACATCACTTTCAAGTCAAAATCAACGCAAGAAGAAACCACCACATGGATCTGTATGTGTACATTTAATCTACGTATTGGGGTTTGCTCTGTCTTCTTCTATAACCAGGGATTTCCCTGTATTTGTTGTTTTAGAGTTCTAAACTGAAAGATGTATTTTTAGAACTTTTTGCTTTGTTATTCAAATTTTTCAGTCATTTAGTTGCTCTTCTGTGCTTGTCACCTGTTTAAGTTATAACTTTGATTTCATTGCTGTGAGTTTTGCCCGTGGTAGAACTGTTGCTTATTTAATGCTCAATTTAATTATAACCTTACTACCTTCGCCTTTTAGCTTCAAATGCTTGAGGAAGAATTGGTTGGCCGCAGAAGTTACTGGAGAAGACAGCGTCATAGAGAGGATGAGCTGACATCTGTCGAGACTCAGCTTGTAAAACAAATGCTAGAGGACGAGAATGTCACTGCACAGATAGTCATTGAGAAACAGGAGATGATAAATGAGAGTAAGGATTCGTCTTTCTTTTTTTAGTCAAGGTTATTCATGAATGGCAAAATCATATTCCATGTAGACAGAAAGCTAAGGTGATGCAGTTTAAACCTTGTTATGGAAGCCATAGGAGTGTGGGAAGATTACCCCTCCAAATCCTAAATATCTCTTTTAATTCATCTCTAAAGTCGGGTATTGTTACTTTGGAAGTATAAAAAATAGACTGCTCAAATAGGTAACTTGACTAAGATTGCCTATTGACTAAGACTAACTTGGCTAAAATAGGTAACTTGACTAAGATTGCCCCACCCTTCAATAAACACAATTTCTGTTGAAGTCGAATCTTTTAGTTAAAAATAATTTGTCAACCGAGCTTACCAACATTTTGGTGTTGGTTAATTCGAGATTTAAATGCTATTGAAACACCCAGGCAGACACAAGCCCTAAAATCTCAAAATAGTAAATTGTGCGTAGCCGTAATATCTCAATCCAGGCAAGTTAAAACTGTAATTGTCAGTAAAAAAAACAAGTATGCATGCTGGAAATTTACTAGCGACCATTCTAGATTTTTTGACTTTATAGATGAACGACGAACTTCAGCTTGTTAAAAATTACTGTTTATTTCCTTTCAGGTATTTCCTCTATTGTCGAAGCTTGCAACCGCGAATTGCAGAGAAGAGGCGAAGCTGCCATTGAGCATGCTTCTGGGTTACCACCAGATGTTGTTGCTGTGTTGACGCAGTTTGATGCGGAAGAGCGAGAAAGAGAAGAGCAACATAAACAATCGCATTTCAAGTTTAGGGAATGCGTTGAAAGATTCTTTAACAAATTGCAAACGGAGGAGAATAAGTATAAGACAAGGATGGAAGAACTTGAGGTACGATATTGACAAATAAGGAAAACGGGGTTTGCTAATAAATCAAGCCCTTTTGAGCTAGGTCCTGATCTATCGAGTTTTTTTCAATCGGGAAATAAATCTGAATCAAGAATTCAGCAAAAATTATTTATGTTTGTTACTTTTAGATCATCTATTTTAACATAATATCTTGCTACATTAGCTCTTAACCAACTAAAGAATCCGAAGAACTTTTTGTCGAAGTGCTGGCCAATAGAAGACTAGTTCAGGATTGATTATAAATTCAAGTTGTTTCACGAATCATTCTTTTGATTCTAGGGCGCCATGAATCCTGATGCAGAAGAGACAATAGCTGAAAGATACAGGAATGCGAAATCACGACTGAGAAATGATCTTAAAGATCAGCTACAAACGAGGATGGAAACCCTTGATGAACAGCACGAATCGCTCGAGTATACAAGGGAACTGGTTGATCTCAGTGGAACTGAAGCAAAGGCATGTATAATTTGTTTGATATGCCATTTTATCTGCAGATTGCTTGCTTTTGACTTTTAACTTTGACAGCAGCTAACATATAGTAACCAACATTCAAGTCAAACTTTCGAGATTCAGGTTTAAGTATGAAATAAGGGTGATCGATATGTAATAGTGGTGCAATAATTTTCGTGAAAAGTCATATATTTTTAATTTTTTACCTATTGTAAAAGGATATTTTCAGCTTTTTCTGTATTCAAATTTATGTTGAATGGTGGCAAAAATGTGCTATTTTATTGAAATGAAATGATTTCATCTTTTTGAAGATAAGGTCACAGAAAGTTGAATTGGGATTTATTTGAAAGGCGTTTTGTGATGTTTTATGGCTTTGTTTATCATATGAATGATACGTAAAAAGCTCTATACCAAGATAAGTTTTCATGAAACCAAACTTAACAAAATGTTTTTAATAGTGATGAACTTGGGCTGACATGCCTTTTCTCCTTTGATTTTGCAACCCTTCTCTAACACTGCACCAATCGTTCTCTATCAGAAGCAGAAAAAGGGGTTTTTTCCCAAGCCTTTCTAATAAACAAGATTATCTCTGATTATCTAGGGTTTGCTGACGTCATCTGTCTACCACGCTGGCGATTACGATGCAAATTTGCCTGGTTCTTATGGTGATAACATTGCCACTTCAGAATCAAGTCGTGAATTGATTGCTTTGCTGCAGAAACTTATTAAAGTCATAAGTGAAAACGGGCCTTTAAGTGCTGTAGAACTGGCACCTCTGATTGGTGGCACTACTCTTGGGGTGATTGGTGAAGCAAGTGGTGCTAGACCTATGCCTGTTGGTGCAGAAAGGCAGTATGCTGGTGCAAACATTACGACAGGTAATTTATCATCAGTATCCAACTATAGGCCACCCAAGGATGTCTTAGATAAATGCGAAGAAAGTCATTAACCAACTGTACTAACTGTAAAGGATGTATGCTTCTGTTGATTGTGTTATTTTATCCATATGAGAATTCGTTGGTCTAGTGCTTGGGCTTTTATGCCTTTGAATTTCACTGCAATGTCCTTTCTTCTCCTCTATCCACATTTGTTATGCACGAGTTTAACATGTTTGGTCTTTTAATCTCAGGTCTGATACCTGATTAAGAATTGATGCATTTTAAACCTACCAAACTATTCCACAATATGACAGAATTGTATTTATCCAATTGGAAAGACTTTCCAAACGCTGTTTTTGTTGAACTGCTGACCCTTAACTTTTAGGCAAAACATACAGCATCACTGAAACATCTATAATAAATGCAGAAGGTAGAATAACGCGGGAAACCGCGTTAGGCCGAGCTCATGATCGCCTTGGAGTGCCAGAGCGAACAAAAGAGTCATTCAATGCTGACGAGATCTTATCTAGAATTGAGGTTTCGAAGCTTGGTGAGGCAACTGCAAGCCACCAAGTTGATATAAGGGATGTCATTGCATCAGGGGAATTGACGGAAGAGAAGCGCAAGGAGATCATGAAGGCAATAGTTGAAAAGCATATGATGGAGTCAGCGAAGCTTGAAAGTGGCCTGCGCCAGGCGGAAATTAAGGAGATTAATGAAGTTTTGGAAGATATTCAAAGCAAAAAGGAAAAGGTTGCTGCTAGACTGAAGGACGAGTTGAAAGAGAAACTGCGTTCAGCCTCGGAGGAGGAAAGGGAAGACATTATCTTAGAATATGCTAAGAAATTGCAAGATGAAACGAATGCAATACATAATGAAAAACAACGAAGGCTCAAGGACAAAAGGGCGAAGCTTAAACAAGAGCGAATGAACAAAAGGCGTGAATTAATGAGGTATGTTGACAATTAAACCAGAATTCATATAGAATGATACTAAAAGGGAAAACGACAATTTCATGAGGTTTGCCCTTTAAAGCATCGTCATTAACTAAAATTCGCAATTGTATAATCAGCTACGTAAGCTAACAGTGTGAGATTGCTTTTTTGTACGAGAACGCCCCTTTTCCGACCCTTGAAAGTATTTTCTTTGTTAATCGACGGTAATACCTGAAGAACAGCATGTTACCTATATGAGCTTGAAGTTTATCCCATGTTGTTCGAAAGTTCAACTTTTTAACTACTAAGATCATGGTCTCAATTGAAAGTTTAGGTGATTTTCGACACGATGAAGGTAAAGCTTATCTTTTTAGTCGAGACTCGAAAAGTTCTCTAAGTAATATCTAAGCTGTATGAAATGGCAGATCATTAATCACAAAATACAAACCACCGTGAATAACCAGATGAAGATACGTAACCATTTCTTTCCCGTCGCCAGAAAACATATGGAAGAAGCCAGAGCTGCCGGCGTTGCTGACATTATTGATCTTGAATTGCCAAGTGAAGATGAGCTTGAAAGAGAGTTGATGCATCTCGAGAGAGAACAAGAGAAGCTAATCGCAGAGCTGAGGAAGGCCTACCAAGATGACATGGAGGCTGAGAGCAGTGAGCGAAGGGCTGCTCTCAACGAAGAAATGGAGAGAAAAGCGAGAGAACTGAATATTTTGAACAACCCCAAGGCTGAAGAGCAGCTGAATGATCTCAGAAACGTAAATTTCTTCTTTTAGTTTTTTTAGTAGATTAGTATTAGTGACTGGTTTATTGCTAAGATGTTGCAAAGAGTTTCCGAAACATTTGGCTTTTCAAGATGCATTTTGCTAGTCAGGTTTCCTTGATCCCTTGATTCTCCTGCGAGTACAATCATTTCTTTGCTGCTTCCCTCAAGGAAGTATCCTCTGATAGGGATTCATCTTTTTTTTGTGAGAAAGTTTTTTTCTTAGATGTAAAAAAGCAAACGAGTTTTGTAAAATTTTTTCAAGCGACTTTTTTCCATTCTAGAACCAAGGAAAGAAACAACAGAGTTTGAAAGATAAACTACGTGAAAGGAAGGAAAGGCGAAAGCATAGAAGTGCAGATCTAGCAAATATGACAGAGGAGGAAAAGGCTGAGTTTTTTGCAACCGCAGCTGCGGAGGAGGATGTAGACAACACAATGGCTGACAACACCATTATGTCAGCAATTTTGGAAATTGATAATGAAGAGAAGAAGAAATTAGTTTCAAGCATTGTAAGAGAGAAATCTGAAATGAGTGATGACGAAAAAAGAGAAATGGTAGAGAAGTTTCTTGCAGATGCCAGTGAAATGGAAGAGAAGTTCAAGAATCAACAGGAGTACAGTGAGGCTGTTGTTGCTGCGAAATTAGCCGCCAGAAAGAGGCTACGTGATCAGAAGCTGAAAGAGGCCGCTTTGAAGAAAGAATTGGATGCACTCTCTGCAAAACAGGTAATTTTCATTCGAATTTAGTTTTGATAGGTTAGGCAACAGTTCTTGTTCCTGCGACTATGAAAGTTAAAATAAGGTAAAAGAAGTTAGGAGGCGATTGGGTTTCACATGTAATTTTTTTTGCATCGCTGCCCAGTGTACCGAGCTTGCACATCGTGTCTGAAAAGAAATCGAATGTTCAAGATCGGGCTTTCACTTCACTTGCTTAGTTGTAGGTCATATTGTTAAAAGTGCAAATTGTTGCTTGAGAATTGGCTTGATTCCGTGAAATAAGACGTGATTGACAAGGCCATATGTGCTCTTCCTAGATATTTGATTAAAGCAATAACGAATCTAAAACCATTCAAATCTAATATAGAGAGGTTATCGTGACAATGTATCAAGTCCTCGCTATAGGTTTCTTCAAAACTTTCATTTTTGTTCTCTACAGGCCGAGTTAATGGGTGGCACAGATAGCTCCAGCATGAAGGAGATTGCCTCTTCTTCAGTTAGTGAAGAGCAAAAGAGACAGCAAGAAGAACTGCTTGAAAAGCAAGAGGAGAAGCAGGTAAAGATGGATTTGAGCCACGCAGCGGATGTCAACAAAATGAAAGAGGAATTGGACGACGACGCGAAAATGGCACAGGGCTCTATTGTTTCGCAAATGGATGAGCAGAAAACCAAGGTCTGTGGAATAAAAAGTTTTGTTTAAATTAGGCCCATGCGTGTGCTCCCCTTCAACTTGTTTACAATCTTTTAAGTCAAGGAATGTTTTGATCATATGTAAAAGGATAATGTTTTGTCTAGCTGCACCTACAAGAGGACGGAAAACTTACAAGGTAAAGCTGAATTTAAATGTATCTTTGAAATTCCATCGTTTTTGTTTTCTAGGCTTTGGAGGAGAGGCGTGCAAAATTCGAGAAAGAACTCGAACAGCGCAAGAAAGATCTGTCGGAGGAGCAGCTGAATGCATTGATGAGTGAACACCAACAACAAATTGACTTGCTCGAGAGGAATATGGACTCAGAGAAAAGCAGGCAGATTTCGACATTGCAGGATAGGATTGCAGAAAGGAAGCGAAAGAGGGCCGCTGCCTTGGCCATGAAACATGAGGCAGAAATGGCAAAGGAAATGATGAAACAGCAGCAGGAAAGAAGCAAACTACAGAATGACCAGGTATGCTTCTTAATCACCAATTTGCTACCCTTGACATATTTTCCTTGCTAGCCATATTAAATGCGGCAAGCTTTACAATCATGACTTGTACATTGTATACCCCCTTAAATTCATGTCCGCCACCTTTGTCTTTTGGCTTCAAGGTTGCTGTATTTGATACCTTATATTGTCAAGGAGTTCTTTTAAAGTGATTTTTTTATGATTTGTAGCTGCGAGAAGTTCAGAATGAAAAGCTTGCTCAGCACGTTGCTGGAGGTGATCCTAAGGACGCTGAAAATCTTATTTACAAAGTCCTTGAGCAACGGCACATGCGTGAGCGGGCAGAACAAGAGGAGCAGTTCGCTAGGGAAAAGGAGATTGCTCGCATCGAGTTACGTGCTGCTATGGAGGAGAATAGGCAAGCCGAGAGAGAAGAGCTTGTCGCCAAGCAAGAGAAGGTAAAGTAGTTGCTCTATAGTAGTTTCCTATCATGCGTTTATGGATGGTTTTCAAGATTATCGCTAAATATCTAAATAAGAAAGGATTTTTTTTCCTTTTCAAGATCAACGTGTATTTTCCAAAAAAGACCCAAATCTTCACCATTTAACGTATTATTTTGTTAACAGTGAAATTTTGTTTTAGGAATTTATGGATTTAATTGCTGAAGCTGGATCTTTGAGCAGTACAGATTTATCTCAGCGGAAAGCGGAGCTTAAACTGAAGCATAAGGTTTGTCATTATGCGATACTAGATGTACAGTTTTGTTTAATTCATGGTTACGGGACATTGGGACAGTAAGGAAGAAGGATGCTGTAGGGGACAAGGGTACAATAAGGGAAAAGGATGCATTAGAGAACTCAGGGTAGTAAAGTAGGGGCCATGTGGCAGCTGGAAACGGGTAGAGTCGGAGGGGGGAGGGGTGGGGCTTGCAGCAATGTTTATAGTTCCCTGATGATAACTATCAAACCACAGATGTGGGGAAATTTTGTATTCAAAGTCAGTTTCAGAAATGCAGTTTTGTATCCAAGATTAGTGATGCAAACTAAAAATCTATTTGTCATGTATTTTGTTTTTGTAATGTTGGTGGATTTTTCATATTGTCAGCTATCAACGCTCACCTAGTTGAATACTCGTTTTTTCTGTTCTGAGAAGTTAGAATTCCTTCTTTCCTATTGCTTGGATCTTGATTCATCTTTTGTTCATGATTGGGCAGTCCACGATTTGTTCAGCAGTCAATTTATCACAAAAAGTGATTCGTGATAAATGTTTAATGATATGGATTGCATCGGTTCTCATTAGAAGTCCATTTTCGATTTACAAAGAAACGGAATATTTGTAGCAATCCTTGTTAATGTTTTCTTAGAAACAACTCGCTGAATTCGACAAAGAGTCTGAAGAGAAGTTAAGAGAAACGGAGACAGAGCCCCTTTCTTCCCTTGAGATAAGACATGCACATGCGCGGTTGGAGTTGCGCGAGAAGCAGATGACGGAGCTTGCTGGATCAATGCAGGACCTTACTTCAGAAGAGGTAAGACTTAAGGGTCATCCTTGCCGTCCTAAAGGAACATGTTTGGGGGACTTTATCGAAGGGTTTTGAAAAGTTTTCAAACCATGAGTATTTTCTGACCTGTCAAATCATTAGAGCAATTAGTATGTTTTGACTTGTCAAATCATTAGAGTAATTAGCCGTTTATTTTACTTGAGGGGATGCTCCGCGGATTTTCGAAATTCGATTAATTGCTTTCACATCGATCTATTATTACCATCCGATTCCGTCACAATATCAAACTACATTTATTCCAATTATTGCTACAACCTTACCATCTTAGTACCATCGCAATGTTAAATTTCATTTCTTCCTAGGAGCTTGTTGAACAGTATAATGAGCAGGCGGAGAAGGCAGCCGAAGCTGCGAAGGCGTACCGTGAAAATGCTTCCTTTGAAATCGCCTCTAAAATTGACGATATGAAAAAGAATATGAGACTTCAAAATGAAGAAGAAAAGAAACGAATGGAGGCTGAGCTCAGGTACTTTCACATTCTGTAACTGTTACTTGATGATCTTTTATCCTTATTTTGATACATTGATATCTCATATTGTTCATTATTTTCTGTTTTTGCTTGATCAATTGCTATTCTATGTCTATCATTTGTTTAAATGGTATCATTACCCCCCTTCTGGTTTTTTAGTCAGGTGTTTGGAAGATTCGTTATCAGCACAAGAATGTGAATATCAAGGATGCTTGGATTTCATGTTTCCTAATAACTAAGCCATTCATCTGTTTTGTTTGAAGAAATACTGAATAACCGGTTTCTCGTTTCTGAATAGGAAACTAGAACAAGAGCTTGAAGATGAACGCGAGAAAGAAATTTTGAAGGCCGCTGACAAGGAAGCTGAAAAAGAGGCTTCAAATAAGCGAAAAGAACAAGCGGAGAAACTGGAACAAGCTCAGAAAGAGGTTGATGAGTCTGAAAAGGAGGTATGGTGTTCCGTTCTAAATGATTTTCATGCATTTAGATAATCATTTAGGCATCAGATTTAACACAGGCGTTGCGACGCGTTTATGATTGAGAAAACCTCGGGAATTAGTATTCCGTTGCCGATTAGATTCGCAAAAATAGGTCTTTTGTATAGTCTAATCAATTGGAATTTGGTGTTCATTGGAGTGCATCGGGATACAGTGCCTTTAAAAAGATGTCTCAATACAGACAATTATCATCACTTTATCACTTTATCGGGTCTTTTCGTCTTATTTTTGTACGGTTGCGCAAAATTATGACGCTGGACTCTTTCATCGTTTGACTCTGTATAACTTTTGGCATTATTGAAAATGTTATTGAGAAATTCTGGAGTTTTTTTAAAATCCTTTTCAATAGTCCACAAGTTATCATTTATCGATATAACAGTGTAAGGCACTTCAAAAGAAATTGGCGGTGTCAGCAAAGCAAGACCTGATGATATTTTCTTAACACTTTTGCAACTGAGCTTCCATGTAGGCCGGTTCCCTCATTTTGGAAACACCCCATCGTGGCCTAAATCTCATTATAAAACTTATTCATTGTATAAATGTGCCAAGAAAACTTTTCAAATGTGCTCTGTTTAATTTAATGATAGAAATTGATGAAGGAACATCTCGAGAATATGTCGAAATTTGAAGAAAATTTGAAGAAAGAACAGGCAAGAACAAAAGAGGCATTGCGTCAGAAACTTGAGGAAAGAAGACGAAAGAGAAAGCAGTCTGAAGGTGCTAAGTCTCAAGAAGCCTTGAGTGGAGAGGAATCATTTAGTGCAACTGGCACACCACAGAAGATCGCTGCTTTGCAAGACAGTTCAAGGAGCATATCACAAACGCCCGTAAAATCAGCGACAGGTCCATTAACACAGAGAATGGAAAGTGGGGGTGGGTTTTGTCATTTTTTTTGTTTAAATTGCTTTAAGCCTGTTTCTGCAGGTTTTGAGCCCTACGGGACTAAGGTGCTGTAGATGAGTTGTGGAATGTACTGCAATTTGTCTTGATCGTCTGCTTAATACAATATTGACTTATAGTCAAGTGTATATGTTAGTTTGGAACTAAGACTGACTCTTTAGATTTCTTACCCTGAAACCTCTTGAACTCCTGAAATCTCTTTCGATCGTCTTTAGAAGATTTTCCATTTTGAAAATTTTTGCCAGATTTAATTTGTATTCAAGGATATCTAGCTGTTTTAAGAAATTAAATTGTTCAAAGCAGCAACATATTTGTAATTTTTCGTTCTCTTTGGTTTAGAATATCCCGTAGTAACTGCAGGCTTGCCGGAAGGAATGACTGAGCAAGATTGGCTGAGCATGCTTTTGGGATCGCCCCTCTTCGAGACTGTCAACAAGATTGAAGACATGGTCAAGAATGGCACCGGCGATGCAGGCATTGCTGGAGCAAAAGGAGGACGACCATATATTGACATCAAGGTACGCTCGTGTTTGCGATTTAGTATCTTGTCATTCTTGTAAGAGGTTTGATAGAAAACTCGTTTCTTTTAAAAAAGATATCTCGATTATTATGGCCTACCGGATATCCGTTACATCCCTAAAATGTTACCCTTCCTAAAGTAAGACGTTTCTGCTCCCCTCGTCAACTGAGCCAGACTTCATTTCGGTGATATTGCATAAATTCCTCTGTCAACCCCTCCTTGTACCAATTTTTCTGAATTACCAGGGAATTTCGTGTACACTGCTAGACTGCTTTGGTGCTGGCACCAACCTTTTAAAGTTACCATGCAGATCTATCACATTCAAACCTGTTTCACCTATATTTATCTTGCTATCTTCCAGGACGCACAATGGATGTGCAAGGGAGAGCTAATTCCAGTTGACATAAACGAACTCAGTCCAACACACTTTGTCGTCTACCGATTCGGTGTCTTCGTCACCCAGCTTTTGCAGCAGCACTTGGATATCCCAGAGGTCACCTTGCTATTGGCATCCAGCTTGCCACCAAATAATTATGCCAACAATGCATTTAGAAACTCATTCTTCTTTGAGCGTTCGAGAAGAATTTTATTTATCAGGCAAGAAAGGATGGAAAGTGTGGGTGACTTTATCGTTGTTGTTTTGCATTGCATGGCACATGTCAAAATAGACAACCTCACTGATGACAACAACCCACTCTTCTTGAGAGAATTCTACAAGGTGATTAATCTTAATTCTTTATTATTTTTCCATGAAACCTCGTTGTCGTTGATTAATTTTTACTTCTTACTTTTTTCTAGAAATTTTGCTACGTTTTACCTCCCCCCAATTTTGTTGAAATGTTGTATTTTGATGCAGAAGATTTGCTTAAATATTTTACCCTTGAAGCATTTTGTACACAGGCGCTAAGAATCTGCTGCCAAGACATGTTTTTCGGCCGGTCAAGATCGTCGCCAACGGTCAATGCTTTGACTGGCGCAAGGCAGGGCGCTGACAACGTCACTTTACAGAACCCTCTGCAAAATGCATTCAGACACACAAAAACAACTCGACACAGGCTTAATGTCGTTGAAGAACTATTTAATGTCAAGGTTAACCAGCCTCTGGAGAAAGACATTTCGAATGAGGTGAGCGGTTTTAACAAACAACAATGGAAATCAAATTTCATATTCAGCCTTGGATATACGTATTGTGTTTTGTACTTATTATTTTCCTATCTTGACAGCACCTCTAATGAATAAACAAGATTGTCAAAATGTCCCTGAAACCTACTTGAAAATGAATTGTGTTACTTTGGAAAGCGGTCTTTCTCTTGAGCTTGAAAACTGCTAGGATTTTTTGGCGTTATAGAAGACGAATCATTTGTTTGTTTTATTAAATTTATATGAATTTATATCAAATTTATAAGTACGGTCCTGCAGAACAGTGAAGAATTTTTCTTTTCGGCTAACAATATAAATTATTAAGTTAATCATTTCTTACAACTTATCGATAAATCAATGACGCTTCCCCGTAAATGGTCATTTTAGCCTTAATTTTTATCTATCTGTGTTATCTTCTTTTTAAGGCTGTCATTCAGCGGATTTCAAAGAGCAATAAATTCATTGACAATGGAAAGCTACGAGCGTACCTGCGAAGCGTTGCTGGTATAGGAGCTACGGAGGAGGAAGATAAATTCGCCCAGAAGCGGCTAAAGGAGCTCAGTGGGCCCTCGCTGCAGCCTGCCCCCAAACAACCGTGAGTATATGAGATATTATCGTATTTATTGTCAGTTTTTAACGGTTTGAGACTGCGGTTAGCAAGCTGTTTTGATGAGAAGATATTTTCCAAAATCGTCATCTCCTAACGGCATTACAGGCAGAAAACTGATGTTACTAACTAGTGTGCAGAAAACTGATGTGCTCTGCTCTAACTAGTCACACTTCATAGCAATACAACTCCAAAACTGATATGACTTTCTTATTTTAGGGTTCGACGAGTTTCATCTTTAAAACCAACACTAATGACGCCCACAGAGCTTCTAGATATTCAAATATCAGAGCTCGAAGGCCGAGTCGATAACTTGAATGCTGAGCTGACAACAGTGATGAAAACAAGGTCAGATTTAGCATTGAATATTGAGAAACTCAAAGAGAAAAATGTTGGTATGGAGTTGATTGAACGAAGACAACAACAACTGAATGACACACAGTTGCAGAAGGATAATCTAATGAAGAAACTGAAGTCTTTAGAGGCGCAAATCGCTCGTAAGCGAAGAGAGAAAGGGGTTTAATTTATAAGTAAAAGTTTTTTGTTTTAGCGAATGTGTGTTTTGAGCTGAGCACCAAGTGAGAAAGTATTGTAATTGTGCACCAAGTGATTTGTTGATTTTACACAGTGATTTAGTATGATTAATCATTTTAATGATCGACCATGTGCTGGTTCTGTTGGGTTATTGATTTTAGCCAAAACGTTTCCTTACAGCTTCCAATTGCCCATTCACGTTTCCATGCATTTCTCTCATCCATTTTCATTCATTTTATGTAAATATCTGCAAGCTTTCATTTTGATGAATTTAAATCCACAATTTAACAAAACTGACAACGGTGAAGAATAAAACGGCAAAGTGCCTTATATTGAACTCTAAAAGGACTAAATTTACGCCTATCCTAAATTTTTTTGGTCAGCAAGTTTTAAATCTTTAACCCAACCTGAACATTTTCACGGTACATATGTAAATATTCTCAGGATGGATGTAAAATTTGCAGCTTAACCGACCGGGATATTTTTATAGCTATAAATAATCATTCTTTCGTGTTTGCAAGATCGATGTAATGTAGTTTTGTAATTATGTTATAAACACGTTTACATAGTTGGTACTATTTATTTTTAAATTTATATGTTGCATTAAAGGCATAAGTTAATAATTAATTGTTTCTTCCTTTTATCATCTGCACCTTGAAAAGAGTAAAGCTTGGTTGACTGAAGTTTAATCACGTTTTAAAAAAAACATTGTACGTTTTTTTGGTGCCTTTTGGGTTTTGGCACAGACAGCACGATTGTGGGTTTGAACCCATGGTAGCAGTGCTCGAGTAAGCATCACATTGTGTTATTCTTACGGCCAAAGCAACAAGCGTGCATTTTTGCATTGACCTTGAATATATAAACTTTATGTTAGCGTAGTTACTTCCTCTTACATTGCAAGATAACCTGAAATTGGACTGTGGAAAGCAAATTCTTTTGCAACCCTGCCCATCTAACCCATGTCTTTGTAATTTAAGGTTTTCATTGGCATGTTAACTTGTTTTCCTTTTTCTTTGTGCATTAGTTAATGGTCGAATGGGTTCGGCTTTTATTTACGGCTGTCTTCGCAATTGGCGCACCGATGGCCCAAAAATAAATGGTCCAAATGATGAGAGAGCGCCACCTTCAGTCTTGGGATTGAAAATGGCCAATTTTTCTGAGGACCTTCTAACCTTTATTTGCTAACGGTTTTTGTACGGTAACTATTAACCTGGAATAAATATTAGATTTGATTTAACTGAAGGGGTGTCTTAAATTCTAGCTTGGTCAAATAAATAAACGTAGGTCACTTTCTGGTAAATATTAGAATGCCTATATAGTTGAAGCTAAGATTTAGGTTTAAAGAAAGGCACATACGAAAATCCTTTGCATTTTGCTAGCAATTTTGTGATTGATTGCTTTTTTACTAAAGCAGGAAAGTGCAACATTTTTCTGCTTTAGACATGTGAAGACATGAAGCTAGATGTGTACCGTTTGTTGCTAATGGGCACTTTTAGGTGTAAATAGCACTTCAAAAACCAAATTTGTACAAGTACAACCCACTCATGTCAAAACAAATATTTTAAGATAGATGCATCCCACCTGCTCAAACAAATGCCAGTAATTGCCTTCAGAAAATTTTCGCTAAAATTAAAGTAAATTTTGCTCGATTGTACAATATTTGTATTTCTACCCAGTTTTTGTAAAAATGCAACCATTATGCATCTGAACTTTATTCCTAAAGTTGTATAGATGCACAATAAATTTGTATGTCTAGTGAAGCGCTTTTTCTGCTTCAAAAAATGGATGCATAGGTAGGGATCAGTTCCTGAATTGCCCAGGTCATGTCCTGAGTTATGTTTCAAATATATTTCTCCATATGACAGACAAGCACAACAGACAGAAAATTGTCATTTGTAGATAACATATTGAATTTCAGCATGTTTTTGAGGTAATAATTTTCTCTCTTTATTTACCTTCAGCTCATCAGCTGCATCGTGTATTAAAGCCAAGTAAATATGGTTGTTTCAAAGTATTTGCAATCGATTACTTGGTCTTTAAGTATTAATGGAGCAAAACAACTAAATAAATAAACTAGATCGTATGTGTTTACTTCACCTTGTTTGGCTCTTAAAAACATTAAACAAAGAAACAAATATAAGGCAGACCAACGTCACATTTTCATTTTTACGCTGGAGTGAAGAAGAGAAGAAAGAATAAGGACAAAGGTATCGTTTTCGTTATTTTCCAGTTTGAGCTTGTTTTACGTCGACATTTTTTTTCTTTCTCATAGTGAGCATTTTTTGTCGTTTTTGCTACTATAAGAGATTTTCTTCGTGATAAGTTCTGAAATTGTGACGCGCCATTGCGGCAAGAAATGATTAACTTTTGTGTATGCAGTTTTTGAAAAATATGAATGCACATTCAAAAATTGGTGTATGCAAACTAAATTTTGTACTTCCAAGTTGTAAATTTTTCTAAAGCATATAAACAAATATGTGTGTTATGGGTAAAATTAATTTTTGTGCATGTATTTGTTCGGGAGACGAAACCTTCTGTGCTTTGTTTCGAAACAATACAGTCTTGAACCAATCAGTGTTGCAGGGACATAGCACATGCGCATTAATAACAGTATTCGCACAGCGGTTCTGTCTGGGACCACACAACTTCCCGCCAGGGCTTCAAGCGATTCTGCGCATGTGCAATGACCCTGAAACGGGGGCTAGTGCATGTCTAGAAGACGGGCATGATTCATCTCCCGAACAAGTTCGCACTGCAAATATGATAATGTTTGTCAAACCCGATATTCTCACGCCAATGAAGAAAACTTTTTCAAAATTGACAAAGTTTGTCAGACTTCTGTTCGCATTAGGCAGTTTTCTGAGATGTTGTATTGTTATCTAACACGTTATCAGGTTGCCATTAAGAAATTGTACCTTTTTAAATCGTGATATGATTTCAAATAGCACCCTGGGCTTATTTATTGGTGTTAACCTAATTCTGGCATGTCCGTCGAGTCACCCGCTGGTTATCATAGATTTTCACGATATTGTGATGCTCCAGAGCTCTACGACAGAACCTTTGACCAATTAGTTGAAACGTTACAATTTGTCAGATTTCAGATTTTGCTGTTCGCACTCTACCAATTAAACTACTTCCTGACAAACCCTTGCCTATGGCCCTATTATGTGAACAAGAAGTCTGACAAACTTTGTCAATCTTGAAAAAGTTTTCTTAATTGGCGTGAGGATATCGGGTTTGACAAACTTTATCATAATGCTGCAATTTTGCGTGCGAACCTCGGTTGTCAAACTGTTTTGCGTGTCTGTTACAAATTTATGTGTGTGTTGCAAAACATGATGAGAGTGGTTTCCCAAAGTTGTAATCAAATATCTAAAAATAAAAAACAGTATTCATAAGTTTTGTTGAAACGTGTTTCACACTTTTACGCTCTTTTCGTATTTCTTTCTCTTTAAACTTTTCAATCTTTTTTCAAAAGAAAAAGCATCATTAAGTTGTTTAGCATAAAGCTTGGTTCCCATAAAATCGTAAGAGCATCGGCGACAGTCTACGTCAGTCTCCCGATTTCATGGGAACACTTCCTTCCGATCGTTACGACTGCGCCGACTGTGAATCGTAAGGGTCGGGAGAGTTTATATGAGTTCAACTGGGAACACGGGTCGCCGACGTCACCGATCCACTATTGTTAAGAAACAATCACTTGGATGTAATTTATTAATCAATCAAAGGAAAATGATTTGACACATTTTTGCTTGCTGTGGTTTTGTTGTCATGGGAACACTTTATCTTTGATCGTTATGGAAGATGGAAGAAGGGATCGGCGACACGTCTGTTGTGCTTTTTAAGGCTGGTCGGTGTATGGTAGCAAAATCCACAATGAGATTAACACGATATATATATCTATACTATTTACAAGTTGTTATTATTATAATTAATTCCATTCTTGACAACGAACGATCTTGACAACTTTAAACAACTTGGAAACTTCACTTCAAACTACTCGATCACCAACTCCTCTCCAACTTGAGCACGCCTATCCCAACTCCAACTGAGCTAAACAATGAATCCATTAATCAATTACTTTAACACAACAAGATGCAGCTAAGCGTGCTTTAAAACCAATATCGACTACGGACAGCATAATGATATTAAGAACAAAAGAGCAACGATATTTATTCTAAACTTATATTACAACACGTTCCCAACTCTTACGATTTTATGGGAACCAGGCTTAAACACGCCTTCTTCCCCCTTCCTCGGGCATGTTTCATTTTGCACGAAATGGAAATGGAAAGGAAGCCAAGTGGAAATTGACGGGCGGAAACTTTTCGAACCGTTTACCGTTTTCCGTCTATACCGTGAAGTGGAAATCCACCTTTATTTTCTCTGTCCGTGTTTCTACGAACGTATGAAAATATGAATAACATATTTAGTCTTGATATTCATCAGTTTGATTCTGAGTGGATTAGGATTGGTGACGACGTTTACCTTTTGGAGGAAGGAAATGTAAAAACGTAAGGATTATTTTGCGGCTGCGAAAACTGACAGGACAAAGGTAAAAACCCAGCGGGATAGCAAAATGCCAAAGGCATATCGAATTATGTGATTGCAACACGCAGCGAAGCCTACACACACAACAATTTGACAACCAAGGTCCGCACGCAGAAATGTAAGCATACATGCACAGAAATTAATTTTACCTGATACACACACATATTTGTTAACGTGCTTTAGCAAACTTTAAAACTTGGAAGCACAAAAATTTATGTTTACATCCACCAAATTTTTAATGTGCATTCACATTTTTTTTAAAACTGCATGCACAAAAATTTATCATTTTTTGCCGCAATGGCGCGCCATGTGAAATACCTCATATTTTATTTCGTCAGTTCAAAAAGTAGGAAGGGTAACAGTTGTTTTGTTGTAGTGTTGCTCGAAAGTCGTGATAACGGAACTCGTTGTGTGGACATGTTTGATCAAGACCTTCCAAAACAGTAATTTCATAACATAACCAATTCTTTGCTAAGACAAGAAATTATATTTTGCAGTAACTATGATGTGTTATAGCACCATGTAGCCTATTCTATAGTTAACAGTAAAAATGCCATATGTTTCTTTCAGTCCTAGGTTTTTAGTCGAAAGAAAAAATGAAACTAATCCTTGTCGCAGTTTTTTTCTGGATTGGGAACCAAGGTAAGATTGCCGTAATTTATGTAAAATTTGATCTTAATAACATTCTTTCCGCTAGAGTAACAGTGAATGATAATGGTATTAGAATAAAAAGAGGAAATGATTTAGAGTTTTTACTACATTTAGTTATTTGACAGCCTCCATTTTTGTCTAACACATATAATCTATTTCTCAACAGATTTGAATCCTCTGGCACAAACTGATGTCCCTGTTCAAGGTAGGTTTCAACCCTTTTCTTTGTACTGGGGAACTGACATCACTGCCAGTGATGTACCAGCTAGTTCCCGACGAAAGGGCTTGGCCCTCCGACAGAAGGGGCATAAATATATCCCTATTAACAAGCTTATAACAATGATCTCGACCTTCTGGATAGAGGGCAATCGTGCTCTGCCGAGGGGTGGCTTTAGGCCTAGAGTCACTACACCTTTTCCTGATAATACTCCGAAGCAGAAATAGAGCAAACGGTATATAGTTTTTTGTTACGTAGCACTGAATTCAAATACAGTAAAGAACGCAAACACATTGCAATTTTTTTCTTTATGTTTTATTGTAGAATGCTCAAGTGACATTTCAAAGAGATTGGACTGTGGATGGTGGGGCATCAGTCAACAGGATTGTGTGAGTCGTGACTGTTGCTGGGAACCAACCGCGTCTGGACCATCGTGCTTCAGGAAAACCAGCTCAAGCAAGTCTCAATTTAGATATATCTTTATCTATCGCTTCGGTTTTATTGACTTATATATTATTTTGAATGAAATAGACCTTTGAATACTTACCCGATGGCTAAGTCTATGCACCCTATTGGGTTCAAATTGAAGGGTAAAAATTACTTGGCTGTGGAGTAGTAGGAGATGCTCCTGAAAAATATTCAAATTGAAAACATTAGGCCATGCGCGATAAGCGACTTCGACGTTTTTCTGAAACATTCCCCCTTCTTTTTCGCCACGAATTTTTCGCCACGAATTTTTCGCCTGCGGATTCGCTGCGAATTCGAAGTTTAATTTCCACTTGCAGAATTTCTTTTGCGAATTCGCCGCAAATGCAAAAGAAAATGGCGTCTGTTCGAAGATTGTTGTTATTAAAAAAAGCGAGCAAAAAAGCAAAGAAAGGAGTACCTGGTTCGAAATTTTTTTTAAAACGTCTGCAGAAGGGGGAGTTTCATCTTTTGGTAAGGAACTTACGCTTACACGACCAGGAATAAATACTTTCGAATTTCGCCAACTACATATAAGGAGCTTTTGTCGTTTATTGCACCAAAGCCGCCTGTTGCTAGAAACGTCCCATTCCATTGTTTATGTTATAGGTGCGGGATTTTCCCAGCATTGTTTAAGCCTAGTCATAGGTTACTCATTCTTCACCCATGTTGTTGTTTGCGTAGTTTTCTGTCGTTTTGCATACTTTTGATTTAGATATGTTTACATTGCATAGCATCTTCACGTCGACGACAAAGATTTGTTGTGAAAAGAGTGTTTCTCTCTTGTTCACTAGTTGGTTTTGTGTCAGCTGTCATCAATTGCTGTTCTGATTGGTTTATTTTACAAGGCGAAAAATTTCGCAGCGAAAAAGTAGGAATGGTTTCTACTTTTTCGCAGCGAATTATTCGCTGCAAATTCGCTGCAAATTTTCTAATCTCTACTTCTGCGCATATTTTTGGCGCATTCGCGGCGAAAAATTCGCTTCGCACGAAAAAATTCGTCTCGTGTAAATCAAGCTTTAATTTACATGATACTCAGATTTTTGAAATCATTTTTGCTGTGTCCATTAGGTGCTAAGTTATGCTGTTATTCTTGACGCAACTCTCGTTTGGCCAGAATAAATAAAAACTACCTGGGCTATTACTTTGTTTATGTCTAAAAAGGGATAAGGCTACATCATCTAGTTCGTAGTTAAAACGAATTTCTTTTTTCATTGAAGCGATGTATGTCCCCGTGACGATTGACCTTGGAAGCCAAGGGATGACATTCTCAAAATTTATATTTGCAAATCTTTAAAAGTGGGGGAAATATCCTAAAAAACACAATTATATAAGTTCACTATGTTTCACAAGTTTACTTTTTCCTGGGTTTCACAACCAAATTTCACAACTAGAATGCCAAAGTGCCAAAATACATTGATTTGACAGGAAAAAGGAAAAGGAACGTGCTGTTTTGGCCATATCTCAGCCAATTTGTCATACTTTCCACTGATTTTGCACATTTTGAGACATTTCGTAGTTTTAAATTTACAACTGTAAATATATTTTGATGACTCTATCACTTAGCAACTCTTATAAACCACTATAGTCATGTGTCTCTTCCTGCTTATCATTGATGTCTGTTCGTGACATAGGATGTCATGTTGCTGGACCTACCCGATTCGAATGCGGTTGGTGGGGTATTAGCCGCAAAACATGCGAAGATCGCGGCTGTTGCTATGGAGATGCCTGGGGTGCACCAAGTTGCTATTACCATGCAACATCTAGTATGTATAACAATTTAATGTAGCTAAGAAAGCTGCTTTATTTGAGAAATTGTCTTTAAGCTAAGTTGCCATTCAAGGACGTTTGAGAATTCATTATACGAATCTGTAAATCTTTCCTGACAATTTGGTCAATGTACCATAATTATGCTACGTCTACCTTGATATATTCTTTAAATCGTTCTCTGTACCATCTTTTCTTATGCATATGGTACATTTATCAATGCCAAGCTTATACCCCCCTTCACCTTTAGACTGCAACGTGCGGATGGGTGACCGCAAGGATTGTGGGTATTCTGGAATAACTGCTGAGAAATGCGAAGAGAATATGAGTTGCTGCTATGGAGCAGCTAGTCGTGGACCCTGGTGCTACTATGGTAAAACTTGAATTTATCCTTACTTAGATTATTGTAGGTGCAATCTTTGCTTTTCTTTAATCTTTGCAATCCTTCTCATTAGTATTTTGATCCTCACACCGAAGTAGCAGTCTTTTTCTATAAGAGGGTTCACCCTAAACAGGTTTAATCAGTACTGTCTTTCACGTTTTCATCATTTCAATTGCATTATCTTACTTATAATTAGAACATTAAGTTTGTACTTATAATCATTTGTACTTATAATCACCAACCTGTCCCCATCGAGACGCAGGAGAGGGGGTGCAGGGGTCAACCATCCCTCCTGCCCTTTGATAGGAGAAGCGAGGAGAGGCCAAAGTGTCATTTACATAAAACTGCCTTTGACATCAGTATTTTGTAATTATCAAAGAAATTTGCATAAGTTTTTTACTGTAGTGCCTAATCATGACGAAATTCCTCAAAACTTTTTAAAAAAGTTCTTATGGTAGAAGCTAGGAGATTTTCAAGATGCCTACAGAAAATTAAAATAAAATGACAGTTACAAAGGAACATTTAGATGGAACACTACTAGAAGATGGAACATTTATCGAATTCAAGAACCGAAATGCTGCAAGTCACTCAGTTGTCCCAAGCCACTGCCAATACAACCAAGATTATAATTCTTCCTCTTTTTATCGCTGTCGTTTTTGCTTGCAGGGAAATCTTAACGAGTTAACTCCAAAAGTCGATGCTCTGCCAAGCTCCAATGTAACTGGATATCTTGTCGAATGAAAATTATACATAAATCGTACTTTAGTGTTATTTTTGCCATTTGCTCTGCTGCCATTTAAATGCTGCTCTATCGTTTTTTATGATTAGGACGCTCATAGCACATGAGATGCTAGATTAATTTTTAGAGAATATGAAAAAACGAAGCTTGAATTACATATAAAGTCAAAAAATGGATTTGCAAATACAGCCGTATAAAAATGGTATCAGAAGAAAAGTTTTGCCTTCTTTTTGACCATATCTTTGTCAATATGTAACCCAATTCCAACCGCTATATATAAGTTTCCTATCAAATTTTCATGAATCGCAATGAAAAAGAGGGAGATTCTAACCGTCCCTCCAGTTCTAAACAATCTTACTCGAAAGCTTGCACATGAAAAAGATTCTTTTTCAAAAATTTTTCAGTGTAAGGACATGACCTTTTAACCTTTTGAATAAACAATAAAAGATGCTTATGGCCTATTGTGTTCATAATAAAAAAACAGAAGTTGTAGACATACGTAGTCAAGTTTCGTTGTTAAGATAACACACGTTCGTTCAAGTTTTATGTTTTTCAAGTGAAGTAAAGATGAGCTTTACACATGTCGAGTCTTTATGACTTGTATCGAGCCTGCGCATAGGGTAAAAATACCCATATATACCGAGGGTTACATCAGCAAATGGCGCTTTGTCTCTTATGGGAATTGTCAAGCTTGGTTCTTTTTCTTTTCTTTGAAACGGATGATACCCTCCATTCCCAAAGGGGAAGTTTTTGTAGCATGCATTCTTTCAAGGGTCGCTTGTCAGAATTTGAATTTTTCTTTCACGAATCGGTGGTGTTCGCTGGTGGCTACAATGTTTGTAAGTGCTGTTCCTTTCTATTTGAAATTAGAATATTTATTTGTGTCTGTCAAATAGATAATCATTTGTTCTTTATGTACGAAAACTGGTATATATAGCGTCCAGAACTTGTAGCGTTTACAAACATGGTTATCATTTGGAGTTAATTAAACTGGGCCTAGCAATGCAGTCGCGTGCTTGCATGAAGTGTACTTTTAAAGGCAAGGTCGAGTGCGTTTTAAGGATATTCGCAGCCAGGGTACATAAGCAAGTTTAAGAGCTGAAGGTTGCTATAAACTCAAACTATAAACTCAAATGAGGGCAAATACAAGGATGCCCAAGGCGATGCGGGGCTTCTGATAGTTCGATTTTGGGAATATTTGTTCTATTATCTTCAAGGATTGTTTCTGGAAGCTAGATGTAATTTATAAAGAAACTGAGTTACGTTAGTTAACATCTAGAAGATGGTGACGCAAGTTTTTCCTGTCAGGTTTCAGCAAATCTCGTTAACTGCATTCAAAATTTATAGAACTTGAAGGATTACACTCAATTTTTTATAGGAAAAGTGGCTGTAAGAAACGAGTACTGGACAGCCAGAAAAAATTAAGAAACTTCAGTGCTCGAAGCAAAAAACTAAGAAACTATTAAATCGTGATAAAACTGAGAATAACAAAACCTTGTAAAATCCAAGAACATGACTGCCCGGTTGGCCTAGAATTTGGGACATAAGGGACACAAATATACTTTCCACATCTAGATAGAGCATCAAAACAGAAGCGAATCTCTTGGCGTGATAAAAAAGGTCACGAACATTCAAAACATTATCATTCATGACATAAGGGCCTCTTTTAAGAAATTTTTAATACTGCACATTTATAATTTTTTTTTTATAGAAAATTTTGTTGTTGCAATTTTTGGAAATTTCTGGGCATTTCGTTTTGTTTTTAGTTTTGATAAGAGAGTCTTTCCGATGGTCATACGATATTTACGATACATGACCTTTATATCGAACTGAGGGGGAAAATTCAAATTTTGTGAACAAAGCAGGAATCTGGGATAGCCGCTAATAGACATTTTAACAAATCCCAAAATTGAATACTGCACATTTTCGAAATCAATACTTCACGATTTTAAATTAATACTGCACAAAGTGTGTAATACTGCACATTAAGATAGGCCCTGCATGACATAATTAGGAAACTCTTAAGAAACAATGAGTATTGAAAATTCCAGAGCATTAAGAAACTGGAGTACTCGACATCTACCTTTGTACTTATAAAAAAAACGAGTTAGACTGCCATTCAAATCCTTACCCCCTATTTGTCGAAACTGAAAGCCCGTGTTGTAACTGACGATCAAGAAAAATGATATTAGAGAGACATTTGAGAATGGAACAGAGGCTATATGATTGGCTTGATCGATTTCTTGTTTTGACAGCAAGGATTTTTTATGCTGGTGGCGGGATTGGGGGCACTGGCGTAACGGACTTATTTGGAGCCATAGGGAAACCCCATTTTATTGTGCTTTTCTAGATATGCGGTAAAAATTATAAAATTCCAAGAATAGATTTTTATGACGTCATTCGTCTGCCACACTGCAATTGGCCACCGAAGAAAGTTGCTGAAATTATCACTAAAGCAAAGTTACTTAGACTCAAGAAAAAAACATCTATTTTGATTTAAAAAATTTAGGGTAAGCAAAGAACTTGGGTTGCATAGGAGAAATTACACAATGAACTCTTGTCCGTTTGTTCGATTGCACAGAAAACTATGAGGTGTGACATATACATGAAATAAAGCAGAGAAGGAATAAGACAGCAAGATTCCACTCATAATTTGTTGATTATGCTTTTATTAAATCGTGGTAATTACAGTAGCTTGACTTATTAACCAATCATTTACAAAATCACCCCAATGTTTGTTAACCATTAGAATTATCATTGAACCTTAGTGTTTTAATTAAAAATATGCAAACTGTTAATTATAATGTTAACGTCATTTGGGCATTGCTGCAATCTACAAGAAAAATAATGCTGTATTAATGGTTTACTAAGGCTAGGCTACCAAAAGAACACACGAGCGAAAAAGGTTTGTAAATAACATATCTAGTTAGGGCTGAATAATTTAAAATTATTGCCAGCCTAAAAGATTTAGCGTAACAAAAGCAGATAGATATTAAGTCGTTTGGCGTTCCAAGTAATTTTAGCAATCATTGTATTTCTATGTGTGAATGAAGAAAAGGCCACTGTAGCAGGCTGCTCGACGGGCTCCAAGGAGTTCTTGCGGCGAAAAGTCGATAAAAATGTAGCAAATATGAAACACCGCAATATGCCGAGAATAAACAACAATAAATACACGTAAGTCAGTAAAGGCTATAATTGTATTTCTAGCCTGTTTCCTTCCATAAATGTCTCCAGAAGATATAAGTGAATAAACCATTCCCGGGTAACGTCCGCCATTAAGTCTGGGTAGCAAACTGACCTTTGGACTCTATGGCCGTCAACCGTAGCAATGGTGATTTTCGATACATCAAAGCCGTAATTTCACAATCACGCTATTTTAACGTCATTTAATTCTCTTATCGATACTTAATTACACTGTCTTTTATCTTTCACATAATTATTCTTTGAATTTCGCCTATTATTTTCCATAAAGTCAGCAGTTAAATGGCAAGCAATTCAGAAACTTATCAGGATTTTTCGGATATGGTAGTTACAGGTTTTGAAGGATTATTTAACAGTAAGAAGAGCTGTATCTGTAAGCAACTAAAATACGGTGGAACTTGTAGCCAGAGCGTCTTTAGCTGCTGCTTTGGGTTTGCTTATCGTGATAGCTAGCCCCATAAAATAACTCTGTTTCAGGGCCGTAAACCCCCCAAAAAATCGGGAGCAAAACGATTATTTTTGAGAAATTATCATAATTTTCCTTGAAAGAAAGAAATCCCTTGTAGCTGGGCTAGAACCAAACTACATTTTTCTGTGTTATTGCAACAAACCTCAGCCACTAAGTCATGGTGTCAGGTGCAAGTTGACTTTAGCTGATGGCCGTTATTTTTGAAAGCAGAATGGTTTTATCTTTTTTGCAAGATAAAAAGTTTTTGCTGTTTTTTACCGTTTTTACCATTTTATTTTTATTATTTAATGGCTTCAGCCCCTCCACTTTTTTGCAATAATAGGTTAGAAAACTTTTTGGAAAGTTTTCTCTTAACTATGCTTTACCACAACATTGGATTGTATACTCCTAAATAGTAGCAGTTCTTCTTAACTTGGAACCTTTTTTGTCCATTTTCTAGGTGAATTCTTGATGTTTAATTTATCCCAAGCTAATTTTGTCCATTTTTTAGCTATTGAATTCTTCTCTGAACCAGACTGTTTATAAAACTTCAGAAGCAATAAGCAAGTATTTTCTAAAAGGGGCGTTTTCCGGCTTTCTAGAGGGTGTGGCTTAAAAATCTTTTCGGTAACGCCCTTTTCAGCCCTCCCACATTTAAACTGGTGCCCGGTACCTGAAGCTGCCCCACCTATCGTTGTTTGAAATGCCCTTTTTCTTGGTGAAGATCAGATTTCCCAACAACACTCTGGTCTTGTTGATTATCCTGTGCAGTTAGCCAAAGTGTAGGATTTGGGTTTCTAGCCATAGGATTTCCATCAAAAGACATGTCCACCCCCGCCTTCCCAGAAGTCAATTTTCTAATTTCTCAAAATCCGTTGAAAAACATTGGGGGTGGAAGTTTTGCTGAACAGATCGACTTCAATTTTTGCGCTGTCAAAAAAGCCACCGTTACGAAAAATGCTGCTTGAAAATGTTGCTTTTCCAAATATTTCAAAATAGGTGAAAAATACTAAAAAAGGACTTTCCAAGAGTCTGAAGGGCGTGGCCGAGAAAATTTGTTTTTGTCCATCCCAGTTTTTTCGAGCTGGCGACGCCACTGACAGCATCGATCGTGTCTTCCCATGCTACTGTATATTAGAGCTACACTAGGAATATATAACAGCTTGTATCTGTATGATAAAACTTAAAAGGATGCAATATATTATAACTAACGGACAAAGTTTTTCTCTATAAAACAACAGCAGCGAGCTCTTCGAACATTTCACAACAACTAATCATTAATAAATAGCAATGAATAATTATGTACAAGATAATAGACAGTGTAATTAAGTATCGATAAGTGAATGGCATGACGTTAGAATAGCATGATTGTGAAATTACGGCTTTGATGTATTGAAAATCACCACGCTACGGTTGACGGCCATAGAGTCCAAAGGTCAGTTTGCTACCCAAACTTAATGGCGGACGTTACCCGGGAATGGTTTTAGCAAAGCAAAAGTGTAAAGAAAAAATTAAAATTATGATTGACTGACCAGATACATCGGTAGCGAACGTTCAGGTATTTGTAGACTCCGACGCATGGATCACCGTAGACGCCGTTCCTTGCACTTAGAACGCACCACGTTCTACCATCACACATTGCCTTTGTTTTCACAAGGCTACTTGTTGCGCTGCAGTTAGTGATTAAGTTGGGAGCGTACGTTGAGCAGTGTCGACGGCTCAGACGCCCATACATGGCATAATCTATTTTCAATCGCCGTCCAAATGGGCAAGATATCACTTTGTTCATGTGCTCGCATAGCCTCACATTGAAATGTGGTGCAGAGGTTCTACAAAATAAGGGGTAATTTTGTATGAACGGCAACAAGTTTGTCGATGTATTGCAGTTTGTTCCAAACGAGTCCAAACGTTTAAAAGTCTCAGAAACTAAGGGGATTAAAAACTAGTAGAAAATATTGACTGCAAGCAATGAAAATTGAAGAAAAGCCTACACACCTTTCTTTTATAGACTGCAGTTTGTGAAAGAAAGAATTTTATACTTGCATCATGATTGAAAAAAAATTGCGATAAAATTAGCACCAAAAATAGCGAGGTGTCATTGATACAAAACGAGTGAAGTTGAACGAGTTTCTCTCAATTCTAAGATATGACTCACTTTCAAAGAATTAATTGATATTATTGATAATCATAAGGTCGTTGATTCCATTAATAGCTTTTTGGCTTCTAATATATAACTATGATTTTGCAGAATCATCTGTGAAGCAAAAGCATGGTGATAGAATGTTTTTTTGCATATCATAGTATCATACCCAAAGCATCTGTATACAACTTCAAGGTACTTGAATGTACCAAAACATGGGTCACCAAAAAGCCAGTTCTTAGCTGGAACTGAGCATGCTCTCTTCCTGTTGCACCGGCTTTTCACTATCCTATTCGATCTTCTCGCTCTACAGTTTCTGTGGTAAAAACTGGTCCACCAGCCACGCTTGCAGTATGCTCTTGTTGTTCGTCCGTACAATGCACGCATTATTCGAATGTTGCTGCCAACAGGACATGCGATGTTCAGTGTGCCATGCTCACAAACGCGGTGATAAAAGGGTGGTGAAACTGGCACTAATGAATGCAAAAGATGAAATTAGTTTTGTATTTCAGTCCAAATTTCACATTTTAGTACATTCCAAGCATTAATGCCTGTGCTAGTTTTTGCAGGTAATTATCAATGGAGAGCATAAGCTAAATTTCCGATGTCATAAACTTCACTAGAAATGAATCCACTCTGAAGGCCTGTTTTAGCAAAATCATGATTCCCATAACTTATCTTAAATCTGTGTTTCCTAAGAGTTCTCTTCATCCGACTTTTGAAATTTAGTTGAATGACCTACCGTTAATTCCCTTTTAAGCCCCCCTTTCAATCAAGCCCCCTCTCTTATTAGCCCCCATTTTCAGAAGGAAAAATTTAATTAGTCCCCCTCTCAAACTAGCCCTCTTCTCAATTCACACCCCCCCCCCACCCAAAAAAAATCCACTGATGCCGAAATAAGTAAACTTGATAAAAAACAGATTTTCATTTTATCCATTGGTCGTTCAATACTTCGCATCAAGTTAAAATTCACACCATCTCTCTTCCAGTCATGACAGATCCGAAGACAAAGATTTGATCTGATGTGCATTAAGCACGGGTCATGTTAGAGCCTTTTACCAAAATCCCCCGCCGTTGGTATTAGGAGGGATGAAGTCGACCTTTTCGAATGCTCGATTCAGAAGGCGACATTGATGACGATGACGATGACAATTTTATAGATACCTATAGAAAGCTGATTTGATGTTTTTTATTTCGCAAATAAAAAAAATTAGTTTACCATCATAAATGGCTTTTATTACAAAAACTTTTTTAAGCTCCTCTCAGTTTGGTCCCCCTGTCTAATAAGCCCACTTTAAAGTGCTGAAAAACAATACATCCCGGGGGGTTTAAAAGAGAATTTACAGTATTTCCAACGCAAGCCAGCATACTATGAAAACTGTGCTAATCACCAGTACCAGCACAGTCACAGTGCTTATCAAAGATAGCTAGAAATGCGTATTTTGCAAAGCCTTCACTTCGAAGCATCCTTTACATCTAAGACCTCTAATCAATCTCTTTCTACACCCAACTTCATCTTGTGATGCAGCGCTTTGACGCAGGAACAATTCAAGCCAACACTTACTTGGGCATCTAGGCCTTCTGCAATATTTCATTTCAAAAGTCGTTCCCAGTCTTTTGCAGCTCTTTCCTCCATGCGCAGGTTTTGGGTTGTTACATTCGCGAGTACGCACTTGGAACCCGAGACCGCATGTAACGCTACACTGCTTATAACGCGTCCAAGGACCATACCCGCCATCCACTGTAATCAGAAAAGGAATTTTAATTTATTGAAAAGAAGCCACATGATTGTATCTTGCCTCGCTTTGGTCTGTTAAACTAAGTCATATGTTATGAAAGCAAAAGAAATAAGTAATTACATAGTGGGTTTTAGCCTTTCAAACCCAGTATTCCAGTTCCATTGCAGTATCATCAATCTTATCTGTTTTTCTCAAAATAGTTCTTTCACATATGACCTTTATAAAATATTTCAAAGAAAACCTTTTTTCATTCAGATGAACATGATACTTTAGATTTATTACAGCTTTGGAACATTTGCAAATTTACGTACGAAACACGATATTCTAACTAAAGTACTTTTTGTCTGACACTCGTCAGGTTATGTAGGCAGTAGGCAGAAAATTTTATCCAGATTTGTTTTGAAGGTAATGTGAGAGGACAAACAGAGTGTTTGATTGGTTCGTGTTTTTGGCCAATCATAGCCCCGCTGGAATCTCTCCTAGTTAGAGAGTCCGAGCGAACTCTTTCTGCTACACAAGTCGTGATTCTTTGTTTTCATGTAGACAGATTCCGAAACACCTAAATGAAAAGACGCCCCTGATGGCCCGACGATCTTGAAATTATTGTCACACAGTATATTTTGGCGCACTATTTATGATTAGCAAATGTAGCCAAATCTAAGTTGAACAAAACTTGAACTAAAAAGTTACTTTTGTTTTCGTCAGTTCATAGATTACATAACCTAGACCAAATTACAGTAGTTTAATGGGAAAAGATCTTGTGGTCGTACGGCCATATCTCAGAGAAGCAAACTTAGTTGATTTTGCACATTCTGTCATAATATTTTTTAGGTTATGCGGTTCAAATTTAATGATTCTACAATTCTTTTGGTATTATTATCACATTTAAACTCTGTTGTCCTGCATTTATTCATTTCCCAAACCATGCAAAGATGTCAAGACAAGAGATTTGCCAAATCTTGAAAACTTGCCTTCGTTTAAAACATAAGTTTGATAGAATGATTTGCCTTGAATCTTTTTAATTATACTGGGACAAGAGAATTTTTGATGATTTCAATATCTTGAAGTAAATAAGTTATGGAAAATTAAAATGAATTGTAGTTCTATATAAATAAAGGAAAATCTTGCCTGGGCAGGGACGAGACTGACATGGTCTGGGCTGCTTTCTAACTCCTCTACATGGGAATCCCCCATGGCTTGGAGATGGGTTATTACATGACCGTGTTCTGTACTGCTGTCCTGCTCCGCATTGTGCGTTGCATTTACCCCAAGAAGACCATTCGGAAAGTCCACCATTTACTGAAAGAAAAATTCACAAACATGATAGAATCAAACTTGCAGTAACTAAAGAAACATAATATATTTATCATTCTAAGAAGCTATTGAAATAAAATGTAATCAAAGTTCTAAAAGCCTTCCTTGATAAAAAGCAATATGAAATTCACTATCTACTTTCAAGTCAAAAATATATTATGCAACAGATTAGCCACAGGAAAGAAAGGATACGGGATCTCTACTGCGGAGCAAATCACGGATTATGGGCTGGGGGATTTGGTCCAAAAGTTTTTAAAATTGCAGAAATTTAGAGAAAAATGTTTAATTGTATGATTTTAAATAATTTTTTGAAATTATCAGAGGCTAAGCCTTTTACCCTTCTAAGCCTCCTTAGCCTCCTTAGCCTCCTTAGCCTCCTTAGCCACCTTAGCCTCCTTAGCCACCTTAGCCCCATATCACCCTTAGAACTCTTAGCCCATTACATCTCAACTTCTGCAGTCCCTATTTTTAAATTGACTTTGAAATAATAACGAAGTGTAACTATTCTCCTAGCCCCTTTAGAATTATCCAATCGCAAGCCATTTTCCTGCGCCCCATAGGCAGAAGCAGCGCTGAAAAATTTCTTTAGGGCGTGTCCAGTGTCAAGTTGCTGAGTAGGAGTTTTTCACTCTATATCAAATAAAAGCATACTCAAACCGAGGTCAAATATTGAAGGGACCCTTTCCCCATCTATTAATTTTTGAAAATCTGCTTTTGTCTCAATGGACATTATTTAAAATTCAATATTGTTGTCGTTGTGATTCTTGAAAAAAATTACAGTGTAGATAAATGAATTTACAAATGTCAGTGTAAATAGCATTTTTTGATCCATGTTTTAAAACCCACTCCGTTCATTCCGAACTTTTAAGCTTTCTTTGCGAAACTTTTGAAGCGCCCTTTACATCATCACAAAACTTTCTTCATTCGAACATTCAAACAGAAAAGGAACCATACGTTTTTGGATAGCATAAGTCGTGCAGTTACAAGAACGTGCTGCGGTGAATCAAACTGAAATTATCACAGTCAAACATTCTACTAATTTTCATTGATTTTTCTAATTTATGCTGACAACCAAATTTTTCCGAGTAAGCATAAAAATGCCGTATCTGCCGAGTAAAGGGCCGCTTCACGACTCTTGTAGGGTGTTTCATTCTCCCAAACCCCCGTGGTGACACCCCTGTCCATAGGAACCTGAGTAATGCTGCTTTGGCTTCATTTCTCTTTTAAAAGTGAAAAAACGATACCTGGGCAGCTGTGGGTATTGCAAGCGCTGGACCTATAATAATAATAATAATAATAAATAATTTGTTTAAAGTTGGCGTACTAAATGAACGGCTGATAGCTATAAAGAAGCTAATTAAGGCCAACTATCTATAAAGAGTTAGTATGAAATAAAAATATATGATACAATATTAAAAAGGTTTAAGGTATAATGTTCTAAATAAAACCTAACCCAGCAATAAATTTTTTACACAATCTACAGTCGCATTCTATAGGGTGTGCTCTTAATTCTTTTTTAAATGTTGCCAATGATTGGGACTCTCTTATACTGTGAGGTAGTGTTTGCCACAGTTTTTGACCTAAATATCTCACAGTTTCTATACCATAAGAAGTTGTCCTGGCTTTTGGAATGCAAAGATTATTTTTAGTTCGCAAATCATAATGTACATTTCTTGTTTCAAAAATCTCACTCATGAAACTAGGGTTCAGGTTATGTTTGGTTTTGTATACTTCTATCATCAAGTACTGTAGATTGCGTTGGTGAATTGATACTGCATTATCCAAAGTCAGCAATGCTTCGTAGTCAGCATGACTGTCTTTATAAACAATTCTGAGTGCTCTTTCGTGGATTTTATTTACTTTAGCATTCAGACATCTGTCATGGAACATCCAAATTAGGGGGCAGTAACAAAACTGAGCTTTTATGAAGCTGTTCATTAGGAGACACAGTTTATCAGAACCTATAAATGGCGAAACTCTAGCAAGAGCATGCAGTTTTTGGCTGGCTCTTTTGCGTAAATTTGAGACGTGACTTTTGAAATTAAGATTTTTATCTATTATCACCCCTAGCAGTTTTTCTTCAGAGCTTTCTTCAACAATGGCCTCACCGATTTTGATCTTAAAGTCATCTTGATTTGTTCCAAAAGTAAGAAGATGACATTTCCCTGCATTCAATTTCATAAAGTTTTCTGGAAACCATTTTGATAAAATAAGAGCATCAGTTTCTAGCCGTTCTAAAACTTTATCTAATTGACAGTCAGCTGCAAAAATCGTAGTATCATCAGCAAAGTTACATACTGCAGTATCAGTTACCATTAAGAATAAATCATTAATATATAAATTAAATAGAAGAGGCCCAAGGACTGATCCTTGTGGTACACCTGCAAAGGTTTCTCGCCAAGTGCTGAATGAACCATTTAATTTTACCCTTTGTCTTCTACCGGACAGGTAATTATAAATCAATAATTGAGCATCTTTACAAAAACCATAGGCATTTAATTTCGCAATTAATAGCTCATGGTCTATGCAATCAAACGCTTTTGAGAGATCCATTAGCAAGGCACCAACCACCCCTTTTTATCTAGGGAATTCTTGCAGATATCCATTAATCTCAACAGCGCATGCTGTGTGTTGAAACCTTTCCGAAAACCACATAAGTAGGGAACTAGGAACGTATCCGCGAAGTCGACCATCTGAGCATATAGAAGCCGTTCAAAGACCTTTGATAATGCGGATAGAACGGTGATAGGTCGATAGTTTCGTTTTTCTGTAGTTTTGTCACTTTTGAATAGTGGAGTTATGTCTCCTAATTTAAGATCTTCAGGAAACGTTTTCTGGAGCAATGAATTATTGAAAATTGTCGTCAGTAATGGTGCAAAAATGTCTTCGTTTTCTTTCAGTATCCGCGGAGGAATACTTTCAATTGTAGACGCTTTTTTTGTATTTAGTCTCAATAATTCATCATTGACTGCCTGCATTGTAATTGGTTTGAATTCGAAGAATGTGCCATGGTTTACCTTATCCTTAATCTTGCGGATGCTGGGATGATGTTTATATTTTTCAACAGCAATTTCAACAGGATCCAGCAAATGGTCTGTCGAATTGAGAATGCATTCACCAGGGGCAATGTCAATTGTCTTTGTGATATTTGTAAAAAATTCATTAAGGATCTCAGCTATTTCACTGTCATTCGTAATAAACTTTTCATTTTCGATAAGCGTAATACTTGAAGAGGTTTGTACCTTGTCAGTAAAAAGTGGTTTTACAGTTTTCCAGAACTTTTTATTGTCAGTGACAGAATTTATATCAAGGTTACCATAATATGATGTATTTTCACACACCTATTTCTTTGCTTTTTAAAAGCGTTCCAGTTTTCAGAAGTATTATGCCTGTTTAATCTGTTACGTAACTGTGAACGGAGCATAATTGCCTTTCTTAAAGTTTTCGACATGAAGGGTGCATCATTTGCGCGTAAATATTTCTGTTTTAGAGGTACATGGTTATTCAGAACTTCTTCGACTACAGAATTAAAATTTTCATATTCAGAGTATGCTTCGCTGCTCTTACCTCCGTGTATCTCCAACGCAACTAATGCCCCCATTTGCGGGGTAGGGGTTGGTGCAACTTCTTGTACTATATTGAGCACCCCCACCGCAACTAGCACTGCAAGCACTAAATTCTGACCATGGAGTCAAACCACCATCAACTGAAATGAAGAAGATCACTATTTGCATTGAACTTGCAAAAACCATGTTACAACATTAATATATTTCTGTGCTATCTAGCTGTTATACAGACGGTAATAGCTGTTATATCTAGCTGATCTGGTAACGTGTCGTTCTCAATTTTCAATGGACGATGCAATGAAATTTGTCCTGTCTCTGCAATATCTCTCTTGCTTAATATTACGTTCCTGCCTCTAAATATATCGTTTCCAGTCACTATTTCAATCATATCATATTCCATTTCATTGTTTGTCCACCCAACAGATATGCAATATTTAAGACCCTACATCGTCGTATCGGAACTTATGATTTGGCCTAACTTGCAAAAACCGATGAAAACGTTTTGCCATACCCTTCTCGCCTGGTTTCAAAGCGTAGACTTCGACTTCACATAGCGTTAAATGGTCACTTCCTTTCAGCTTTATAAAAACATATCTCCCATTAGTTGGTTTTGAGCAGTGGATAAAGGTTTTGATCCCTGGTAAAAATGGTAGCTCGTGGTAGTGGCATCTAGAATGAACAATTTTAAGGAGAAAATGAAACATCATGAAGCAGCAGAAGAAACTGTCGATTAAACATTGCAACAGAATGCGAAAAAATGTATCAGGATTTCAATCAATGCTAGGTATTGGACAAAAACTTGCATAGCTGCTGACATTTAAAGGGCATGTGTCGTGAACATGGTTTGCTAATGCAATACAATCAACTCTTTTGTTTAATACAAAGCATGGAATCGAGTAAAAAGTAAAAATTAATTAAGAAGAAATGAATAGTCACGAAACAATGGAATCCCACTCCAAACGCTTTTGTTTTATTAGCCAACTGCTAATGCGACATATGCCCTTTAAAACATTCATACGATTGGTCGCTTAAAAATTAAAAAGATTTGAAAATCCAAAAGAGAAGGCAATTTTAAATATGAAAAGTTATATCACGTACAGCGTGTTCTTATCTGGTGAGTCTGTCTCCCCAACTCTGATTTCAACCTGTTTCAGACGCTTCGAACAACAGTCTGCTCTGTTTACAATAGCAATCTTGCCTACTGTTTTCGAAGCGAGAAGGTCCACTCGCCACCAGGCTCCAGGCTCTCTATTAGTGTGTGTACACGACCCTCCTCCGTAGTTTGAATGCGGGTTGCCATCAACTGCTCTTTCCGATGACCCACTATGACTTGTAGATGACTGGCGAGTTGGTTTTCCTCTTGCATAATTTTCTGGATTTTAAAATTTTTATATCATTTGCAGTCTCTACTATAGTTTTATAGGGATACAATAATTTTGTAACTTCTTCGTTGCAAGCTCTGAATTTTCTTGAATCTTTTTATAAATAAAATTTGTGAGATGCTTAGATGAATAGAATCTCTGTAATTATAACGGCACATAATTAATGAATATTCAACACAAAGCATTTTGGTGTTTCCTAAAATCTCTAACGACTTGCACCTTAGATGAAAAAAATTACGGGGCCTTACGGGGGTAAAAGCGCTGACTTTTTTCTTCAGGTGAAATTGTGCATCGAAATAATGTCAATGTTTAAATTGAGGAGGAAGATCGTTTTCTTCCAACTTTTTCTACGTAATTTTTACATTTGCATACCACCAAATCAATTTATTTGGCTTTGTCGTGTGTCATGTCTGCAAGACCAAGTCAAGACTAAACTAAGAAATAAGGACAGCCGAATACCAGGGCGTCATTAGCTTAATATCGAGCTAGCAAACACTAGTTGCTCATTTTGCGTAAAACTAAAGTAACAGCTCACGACAGTGTAAATAAACATACTGGGGTAAGATAATATCATCACATATGTATGTATACTTTACCAAGATTAGCTTTGAAAACTTCAACTTCGCATAAAGTCAATTGCTCTTCTGCCCTCAGTGTAATGTAAACAAATCTTCCAGTGATTACATTTTCACAGTAAAACGTTCTTCTTTCTCCACTTCCTACAGCTCCATGGTTGTAAATGCACCTATACAGAGAAATCAATTCTGAACGTAGCTTGACATATTTTGAAGATTCAATGAAACCTCTTTTCATTGGTTGCAGTCATACTGGTTTTGACATTGTTTTTAGATTGCACTGAATAACTTGCACAGAACACAGCTTGCAAACAATGCAAATACAATTTCTAAATTCCAAAGAATTGACAACTTTACAACACAATATATATAATTTGTCTATGATTAAAAATGTAAGCCTGAATAAACGAACTTTTTCTAACAGATATTTGGTGCATTGCAACATAGAAAATTATCCTAAAGTTTCAAATCGACAGAAAGTGCTGTATCTCTCTATATTGTATGTAGTTGAGTCAAATCTCAGAGAAATTATCGTATTAATAAATACTTTTCTTGATTCTAAGAATAAGAGAAACTTATGTTGCTTGAAAAGTGCATAAATTCTGTGCTTTTATTAGAAGCAATGTCATTTCTTGACCACAGTCCAGAATTGAAAAGGCAGAAATACATATCCATGGCTATAGGTGTTCGTTTGGTGGTTATTCTAAAATGAACGAAATTTTAACGACTTTGCATGAATTAATGGCTTGATTGTTATTTATATCAAAATTTGGATACCTGTGTGAACATATGGCTATCCTAATAGCTACTCTCAATACTTACATTTGGTTTTTGGATGGCCCTTCTGTGTTGTTACCAACTCTTATTTCTACATTGCGAAGCTTGTCTGAGCAACAATCGCCTCTGTTTGTTATTGCAATTTCACCCACCGGCTCTGTGGCACCAAGATCAACCCTCCACCAAGGATTGTGCTCTTTCAGCGTTTGCGTGCACGACCCGTGTCTAAAATTACTGTCCTTATTGCCATCGACGGCTCCTGAAGATGGCCCGCCGATTGCTGTTGACGATTGCTTGCTTGGTTTTCCACGAGCGAGATTAGCTACGAAAAATATTCAAAAAAAGGAATCAGATTAGTGGTAAATGTAAACATAAACAAAAGCAATGCATTATACCAAAAATCTCTATAATGAAAATATTTGGCTGGGGGTGGGGCTAGGGGGCGGGGTGATGGTGTAATGCATGCATTTGGAGACAGAGGTACAAGCCGGACGTAATATTCACTATGTACATTAATTAGTAATAATTTATAACAATGTTTTTGGGACAAGCTACTTAAGGCGGGGCTGTTGTTTTCTACAGTGACCCAAATCGCTTGTCTTGAGATAGTCAGAGGAGGAGGTGCACCAACTGAGGGCTAGTGAAGGATTTGACCTACAGCTACCTCATAAAAGAACGAAATATCCATCTTCCCCAAGTAAAATTGTCGCAAATGCAATCGTTGGATAATCTCCATCTGTCAATCACAATAAAGTGTGTCAATCACATTTGGGTCTTACTAAGAAATAGTAAGGAGTCATACTTGGGTCAGGTGAGAAAACTTCGACTTCGCAGAGGGTTAAATGGTCTTCTCCTTTCAGCCATACGTAGACGTACTGGCCTGTTAAAGGAGTGCTGCAGTACAAGGTCTTCGTTTCACCAGCACCAAAGGTTCCTGGGTAATGTGTGCATCTAGGAAGAACAAAACAAGCTGTAAGAAATATGCCCGTTTTGGCCTATGATACATTTTATATACGCTATATCTAAATGAAATTTGAGCAAGTAAATGCCAAAATAAAAACCCCGATTCCGAAAATCAGAATCAACGTACAACTCTCCATCCAGATTGTCAGCATCGTTCACTCTGATGTCAATCCTTTTAAGTCTGCTGGCACAACAGTCACCTCTGTTTGTGATTCTGATGTTTCCAATTCGATGACGTGCACCCAAATCCACTCTCCACCATGGCACTATTTCCCTCCTTGTAAGGGTACACGAGTTATTCCCGAAGTTTGCGGTTTTGATGCCATCAGTGGCTCGCGATGGATCCCCACCATATAAGGTCGAGGATTGTTTTGTTGACTTGTGATATGCCAGATTGCCTACAAAATGGTGCACAGTTGTCGCCAAAAAGCTTGAATTACTAACATTGACATTGTATGTAGCATTCAATAACCCTCTTCTATCAGTGAAAATAGCAATTTCTAATGGACATTTTGTTGATAATTAAATGAGAATTCCAATTAGGCCTAAGTGGCAGCAATTACGAACACGTCAAAGCGTTTACTTTCATTGAAGATTGACGATGCAAATTGATTGTACAACCCTGGGTATCTTCACATTACCCACAACGCACCAGCACTTCGTAGCTCTAGTACCATAAGTAAGAGTGCTTGTTTGATGTAATGCTTTAATAGCCACAACCATATCAATCGAATTGAAAAACTTCATAAGATTAATGTTTTTATGATCGTAACATAAATGATACCTAACAGTTACCTTTGCAATGGATGGGATTGCACTCGGCTGCTTCAGTAAGCTCTCCTTCACAGTCTTTGCCACCGTTCTCAGGGGCGGGGTTATTGCACTGTCTGCTTCTGTACTTGAAGCCAATGCCACATAAAACACTGCAGTTGCTAAACCGAGACCATTCAGAGAATCCGCCGTCAACTAAAATTCAAACCAGTCACTTGAGTTCTAATAGGTCTGGCAACATTCTTCTTTTGAAATCGATCACCTACACCTATAAACGTCCAATCGGGCATATGACCTAGATAGCTCCTTGTGAGTTCTTTTCATATGTCCGACAGCAAACATACCAAACTTTGAACCATCTACTGTTTGTAGTTTTTCTTTTTTGTAAAAAATAATTGTTATTTGTGGTTCAAGTATTAAATAGAAATGTAGTAGTTAATTATTGCTGTGAATGAAATGTTTTGAGTTTTGAGTTTTGGCACCGACCAGTCAGGGACTATCAGCTCTTCTCAGTGATCTAGCACCTATCTTGCTTTGCTTTTGCCTGATGATCGCATTAAGCATGAAACATGTAACAATTGTTTAAAGAAATACACATTTTTCAACCAGCAGTGTAAAAACTACTTGCTTATTAAGAATATAATAGAGCTTTCAAGTGTGACGTATTTTTAGAATTTTCGAATTTTGACCACATAACATGAAAGAACACCATGAAATACTCCCTTGTATGCCAAATCAGTTAAATTTGTCAAAAATTGGGTGTCCTATGGTCAATGGAAGATTTTCAGTTCGCCAACGGATTACTGTTATTTTGGCTCAGTTCATAAAGTTATGAACTGAGACCAAATTACAAAGGTTTGATAGGGCCAGAGCTTGTACTCATCTGGTCATATTTCAGCCAATTCGTAATATTTTAACTGATTTTTTGCAGAGGTATTTCATGATGCTCTTTCAGGTTATGGGGACAAATTTCAAAAATTCTAAAAATATATTTTTGTGACGTCATCAATTGACAACCCTATTGTAAAATCCTCTTTTCTTCTTAGAAACAAATTACGTTGTCCACTTGACTTGCAACATTACAGGTCCAGCCAAGCAACTCTTGGTTTAAACAGTCTTATGTCCCTTGGACCATAGGTTTGGACCCAGCGGAATACAATCTGCAGAAAACCTGATTCAATTCAAGAGATTAATTGAAAACTGAGACAGGGCCACCTGCAAATGTAATATTTGCATAATTAAATGATTTAAAATTACTGTTACTTGTATCTTTGGAATTATTGAATAAGATTAATTACGTTATTGTAGCTTAGAATTCTGAAATAAGATCGCAAACAAACAAGAAAAGGAAGCCCTACTTTCTTCCGTGGCAATTTTTGCAACGTAAAAGGTTCGATCCTTCCTCCAGCTTAATATAATCCGATAAAATTGCTTTTAACAATAAGCAATGTTTAAATTATGTTTATTGCAAAACATCAAATTTGAAATGCCTTTACTAACTCGGACATGGGTGTGTATTGCAGACTCGTTTTTCTTCTGCAGGTCCAATTGAAAAGCAGTTTGCGCCACCATTTTGAGGCATTGGGTTGTCGCATTCTCGCTGAAATGTTTGTTCTCCTTCTCCACAGAGTTTAGAGCATTCTCCTACTGCCTTCCATTCTCCATATCCCCCGTTAACTAAAATGTAATGTTTACGTCTCAATCTTTATCCAATCGTAAACGAAAGCGCTATTGCTCAAATGAACATTGCCATTTTGGCATAGTAATTGCCATTTTGGCATAGTAAGATCTTTACATAGCTACAAACAATAGCAAATCTTGAAACAACTACCAGGGGAGCAGTTGCCAGGGGGAAGGGGAAGGGGGTACCAAAGATCTTTATAGCTTCCCAGAAGAATAACTGTTGTAAGAAAGTTTTGGAGATTTAGCAACTTTATAAATAATTGCCAAAATTTTACAAAATTTAAGAGAAACTGCTGCCAGAATATTATATCCGGTATTTTTTTTTCGCGAAAAAACATTTGTCGAAATTTTTGAATAATGATATCTTCCCCTTACACTAATTTTTGTGATAGTGGTGTAAAATTAATTATTGTGAGAATAATGGGACAGTTAGGCAGCCTTTCCACTAGCCCGAGTTAAAAATAAACCGGGTTAAAAATTATCCGTTTTTTAAGTGAGTCAATGGAAACGGCATTCTTCTTCGACCCGTTTTTAATCCGTTTTGATTGTTTCCACTAAGTGTATTAGGGGTGAAAAGTTGTAAGAGAAATCAGTATTTGCATCAATAATCCTTCAATTTTCATCGTTCTAGGCCAATGGAAGCAACATCGACATCGAGGATTTTGTTTTTTGAATTGTGGCGCCATCTCAATTTTTAAACGTTGCTGTTGTTGCAAGTTGGTCAGAAGTTATCCGGGTTTTGGCGTTTCCATTAACTCACAGGTGGGTCAAAAGATATTTACCCGGCTTAAAACTGACCCACTCTGAGACCTGTTATCAAACTTATCCATTTTTCAAGTGGGATAGTGGGAACGCGACGCAGAAACGGATAACTTTTAACCCGTTTTTGTTTAACCCGGGTCTTATCCTTTAATTGGGAGCAGAATCAGCGGACTAGAATGTTTGCTCAAGCTATGGACTGAGTTAAAACGTTTGAAATTGCTGAATGCTTACTTGGACATCCACCGGCATCACATTCTTTTGTCTCTATGTATGGTCCAGTGCAATCAAGCCCACCATTTGAAGGGGGTGGGTTGTTGCAAGATCGTTCTCGGCGATGAATTCCAGTACCGCACGTCACAGAACATGACCCGAAATCGGACCATTCTGAAAATCCTCCGTTAACTGCAATAAAATTGATCCACCAGATATTATTATTTCACTTTTAGTTGTCAATATTCTCTGAATTTTCCTATTTAGAAAGTATTCGTACATTACAACAAGCAATGATCATACATTATTGCAAAATATTTTGCTGTGACTTCTAAAAATTTCTGTCCTGATAAAACTTCAAGATATGTACTATTTTTAAAAGAAATCGATACTATTTAAAAGCTCCCAAAATCGCGAATGTACATCAATTAAGATTAACATATAAATTGAGCAGTTGCATCTAACAGATTATTGGCTGCAAAAGAACATACGCATTTGTTACGTAACCAAGAATCCAAACACTTTAAGCTGTCTCAATTGCCATCTTATCAATCTACATCAATAAGCACCTTTTATGTGGTTGAACTTACACGTTAACTTACGTTTCTTGTCAAGAGCATGATTAGGATTATTTTCCTTACATAGACAAGAAGGCGCATACGATACGATCTGGCACAAAACAGATCTGGGGCTTTCTACCACCTAATGTTGACAATTTTAAGGCTCACAAATTTCTTCAACGTCACATCACTCGCTGCTACGATGTTACCTGGACATGCTTGCTCGTTACATGCTTTGTTCTCCACCGTAGCTCCATCGCAGTCCTTTCCTCCGTTGGCTGGCTCGGGATTGGTACAGTTACGTGTCCTTGTCATGATTCCTCCTCCGCATGTCTTACTGCAGGCTCCAAAGAGGCTCCATTCTGTGAATCCACCATCCACTAAAATTGAAACGTTACACCGATACGATCAAAACGAGACGGACTTGTAATCAAGGTGAGTAAGATTTCTTTAATTTGTGTGGTACTTGCGGAAATCGAAACGTCAGCAAAACTTCCAACATCTTATAAGAAAGAAGTTTAACATGTTTTCTCAATATAGCTATTGAACAATCTTGCTAGAGAGAATTTCGCTCACCTAGAGAAGAAGATGAAAATGCTGTACAAAGTCGCTATTTAAAATGGAAAGATTTGTACGCTGAAGACAAGATTACGATCTGATGTTTAGTTGGGAAGGGGGCGCGTATTACATGGCAATTAGGTCCCTTTCATCATCAATGTTCCAGATTATCGGACAAAACGTATGACCTGATTTTCAAGCAATCACAGATTTTCCTTTCTCGTTTCGTTTCTGAAGGGTAGCATGTACTTAGAAATCTTCACTATAGAATTCTATTCTGCAGTTTAGCGTATACCTGGACACGGAGCTGTTCCGCAATTGGCAGACTCGGTGTCGTTCCCAAGTTGAAAACAATCTTTGCCCTGGCCTTTTGGCTCCGGGTTATCGCATGCTCGTGATCGGAACATCTTTCCTCCTCCACATTCTTGTGAACACCGGGACCACTGGGTCCATTCGCTATAACCACCGTCGATATCTGCAATTTAACAATAATAGGTTTTTTTAACCATTTCTAACATCATTCTTCTCTCGGAAAAGGTTTTAGTATGCTTTATAGCTTAAAATACATCTGCGCCATGCAGGGGCGTCGCAGCCAATGAATTCTCAGGGAGGGGGGGGGAGGGGGGCTGGTGGTTGTTAAGCTAGAAATAAAAATTATCCGAGAAAGTTTTTTTGAATTATCTTAATCAAATAGAAGCATTTCATGTAAAGTTTAGGATTTCAGAAAAACTCATAATTTTTGTCTTATCTGAAAAGACATTTAAAATACACTTTTATCTTGTCTGTGTTTTTCATACCTACTGTGGCACCTCGCAACCCTATCGATTGGTAGATTCTTTTCTCTCTTTTGCTTATTTTATGACTCAGTTTCATTATCATCTCTGATTCAGTAGGAAATGAATTTGAAAACCACTTTTTCACCAGAATTCTGCAGAAAACTGTGGCACCTCGCAACCCTATATATTGGTAGATTCTTTTCTCTCTTTTGCTTATTTTATGACTCAGTTTCATTATCATCTCCGATTCAGTAGGAAATGAATTTGAAAACCACTTTTTTACCAGAATTCTGCTGAAAATTCTGTCAATTTTTATGAAATGGAAATCAATTAGATAATTAGCTGGCAGTTTTGATTTCATAATCTATTGCTTGTTTGCTTATTATGTACTGCAAAATGTGGTTATCACTGCATTATAGAAATTAGGTATATGTGCCAAACGCTAGGATTCGAGAAAGCTGCGTAACTTTTTTCAAAGAAAGCTTCAAGCATGTTTACAGAGAGTGGTGTCCGGAATTTATCAATGCAAGATTTTGTGATTTGTGTATCATTGCTCATGTCGATAAAAACTAGTATCCAAAAGAGTTCTTAAAAAATAAGACTTGTTTATTCAATATCAATTTTAAATAAAGGAAGGTCTTTTTTGGTAATTATAAAAGAGACATGAACTTTATTCCTTCTGGACATTTACTTCACTGACCCTTTACAACATCAACAACAACCGCAACAACAATAGAAACAATGGCAATTTGAAACACCAAATTCATTTAAACTTTTAAACTTTGGACTGCCCTTTCTGGCTATGCAAACTTTCTTTCAAGTATGCTATTTCTACTTTTCCCCTATATAATTTTCTGATTTTGTGATCTCAATTTTTGTGATTTTCAAGAAAAGCTCTTATTCACCCAAAACAATCAGCTCTTGATAGGTCATAAATATCTTTTCCTGCATCAAATCTTTGAATACCTTCATGCATCATCCTAGCCGGTCCTTGTTTCAAAACATATTTTTATGCCAAGTTTTGTTTTATTTGGGGATTTTGTAAATATCAGCAAATCGTATAACTTTCTTTAGTGTATCGAGTTCTCTTATTAAATTGTTTAGTTATTCATGCTAATATAATGGAAACTACAGTAAACATAGTATTTTTATCCAATGTTTTTCAGTAACTGATTCAGGTTTACTAAGAACAAAAACGAGACGTGCCAGCAAACTTTGTTGCTATAAAAACGATAAGCCAACAGCAACAAGGCTCTGCATGATTTGATCATTGCAGCAAACATCTTGCGCATAAATTTTGCTTAACGTAAACATTTTATTTGGTGCAGTGAAAAATGTATTTCTCAGGAAATGCAAGATCATTAGTATAAGTTGAAAAATAGACTGTTTCTTTCGGCTGAAAATATTTTGCATTAATGCTGAATCTGATTCACTCTTTAGGTAATAACAGCAAAATAATTGGTCTAAATAAAAGCTTGGCCTAACTTTCTTATCAATGAAACCATGGCTTACAATCAATATTTCAACTTTCAATTCATATTTGATTATTCCTTTTTAAAAAGGTCATGAATTGTTAACATTTTCTGGCCATGTCGGCACCACGAGATGGACACGTCCTCCCGTTATAGGCAGGATCGTTTCAGTATATCGTCTATACTCGATGAGAAAATGCTTGGGGGAGGAGTAAAATTTTGGCCATTATTCCATGTGGCATTTCTAACAGTAAAGGGGCGCGGGCTGAAAGGTTTTCTTTCGACCCTTTCCCGTAGCCTAGTGGCTGATACCGCCAGTACTTTCTGGCATTGGCAACTGTATGTGAAACTATGATAGGGTATGATTGTCGGTGATGACAAAACTCCCCTTTGCTTAATAAATTTTGAATTTGTTGCATCACATATGAACGTATTGCGCATGCCTTTCTGACTCAAAACACTTGCCAAAAGGAGCTGACAGTTGACACACTTATCCTAGTTCATCTTAAAAAAAATTGTAATACTTTGATTTTACACTCCGATGGCCTCATTTGCTCAAATCAAAGATGATGAAATTTGTCAAATATCTTGTTAAGCTTGACAGGGCATCCCCGCGATTGGGCATACCCGAATGATGAGTACACTACACCACCACCGCACATACAACACTAAAAATACCTTCTTCTCCGCTTTTTTTCAACGAATACACATAATCTGCCAAGGCTTGGCCCCCACATTCAGCTTCAACTTCATCATTGCACGGGCCATAATGCGCACCTTGGAAACACCTGCTTGAGCTTCTTGCATTGTCAATTGTCCCTGCATTGCCTCCATAGCATTCTCCAAAATATCTTATTCCGAAATACTTGAAGCCGTGCTTTTCTGCCTCTACTTTACATCGGCATGCTAAGCTAGAGAAACAGAATTCTATCAAAATATTGTGGGTGATAAGCTTGACAAGTATGCCGACTATATCAATACTACATGCAAAGGGCTCAAAAGTTGGAACATGGCTAAATTTTTAAACAAGCCTGCCATAAACCTGAAATAAATTATAAATCCTTGGGCTAAGCTCTAGCATAACTTTGATTCTGCGATGTTTTGGATACTAACGAATAACTGTATAGAGATATCCAATTGATACATGTATCTATCAAGAAAGATGACTTTATAAAAAGTCCAACTACGAGGGGCCTATTTTTCCTTGCCTAGTTTTTTTATAAGACGTAACATCTGCCATAATGGTTACCTACAAATCGGTAAGGAAAAGTCAGCTGCGTGAGTTCGTCGAATAAAATTCATCATTCTTTACTTAAAGATATTAATATCAAGAGGCTCCTTTACACAAAAGCATTCTTTTGAATCTTAAAAAGCTATTGGGTCAAATCTTTTGAGGACAAAATGCTCAATTGTTGAAGAGACAGTAGCACCATCTCCTCAACAATTCAATTTCATAGACTGTGAAACAACTACTGTCAAAGACTTAAAATGCTTCTATTACCTATGGAGATACTTGTCGATATTTGTCCAATCTATGGTATGTCCTTGTGACTTGTCGCTGCCACTTTCCCGATCATTAACCAATAATGTAGTTACGATGCTCTTCTCTTCGAAGCACCCAATCTTGTTGTAAGTGCGATTGCATGTCACGTGATCTTGCCCTGATAAACACGAAAAGAGACCTCACAGGTGATTCAGCAATTGCTAAGTGCTTAGGATTGCAGTACCCTCAACCTTATTAAATTTTTGCAAAGTTCTAAAAGAAAATGATTATCCTTGACGCTATCATATCAAATATCGTGAACAATGATAAGCATGACTAAACATTTACACATTCCTCGTGTTGATCATTTAATTGATATTACTGCTTATTACAACGCCTTGCCAATCTGCAACCAGTGTCAACTTGCTTCGGCAGAAGTGTTCAACTTTTTGGCAAAACTCATTTCGTTCACTTGCTTTTTTCAAAATACCATATGAAAGCTATTCTATTATCACTTATGATTGTGATGAAATTATCTTGTTTAGCAATCAAAGTACGTCATTCGGCCCAGGCCCCTGTTGAGCGGAATGCAAAATACCTAAAACCTTTGGGTATTGAATGTCAGAAATAACTCTTTCCTAGCAAAAGAACTCCAAGGTCATTCTCAATCTGTAGTAATACTAAGACATAACAGTTATTTTGTTCTTTAGCTTTCAATGGGTTGAAGGGTGCAGGAAGTGGGAGTAGTTATGATGGCAAAATCTTGATCCTGCCTTTTTGCATTGCTATTTCAAAGTGCAACCTCCAAAGAGACGCAATAAATTTCTCTCATCGGCATTCAATAGCATTAGCTTGGTGTAGGTATGATTAGAAAAGTGATGAAAAAAGAAAGAAATTGATTTAGAGAAAGGTAGAAACTTGGACACAGACGGAAAATTAGTTAAAATGCTCGTAGCTTAACAAACTTTAGGTTATTGTGATTAAGTTAAAACCAAAAAAATGCTTTACTTAGTCTAGCGGTATCTCAAGCCAAGTTTTTGCAAAAGTAGTGACAGTGTTTTGCAAGAGGTGGTTTTCTTGCATCTTTAAGCCAAAGCCATGTCGTCAATCCGCAATTACTGGATGTATCTTTTTAATAAGTATCCCTTCCAAAATGCTTAGTCAAATCAAAATAGCAATTAGCACTCCCTTGGGTAAGCCCCTCCTATAATAAATGATATGGATGTCGAAGGATAAAAGCACATGTTTAATGCAAAAAATTGAAATAAAAAAAGTAAAATTACAGTTATTTAGACTATGTTTAGAGGGCTTAGATGATTTTTTCGAAGCTTTTTGTTAGAGGCCCAACTGTCAAAGGCAAGTTTGAATAATACTGTATACGTTTTAAAATAATATGATTTCTACCTTTTGCTAATCCAGTCGCAACTGCTATGAGAAATATTGTGTGATATTGCATCATCCTATGAGGACAATATGTTAACGACCTTAATAGTATTTAAAACTTGTTGGCATCCATGCACTGAAAGAGAATCAACGTGAATCTCTGGAATAAAGTTATATTCATTGTATCCTAATTTACATAACCTGTATCTGCAAGTGCTCTTGAAGAGAAGAATTGTTATTATATAGCGTAAATGAAAACTTACAAAATTAAACTCATAAGCATTTATTCAAGAACGTTTTTCTTGCAAAACTGTCATTGAGGTGCCTTTGGTTTTTTTTCAATATTCCAGCAAAGTTACAGTTTTCACAATTGACGAAGCAGTTATTGCGGTACAAAACATGAAACTGTTACGAATGAGAGTCTGTTAATTTTAACAAAGCTTTGTTGTACCTTTCCATCCAGGGCTCACCAAATAATTGCCAAAATATTTTTTACAGCTGTATTGTTTGATATGGAATATGGTATTGAACACATCCTTGAAGTGATGCCATTAAAAAGCAAATTGCACTTGCTATATGTTTTAGAGGGACCAAGATTAAAAATTGTATTCTTAGATTCTATCATTGCATCAACATCTTTAACGGAATATACCTGACTATAAAAAAAATCTATATTCTAATGTAACAGTTTTTATTCATTTTATGCAGTTATACTGATAAATAACGTAAAATGTTAAATGCTATTTATGTTATTCGCGCAATAAATCAAATATCATATCTTTTTTTTGCAAAAAGGTAAAGAAAGATTGGCATTGAAAGTTGTTGTCTGATTTCTAAGATTCAACGAAAAACCTTACCCTGCAGTTGTGATCTTCTTTGGATAACCCAATAGTTAAATTTGAGTGGTTTCCATAAATTTATTCTGTTATAAATTTTCACTGTTTGTTTTGTCTGATCTGAACGACAAACCGTCATACAGCTGGTTCAACACGGCTCAAACATATCCTTTCCTATTCGCTAGATTTTGTCAATGTAGCACATTTTTGTAAAGAACGGTGACAAGCTGAGTTAGAAATCAATTTCCCATGTTTCGCAAACCTGGTTTGCAGTTTATTCTAGGACTAAGATTAATTGCTATTTTACACACCTAGATACAAAAGAAAACGTCTCTAAATTTGTATTCTAAATAAATCAAAAGGATTTTCTTGCCTTATAATGCACATTGCTTGCTCTCAATATTTACAGAAAGATTTCTTAAAGGTCGGTGTTGATAATTAAAAACGAAGATAACTACTTCATCAACTTTCTTTTTGCAAGATATTTTGTGGTAGTTTTATCAAGAGAACTCTCGAGAAAAGAGAACTCTCTAAATTCCTTCATCTCCAATCAGTGTAGATGTCATTTCAAGTCACTTTACATATTAATCACTTTATTTTGAAACAAAATCTATAATGTTGAGAAGCTTTTTTTTGTCGTTTAATCTAATCCAGAAGCCATTTCTAGCTACATGGTATTTAATGTTACTTTCCTTTTCTAATTAAATTCTAGGATTTAAATCAGAGTTTACAGTAGCCAGAATTCATTTTGTTATTCTAGAGGATAGTTAGATACAGATTTGAGGGCTTTGAATGGATCTGCACCTAGCAGAGTTATGCCAATTTTGTAGAATCACGGTGTACTCTGACGTTTTGTGACGACTCTCGCTAGAACTTCACTAGTTTTTCTGAACCCTTGCATTGTTAGTAAGTTTATTGTTCAATCTTCTTCATCTTATTTGTTGTTTGGTTGCTTCAAATATGCAGTGTGTACAGGGGCGTAGCTAGCGGGGGTGTAGAGGGGTGTGACACCCCCAATTCTTCATGAATTTGTCGGTAAAGTTATAGTTTGTGCAAAAATTCCCTGTATTGTCGGTAAAATCGTCTATCAGTAGGTGAAATAGTACCAAAATTTGTCTGTGCCTATGTTTTCGTCGGTAAATTTTGGTACTCATGACCCCCTATCCCCCTATTCTGGAAGGTCAAATTACGCCACTGAGTATGTACCTCTCTTTTATTGTGTTAAATAGTTTTTGCCGGGTGTTACTAATTGCATGCTCTTCAAGTTGGTCGATTGATTCAGTTTGTCCCCTGTTTTAAATTTGTCTTGAACATGCGTCTAATTTTATGTCTATTTCAATCAGAAAGAATGATGTCATACTGAATAATGTTTCAGCCTTAAACGTTTTTAATAGTTTTGAATCTCCATTATCTTTTCCGATTTCTTCTATTACAGCATTCTCTTCACTGTGTCGATTTTGCAAACCTCTTTCATTTCATTCTTTTAATTGTGCATCCTTCCGTTCGCTGTTAAACAAGAATATTCCAGGTTAGATGTTAAGATTACTGGTTAGATTAAAAACTGTCTTGATAACAACCTTTCAATTTAGCCATTATAAAACAGAAAGCTACTTCTGCTGTTTCCATCTTAATCCTTGATATGCTGTAAACACATGGTAATTTGCTTGAGCTGTTCCAAACACACAGTTAAATTTGTGCTCGCGCAAACCTATGATACAATACGGTAATTTTACTTTTCAAAGCTAGAAATGCCGAGGTGGGACACCTGCAGAAGGAGATAACTACACCATGAGCCTGAAAGTAAACTTTTTCATATTTGAACAGCCATACGTGAACAAGTTCCTTTTAAAATTTGTAAAAACAAACAGTAAATAAAAGCTTACTTGAAATGGCCTTGGCGTAAAGCGAAAGATAAATAAGTTGCAAAGAAGTTGGCTGTCAGGCCTGCATTTGATCACAGAGAGAAATTACGACAAGACACAACCCTTTGAAATCTTCGGGTGGTGACTTTTTAGAAAGAATCACCCTTTTTTAAAACTTATACACTCTTTTTTATATGAACCAGTAAATTTAAGTTCAGGCTGACTGTTTTTAATTTTTTCGAAAATCTGAGGCTGGATTGTTCTTAATTTGTTCTTAAATTAAGAGGGTGTAAGCAGTGTTATTGCTAGTATTTTCGCTCTAAGGAGGTGTTCAGGCCTCATTTGCCAACAAAGTGAATGATACAGCCTTAATTTGCTGACAAATTTGAATAGTCATCGAAAAAGAACCCACATATTGCTAAAAATCCTCGATTTTGAGAAAAAAAAGTTGTTCAAAATTGCAATTTGCAGAAGCTCAGCCTCAGCTTGTTCTTAATTTGTTCTTAACTTTTGACCAGTTTTGAGGCTCGTGTTCTTATAAAATTGTTCTTGTAAAAAAAGAGTGTATTTCGTTTGTTGACAGGGCATCATCACCTTTATGGCAGATTCAACAGGGTGAATCGGCAAGCGAATTGGTAGCGAATTAAATGTAGATATGCTCACTTTTTCAATGCGGCCAAATAATTCACTTCAGAAAAATTTGTTGCCGTTTCTACTCCATTTTGAATAATAATTTTGCTGTAGAATTTCTATCATTCCAACTCCCCCCAGGCCTCCCTGTTTACAAACGCTCTCACAAAGCAATTTTGGCTGCATATGAGAAGCAATGCCCTGGGTACTGAGTCTCCATGATTTAGTCTCAGGAGAAAGACAGTTAGAAACTAGTCACAGAAAATATTTTTCGGGCGTTCTTTGTCACAGCAGCTGTCTACAATACTTTACCCCGGCTTTATAAGGCTCCGTTACCCAGGTAGAAAAGCAACTGATATTTCTTTTGGTTCACTATAACACAGGGATATAGTGCTGTGAAAAGAGCAAGTGGGTCGGGTGCTCTCACGCAAATTCCTAAAACAAGCAGTAGCATAAGTAGAATCGGCTTCTTTTCGGCACTAACGAAGAGGGTTTACCCCTACAACTCTACCAGGAAACCGAAATTTGGAGGTTCTATCAGCAGAGTTTGTTATGCATCAACATCAGCAGAAAACCGTTGTCAACGACACAAGAGAAAGAACATATTTTTAAAGTTAGGAAAATTAGGAAAGATTTGTGTTTAAGATTAAGATTCATTTCCATATTTGCATCAACAGATAACCAAAGGAGATGAACAGTCGAGAGAAAGAGAAGTCTTCTTCTCACAGAATCTTGAGAGAGAAATGACAAACCCCTTACTTTCCTCTCAGGAAGCCCCCCTTTTCGGTAAGAATTCTCTACAGCAGCTATGAATATATGCAAATAAAGGAGATTACGGCCAATCTATAAGGTTCCTTTGTATTATAAAGGTGATAATAACTGTTTTGTCGATATGCCTTCTAAGCTAGTTGTATAGCTAATGATTTTTTTGGGTAAAAGGTCATCGGAGCTAATAATTTTAAGCCATATCTGCATTTAATAAATTGGGCAAATAAATGGGGGCAGACCTTAATTCCTTGTCCCGTGCCCCCTTATCCCCTCCCTGGTTCCTGCCCCAGTGATTTTGCCACTTTACAGTGTTGCAGTAACAAGCTTGAGATTTTTAAAGCCATCTTGTGCTAGGTTAATATTCAATGCTCAAGCCCAGGGGCGTCGGGGGAGGAGGGGTTAGGAGAGGGCAAAAGTTTCGAGAATTGTAATAGGCTTGTACAATGTTAACATAAGATTGTTACAATATCTATTTAAATATCTATCTACAACGCAGAAAACGTATTATTTCAGCCCTGTTATTTCAGCGCAGAAAACGTGTTCAAATGTCCTGTATTCATGAATGTAATGTTTTTGCACAATCTTGTTGAGAATCCTTCAAAAACATTTTCAACAATAATATCTAAAGAGGGCGATGATTCCTTAGTTCTCTAAGAAACTGAAAGATGTGGTCACAGGGATCTTTCTAAGGGGGCTTAGGGGGCCTAGTTACTGCCTTATAAACGGACCTCGATGGATCTGCTCATGAACCATGATGATTTACTTTTAAAAATCAATTCCAATGGTCATCAGCAAAAATTGACTATTTGATGAGATTTGCTCTGTTTGCAATATCTCGTTAAAGCAGCAATATTCTTCTACAATAGGCTTTTCATTAGAGCCAGGAAATACCTAAAAATGCAATTTTCATGTAAATAGTTTATCGTAAACAATCAAATTTTGCAATTTTATAGCAATTGGATTACCTTCTGATAAAAGTGTTTCAAACTCTGCAGGCCACCTGAAAATGGTGGAATGGAAACGACGGACCAAGGAATCGGGGTCTTAACGAGGCTGACGGCAGATCCTGAGTACGCCGAGTTCTCAAATACACTCTCGGTCTATACCATTGCCTAATTCCTCAGTGAAAAGTTATTGATTAAATAAATGATAAAGGCAGTTATGATAAAAGCAAAATAGCAGCTACTGTAACTAATTGGCTACAAAATTGTACATTAAAGAGATCTGATTATCAGAAACATGTCAACAGAGACACTTTGCTTGCCCAAGGGATAGGAATGTCATCACAGTCCAAAATATTGATTTTCGATGGTGTATAGTTCAAGAAACGCCACGTTTAACGTTTAACGGGGGCTTTCTTCAATACGGTTTCTGACCCGTAATGGGAACTGATGATCAGGGCTAAATACACTGTCTCCTTTATAAGAACCAGTAAATTTAAGTTCAGGTTCTTAATTTTTTTGAAACTTTGAGACTGGATTGTTCTTATTTTGTTCTTAATTTAATGTAGTAGTCTGTAAGCAGTGCGAGTGCTAGCTTTTTTGCTCTAGGGTGATGTACAGGCCTCATTTACCAACAAAGTGAGTGAGACAGCCTTAATTTGCTGACAAATTTGAATATTCACCAAAAAAGCACCCACACATCGCTAAAAATCCTCGATTTTGAGAAAAAATGTTGTAGAAGCTCAGCCTCAGCTTGTTCCTAATTTGTTCTAAATTGTTGACCAATTTTGAGGCTCGTGTTCTTATAAAATTGTTCTTATATAAAAGAGTGTTTGCATATCATTGTGAAAGATTATAAATCGGCGTGAACAAGCTGAAAGTGTCCATTAGCTTTTTTCTCTGTCATTTATCTGTACACTGTTTTACGTGAGTATTTTTCAATTCCTTTCATGAGTGCGTGCTCTGATTAATTTAGTCTACGCATGTCAAATGCCTTTTATAAGACGGCAGATCATCGTAGGATTGGCAAAAACGATATAGAATGGACGCCGTTATAAAAAAGAAGCCTGCATGTGAATAAAGCCGTTTCTGTTTTGATCGTCGTGCAAGCTTAAGCCGAACAAAAACTCTATTTTTGATGGAAAATTTTAATAGTCAAAGCGGAGTTTTGTCGTTCCGTGGAGTTCCGCAACCCATGTTTTATGCCTAACCACGAGATTGAAAATTGGCATATTTGAAGCAAGTTTCGCTGCCTCACTTTCAAATTACCAACTTGAATTTAAATTGCTAACCAAAGCACTGTAATCATGAAGGTGATTAAGAATTACAAGCCTTCTATGCATATGGCTTCATATGCTTTTGTCTTGTATTTGATCAAGAAGAGTGTCTTCGCGGCAAAACCTTATCGAACAGCAAGCAAGCGGTGTAAATTTTCGCGCAGAGCTCACAGTTAGGAGGAAAAAGAATGGTTATATAGTCACTCATTCTCCATGGTGAAGGAAATATGGCATGTTCCATCGGATATCGCATTGGTTTTAACATGTGTTGTAGTGTCATTAGCAAAACCAATATGTATTGTCCTGCGAATGTGGTGTTGCTTTAAAGACACGGGCAACTTCCTGGATGGCGAGTGCAGCAGCCCAACATCTCAAATGCAGTAAAATCCCAGTAAAATACACAACAGAAGGCCCTTTTTTACTCATTAAACAGCAATGCCTGATCGACGTGAAATTTCATTCTATGATTCGATTGTAGAAGAAGTCACGTGTATCGTCTGCTTTGAGAGGATGATTGCTCCGAAGACACTTAAATGTCACCATGTCTTTTGCTCGGCATGCATAGGAAGAAGCATCGGCAAAAATAAGAAGATTCGATGCCCTACATGTAGAAAAAATACAAAGGTATGTTTGCTATGTATTGTGTTTAATTTTTTTGCATGATGATATTCTTCTTACAGAAAACTGAAAACCCAGTTTCGTGAGAAGTGTAATGCTAATGGTATATAGGCAGAAAGTAATTTACGTAATATTTTATCCGGCATTTAGGGTGCCTTACGAGACTTTTGGAAGAAGATTTTTCACACCTGAACCTGAGCGAATCTTTATCTTAACGATCCAAGGTAATGTGTTATGACAGGGTTTTAGATGCTCCTTTGCAGTGTCCGTATTGAGGTTTGGAAGGACAATATGAATACCTCATAACTTAGAAATTGGAATCAAAAACGGGAGAGGGAATCTTGTTAAAAGTTATTGAAAGTAGTGGAAACTAAGATAGCACGAACAGCACGCATGGTTTTTGTTGGTAGATACACGCTCGACACGAGCTCATCTGTAAAAACTTAGCCACAGAATGACATAGCAGCGTTTTTCCCCCACAACGGTGCGCTAGAAAGACTACTCGCAATTGGCTGTGCTATATTGTGAAGTTGCTTTGTCGTACATTCTCGATATCTTACGCTCGATATCTTACGGGAAAATAGCCAATCTTTCCCAACAAGAGAGTGGGAAGGCACCCCCCCCCCTCTCCACAGAGGCTATTAGGAGGGAGATGGGGAGGAAAAAGGATAGAGAGGAGTGGAATAAAAAGAAAAAAGGAGGACCGCAGCTCCACCGCAGCTTCATAAAATAGGTGAAGAGCTTCGCCGAAAAAACATCGTACACAGTTACAATATACTTTGATAACATAAACAAAGCTGACCTTTGAGGACTTCAACCGAAACTCTCTCCTGAAAAGAATCTCATGGTTTCAGCTACCTTCTCCATGCACATAGTCTAAGATTGGAACTTTAGAAGCGAATGACGGGAATAAAAACAAGGCGGGAGCGACATTGTTCTCAAAATACATCCAAATGATGTACTTAAACTCCGCATTATTAGGCCTAGGTTGGCTGATTTTGCTACACATAGGTTTGGAGTTCTGCATCTGCAGCAACAGCAACATTTCAAATTTTCACTCTCGATGAAGTAAGGACCAAATCGACAACAGGTCATGGAAGGGAGACTCTCCCTAGCTGCGTTATGTCCATGCAGCCTTATGTAATTCTAATACCTAATGTTATTCTAATACTCAGCAAACGACAAAAAAAATTGTTGCAAAGACATCCTAAAATGGGACAAGGTGTTTTTTATTTTTAGGGCATCGGTGACTGTTCTTGTGCTTTGCATTCTTGATTACTTGATTGGGGTTTTTTATTACCGCATACAACTTAATAAAAACAATTTCCTAAACAAATTGCGGCTATCTGCACAAAGCACGTGCTTCGCAAGCGGAAGTTCACAGGTACAAAATTAATCGTTAGTGCTAACAACCAACTCTTGTGAACTATAGATCAAAGAGATGCTAAATAGATCATAGAAAATTTCTTACATCTCCAAAGGAAACCTGTCGGAACTAATTGCTGAAAAACATCACCAAAATGTTAGTAAAACCTCTGCTTGGATCAAAAGAAAGCTGAGTTTTTGCTTACTTAGAACTGCAGTAATTTGTATAAGAGGTTCTAGGTCCCGACAACATGCTGTCCCTATTGGTGAAATGGGTGACATTGACACTAGAAACAATTTATCTAGCATCACCAATTAAAAACATTATGCTTGTTACTTAATTGTATGTTCATTTCATTTTGTAAACCGGCAGCCTATCGGTATATAAACAGTGCTGAATTCATGTAAGATTACAGACCAACTTTATTCTTGAAATTTCTTTCAACCAAAAATCAACCATTAAGGGAGGCTGGACCCAATCCTACTTTACATAAGAACAAATAGTTGTTCTGATGTTCATATTCATGGCTTGAAATAACGTTAGGAACTCCTCTGAAAATACTGTGATCGTGAGAGCGAAAGAAATCATATCATTCTTTAATTCTTACTTTTGACGAGAAACAACTCAGTTTTGGAAAGGCTTCAAGGTTTCGGATTGGGATCTCATAAGGATCTCAAAAGAAACTCTATACTAAAAAATGTAAAGACTTTAAGAAGTTTCAATACTGGCTCACAAGAAAAAGTGTGCATTCTAGCACTGCTTTCCAAATTCAAGCTAAGTCTTCAGGGTATTTTTTTTTGGAAATTCAACTAGTGTGGGGATTCTAAAGGGCCCACTGGGACAAGGATCCACCTCACGGATGCCGGAATGACCAAGGGGCTAGGGGCAGGCTTGACTGAAAGAGCATTGGAAACATAATTCCAAGCTACCAACAATTCTTTCGTAACTTTCATTTTGTTTTCGATCTTCTGTAGATATCTTGAAAAGCGGCTAACTTTCGGCATAAGAAATTTTTTTACAAGTTTTGAGAAACGTCATCATGAATAAGGAAGTATAGTCAGAATTTCATATGAATCTTTTGATAACTACAAACGGCGGGTGTCAAAGGCACTTCTAGGAAAAGGCCCTTTAGCCCCTTGCCACACCCATCAAAGGGCAACAGGGGCGGTTAACCCTCGCTCCCCCACCCTGCGACGCCCCTATCGCGAACTTAGAATGTTGTAAGGCGATAAACTCACAAATAACTCGAAATAGAAGTTATATATTTCTTTCAAGGTAACAAAACAATAACGAACTGGTTATATACTCTCGTCGCACACTCGCTTTTTTGAATAGTAAAAGTCATGTCTCTGAAGCTCCTCACCCCCACGCGCTCGCTCCTTCCCCGCGGTTAATCATAAGCAGTTTTTATTTTACACACACTCCCCCCGTTTGGACCGAATAGGTACCAAACGTCAATGTTAATCATCTTCTAATTCCTTGTCTTCATATGCGAATGTTTCTTTTACTGAACTCTTGGCAATTTGTGCAGCTCGTCGTTGTGGTCTTAACTCTTTGGCTTGTGGGTTCAAATTCTCGGCCTTCTTTGTCTCCTTTTCCGGCAAATCGCAATCTATCTCTAGAGGATATAACAACTGCACTGCCCGTTCTATCTTTGTCTTTCCTGTTCTTAGCCTTGCGCCTCGAACAACTCCATCTTTGCCTTGAATGACTTTATCAACAATGCCTATGTTCCATTCGCCTCTGTTACGTTCGTCGCCTTTTATCAAAACTACTTTTCCTTCTTTTATACTTTCTCCTCCGTCCTTGCACTTTAAGTTGTGTCTTTCCCTGAGTGATCTCATGTATTCTGACTTCCATCTCTTCCAGAGGTTGTCGCGACATTTCTGCAGATATCTTGCTCTCTTGCGCAAATTTTTACTCCACTGCACGAATCTTTCATTGAGGTCTTTTGGTAGTCCTTCATCCCATTTGACACCTTGTTTACATGCATCTCTGAACATGATCTTTCCAACTAGGGTAATTGGTGAAATAATTCCCAGTGGGTCATATATTGAAGCCAGATGTTGCAATAATTCTCTCTTTGTTGATCCTCTTCCTTTCTCTTTCTTTATTGAGACTGCAATGGTATCCTTCTGTTTGTCCCATGTAAGCCCTAATAGTTTGGACTCTTTGGCCTTTGTTCCCAGCTGCTGTTTGGCAAAACTCTCTTCTATTTCTTCTTGATCACCATCATCTGTCTCTAACTCTTTTCTGTTTGAGTGCAATTTGTGCAATGTAAACTTTGCACTGTCGAATATTTCTATGGCTGACTCTTTCAATTTCTGTACCTCTGTGATGGATGACCCACCTAGCAGAAGGTCATCGACGTAGATGCTTCTTTCAATTTCTGAGACTTCCTCAGGAAACTCTGCTCTACATTCTTCAAGATGTTTCTTTACGGTAGCACAAAGCAAAAATGGCGATTGGCTGCATCCAAACATTACTCGAGTGAATCGATAGACTTCAAGTTTCTCTAAATCTCTGTCTTTCAACCAATGGAACCTTAACACATCTCTGTCCTGCTCTTTAATTCTTATTTGTAGGAAAGCTTGTTTCATATCTGCGCATAGTGTGATGGGTTGCAATCTGTTTCGCGCCAAAATGTCCCAGATCAGGTTTTGCAATGGGGGGCCTGTTTCGAGGCAATCGTTGAGTGATGGTGATTGATCGTTTGCTCTTGCAGATGCATCGAATACAATTCTTACTTTGGTCGACTCTGCTGACTCTCTTACTATGGCTCGGTGTGGCAAATAAAACTTTCTTCCTTCTTTGCTCTGACAGGTAACTTTCTCTATAATTCCTTCTTGCTCCTGTTGCAGTAGTATTTCTTCATACTTATCATAAAGCTCTGGCTGTCTTTCTAACCTTTGCACGAGCCTTTTCAATCTTGACTTGCTTCCTTGTTCATTGTCTGGCAGGTCTGGGATCTCTGATTTCCAAAGAAGACCGGTCCTGTACCAACCTTCTGGGCTCCTTTCCAACTGATCTTTGAAATCTTGGATAACTATGTCTTTCTCTGCTTTGTCCTGTATGCCTAGGACATCTAGTGAACATAATCTATCAAAATCGGCAAGTGCTGACTTTGCGAAAAACATGTTATTTGATTCTATCTCGTATCCAGGTGACATTATAGTCCATCCGAACCCTGTAAGCTCTGCCACTGGCTCCCCTGGCTTCCCTACTCTAGGCTTTGTTGGAGTTTTTATCTTTGCATAGTCACTAGCTCCTATGATAAGATGTATTGGTAACGCTTCTTTGTCTGATCTTTCTTCCATATACACACCTTTAAGGTGTGAAAATTTCTTAGTCATTTCTCCATAGTTTGGGTTAGGCACTGTCAAAAGCTCCTTCCTGTTCACTTTGCTCACTTCTAAGTTTAGACTGAAACTCTGGTCTTTGCTCTCCACCCTCAGATTATAGATTTCGATCTTTGCTATCTTGGTGGACATCATCATGTCTATCTGGCGTTGTTCTCTCTTGATTGGCTGCTTGGCGACTTTCTCAATTAACTGTGATGATACATAAGAGCTGCCAGCCCCTGTATCCAACAGGGCTCGACAGAGCACTCCTTCTACCTTCACTATAACAACTGGGTGCA